CAACCCAAAAAGCACATCCAAAATGTCGAAATCAATACTCCAAACCCTCCGTCCCCAACACGCATTCCGCACACTCAACCGCCAAACAAGGAGAACCTTCCTCAACGTCCCGGGCACCGAATCCCAAACCATAACCGCTTTGCGAATCCTCCCCTACAACTCCAACAGCCTATACCGTCTCATCGCCGACATAGACAGCTACTCCGAATTCATTCCCTACTGCACATCCTCCAAAGTAACAAAATGGTCTGAGCCGACCGAAGAAGGAAAAAGGTGGCCCTCAGAAGCCGATCTGAAAGTTGGCTGGGGGGGCATGGACGAGACGTTTACTTCGCGGTTATTCTGCATACCAGGCGAAGTAGTCGAAGCGTTGGGCGGAGACGCCGTAACCTCTCTTCCAAAAGACTCGTTAAAACACCACGCCGCGACGCTTGACGCGCCCGCGGCAGGGAACAAGATATTCACGAGTCTGAACACGCAGTGGCGGCTTAAGCCATTTCATTACAAACCACCAAGCGGAAAACCACAGACGGATATGACAGAGCATCCGGCGAAGGAACAGACGGAGGTGCATTTGTCAATTGAGTACCAGTTTGCGAATCCGATGTACGGGGCGCTGAGTAGTGCGGTTGCGCCGAAACTGGCGGGGACGATGATTGAGGCGTTTGAGAAGAGGGCGAGGAAGGTGCTTGATGGGCCTGGAGCGAATTTGCCTGAGAATAGTCCGGAGGCGGATAGGGCTAATGCTTCGTAAGGTTTGGAAGGATGGGTGGGTTGAGAGTGTGATTGTTGTACATAAAAGATAGCGTAAATCACTTGTATAAGTAGAGGTTGGCTAGAAAAGTCAAAGCATAGGACATATAAAGTTTCACATCATGCTACTCTAGCAATGTTGCAAACATAGTCCATGTTTCCACAGCGCATTTCATGTGGTTGTCATGACTATTTCTTAATAATGAATTATTTTATATTCAGATTCTAAGGTATATTCCGCGGTATAACCATACTCCAAACAAGCTACCCTACCTCAAACGCCAATACAACTCCTCAACATTTCGCTCTTAAACATGACGGCTCCCATCAAATTAACAACATCCATAACTTAACATCACTTGATCACCTCAAACATGATTCTTTTCAACGCCAAACTTGTTGTTGCTGCACAGGATATCCCGTCTGCACCGGCTGCTGCACAAATTGCTGTTGTGGTGCTCCCCATTGCCATCCCTGCGTCCCTTGCACCTGCTGCTGTTGCGGTGGTTGACTATACATCTGTTGTGGCTGTTGAGGCTGTTGTGGCTGTCCCATTTGCTGTACTTGTATCTGTTGCGGTTGTCCCATCTGCGGCTGCGGTTGATAAATAGGCGGTTGCGGCGTACTAATTCTAGCCTGTCCGAAGTAATCCTGTTTGCCAACCGGATGAACAGCGGGGAGATTGGTATTGCCGGGCGGAGGAGGGAAATACAATGCTGAACCAGGTGTGGAAGCGGGAGTGTAGACGGATTGACTGGACATACTGTAGCGGTGTTGGGAAGGGTTGTAGAGACTCGCTCCTGTTGACTGAGGAGATATTGGGGATTGCAGTCCGGGGCTGGCTGCATATTGGGACACGGGCGTTGGGGCGTATTGTGAAGTGGGTGCTGGAGTGTATTGTGGTATTGAGGTGACGGATGGGTTTCGGGATGGGGGTTGGGAGTAGTAGCCGCTGTCGTTGCGTTGATAGTCTGGTTTTGGGGGTTGAACTGTAGTATAGCTCGGCTGCTGGAATTGGTATTGTGCTTGTGGTTGGTTTTGAGGTGGCACCATTTGGTGTTGTTGTAGGTCTTGAGGTGGAGGCCCAGGTGGTGGAGAAGCTGGCATCTGGTGTTGTTGCATGTTCTGGGGAGGAGGGCCTGGTGGAGGTATATGATGTTGTTGTACTTGAGGCGGCGGACCGGGTGGTGGCGTAGGTGTGTGTAACTGTAGGTTTTGGGGAGGAGGCCCTGGTGGTGGTGTAGGTGTATGCAAGACTTGAGGAGGAGGACCTGGAGGCGGAGGTGGTGACATTTGTTGTAGATGCTGAGGAGGAGGACCAGATGGCGGTGCTGGAGACATCTGCTGTGCGTGTGGAGAAGCCGGCCCAGCTTGGACAGAACTATCGTACATCGGTGGAGGTGTACTCATAGGTGATGGAGCAAAGCCCGATATTGCAGGTGGAGGTGAGGATAGAGCAGCTTGCACAGGGGTTGCTGATGGTGGCATCGGCGTTGCTGCTCGAGAAGCTTCATGGTCTGAACAACCAAGACCGACTGTCAATTGTGGTGACATAGGAGCTTCAGGTGCAACCTTGCCAATATTAATTGGAGGGAATGATAATCCTCTCTTTTCCAGCTCCATTTGCAACAGGCGTGCCTTCAGCATAGCAATCTCTTGATCCATTGCACTTTCAGTGCTCGTAACTCCTTCTGAAGACTTGCCCATCTGGGATTCAGCTGGCAGCTCATTCAGTATACTGTGTATGGTTAGTTCACACGTTCTAAACAGAAGTTCGGATATTTACTAACATGTGAGGATTTTCGACGGATTGATTTGGTGGCTTCTCGCTGGAGGACGCTAGAGGCATCGATGGAGAATAGAGAGGCAGTGGTTCAGAATTAGAGGGTGGATATCCTTGTGTTTCTGCTTGTACAGCATACGTTTCTCCCTGTTTCTCCGAAGGATATGCTGCCGCTGCCGCTACTACAGAACCTCCCATGTATGATGCTATTGCTGGTTGAGGTTGCTGGTATGTTAACTGATACGGGGGAGCTGCTTGACCCGAAGGAGTCTGTTGCTGGATAAATCCTGGCTGGTTGATTACTTGTTGATACTGCGGGACTGCTGTTGACGTTCCTAAGGGTGCAAAACTTTGGTTCTGACCAGGTGCCATGAACTGTTGTAGTTGTTGTTGTTGCGTGTTGTTCGTAGGTTGTACCATCATGGCCACCATTCCTGGTGGCGCATAAACTCCAGGAAGATGGACAAGATTCTGAGGAGCTGCCATCATCGGTTGCAATCCCATCGTCTGAGGTTGCGTGACTTGACCCATAGCATACTGTTTCTGGAAACCTGGTTGCTGATGTTGTAACTTAGCCTCTGCTTTCTTCTTGGTATGATCGTCATGTTTTTGCTCAAGAACAGCACCAGCTCCATCCAAAGCCGCATGAGCTACGATGTATTCCATTCCCTTTGCGCCAGCTTCTGCTCCTAACATCTCAGCACCCGGGCCTGCCAATCCTAGCGTCAACCCGCTGATGACTCCGGCAACAGCCATAGGTGCGGCGACATCTCGCTTCCTTGTGTTGTGAGTGTCTCCTCTAGCCTGGAGTCCTGCCTCGATGATCTCTCTCTTCTTTCGTGCATTATGAATTCTAGGTGCTGCTATTCCAAGCCCAATCAAAGAAACACCAGCTGTTAGCGGTGAAAAGAGAACTGAAGTTGCCGTGGAAGTCGCTCCCCCAGCAATCTGCCGAGTATAATTCTCCCATTCCTTATGAAGCTGTTCGGTCGAGAGTGTGTTAACCTTCTGCTGGTACTGATCATAATCGAACGGCATCTTGGCTTAGAGCCCGTCAAATATCGACTTCCAAGAGAACATTCAACTCCCAAGAACTGGGGATAGTTGAGCTTAATCAAGGATCGCTGGGTAGCGCTGAAAAGGCGTCAAAGCCTCACTGCGAACCCCCCACATTCCAAAAGAAAATCGTATTACCCTGGAATTGTGTTCGAAAGCGTTAATAATGGGGTGGTGGCTTGAGATAACACGCGAAATGTGCCAGGTCTCATATGTCCACTCAGCCGCACCTGAAATTTTGAGCTTCATGGTTGGTCTAAAGACATCGGTAATTCTTGAGAGCGCTCACACTTCCGACAAAACGGGTCGAAATAGCACTGAGACCATATTCTGGCGAGTTACATGTTCTAGTAACCGCATGAACGTGGCGTGCAGTGCCCAAATCGATAAATTTGACCAAGCGTAAGGCTTTCACTGACCAAATCCCGAAGCATTGCAGGAGCACACCAATGAGATTGACATAACATCTGCAGCCGATCAATTTGTGGGGTTTTGAGAGTCGCAAAGTAGCCCAATTCGGTACATGAAAATACGAGCGTTGGAACGTTCCGATACTTCAAGGGAGGGGATGTACAACATGCGGAGAAGAGGCATCGTTGGTAAGCAAATCAACACAAAAAGTACTTAACGTGTAACCTCTTTGGCGGAGCCATCCAGATCTGCCTAAAATAAATAAACTCGAGTTCTCATTTCTTTGCTCTTTGCACCAAGTTGGCGCAAAGCTTTTGAAGCCGTGCGAAGTCATTGTACTCTTGCCGTCACCACGACTCTTGGAGCAAAAATAAACAAAGACCACTAAGCGACATTGTACATCGTTTTCAATACTTGAGTAGGTAGCTATAGCTCGAAGTAACCATGGCAGATGAGCCGCACCGGTAAATTCGTCGATACTGGGTTTGCGCTTCTTGTAGCAATAGTGTGCCTATCGAACCGCCGAGGCAGTATTGGATATGTTGAATATTTCATCTTCTTCGACTGAGCGTAGGATATTTATCCTCGAATCTGTTGCTCTCGAATGACCACGGTCACAAGTATGCTCATTCTATCGACCAAATGCTGGTTTGGTCAAGAATCGCAGCCGCCAAAATGGCCATCAACCAGCGCAATCGATAGGAAGCTCCGGATTTGACGGCGCTAAGTCCAGCATCTTCATCGATACCGTCTGCGTATAGTGTGACTGTTGGGATAATTCAACTCAACTCGACCTGAATAATGTAATAAGATGAAGGAGAATACGGAGTAGAGAAGAGCGTTTTGCACTGAAGTAATGAAAGGAGATGCGGAGTCAAGTATATCACGTGATTCTGATTGTCGATACGAAAATTTCTCTGCTACCGAGACCCACTTAAACACCAAGGATTCAGGATCCCCAACGGGATTTTCCCCATTAATGTACTCATGTACGAGTGCTAATGTAGTGAAATGTTTATTGCAATTAACACCTTCACACTCTTGAGAAGCCGTCCCTGCGCAGTGACTGCTCAACCGACTACTTTATGACTCTTTCAATTCACACACCTTATTACTCGGCTTTACCTCTACCCCTTAAGCGTCCTTTCCTCGTATGTGTAATTGGCTGGTAGTCAACAAAGCCAGTGGTACGATTAAAATCAAGGTTACTAGCCTACCATTCAAAGTCTATCGCCCTCATTAATCGTTGCTTATATCATTATAGGTGTGTATTCATACTCGATTGAGATAACCTGAATTCGCGGTTATAATCAGAGGTCCAGATAATCAGCGACTCCTGAATAGAACTCAAACAGTCAAGTATCGTAATTCATTACACAGACCCATTCAACATTACTGCAAAGCACTCAATACATTTAACATCGTTCGTTACCTTAATTCCGGCACTGGACGAAAGTCCCAACGCTCCTGATGCCATGCTGTAACCGGAGGCATCACCCCATCTAGCTCTTCCTTCCACGCCTGCGGGTCTGCCGCAATTGCCCCTTCTTCCTCCGGGTCGGCATTAGTATATCTCCAGACGGTAAAGTGGCAGAAGATTGTCCGAGCCTGGCTCTCCCCCTGTGTCTGCTGACTCTGCTCCAGCTTCCCAAATTTCTCTTGCATTGAGTCGTCTTCCATCAGTACCCAGAACCACAGCTCAGATGAATTACTCCAGAGCGGGTCTGGGGTCTGAAAACAGCTGAGGCTCTCTCTCCACATAGCCCGCTCCTCAACTTTACCCGGTACTAAGAGAGAAGTAAAGGTTACGCGGCCCTCGACCGTAGGTGTCGAGACCTCAGAGACGTAATTCAGTGCAAGGAAGCGGGACGACGACGACGAGGCATCGTCTAAAGCTAGACGCCTCAGTGTAAAGCCAGAGTCGATAGAGACGTCTGAGTTATCGACATCGTACTCAGGGAGCATCTGTAGAAACTCTGCGCAGGCGGGAGAGGACTGGAAGGTCTCTAAGTCTTCTAGTGTTTCCCAGTCTACATCTTATTAAATATTCTCCACCGCAAACGTAAGCAGATAAACCTTACCAATGACATAGGCAGCCCGTGTAGGGTGGTCGACCATCCGTCCTACAAAGACGTCCATGAGGCGGCAGCCTGGCACATTCGAAAGGGGACCGATATAGATGTTGGAGTAGTCTGAAGACCACATCGGCCACTCCTGGGTTTCCGGGAGATAAAACCGCGTCCAGGTAATTATCCCTTTTGTAAACTTCCACCCTGTATCCTTTTTACGAGCCATAATTTGGAGATTTGAACAATACAGGGAGCGAAGAGGGGAGGCGTTCTGGGCCAATACCTAGCGAGCTATAGAGGATAGAGCGAGAACAGATACTGACAAGTTTAAGTAAGCTTGGTCCTTGAGCCTTTGGAAGAATTGGTTTCCCTACTATATATGCCTTTGGAGTGATGCCTGTCTGATTGGAGGCCCCTAGATGCCTGGGTAAACATCCAACAACCTGCCAACAACTTTGTAACCCTAATAAACTGCACCAACAGCGGGGTAAGCTGAGAGTGACTTCAACCGGATTAACGGTGGCTTGTCCACACCTGTTCAACCGGGGCGCATCTACAAGATGGTCACGATTGCATCTTATATCATCTCACTCCGCACCCCGATATTTTAACATATCAATACATCGTAAATCACATTTCAAAATAGCATTTAGTTACGGAACACACAGATTCTACCAATAAATCACCACCGAAGCAGACCTGACCTGAAATGTATTACAGAATCTGAAGGAGCAATCTTGGGCATGATTCTGTAGCAACAACTGACTTTCGCACTAGTTGAGCATAAAATCCATCAAACACGAAATTATTCTTGCAGACAAAACTGTGGCTAATTATATCGATGCTTTCATTATACAAATCGACACCTAGTTCGAAAATGAATACGATTGATTTTCGAGCGTATATGTGACAAGTAGAAATGCGTCTATTTCCTATTCAACGATTATGGCCGTGTAGCAAATGGCACGTGGACTCTCGGATATAGCTGCAAAGAATGTGTTCCACCACCTTCATCAACTTATCGTGTTCGTGAATACGACAGAATAAATGCCTTCGAAAATATCAACTCAGCTTGGCTTGACAACACTGTTTGCAATTGTCATCAATATTTATGAGTTTTATGTGATCACCGTGGTAGAATAGTACCAAACTTTTCTCAACCTTACCCAGCATACGCCTTTGGTGTGTAGAGCTCTTCTGGTAGTAGCTACTCGGTAAGAAGGTACATGATCTAAAGGTCACTGCAAGTATTCGTCACCGCAGTTGGAAGTCTTACCCAAGAGGGCTCAAGAAATTACAACCTAACTGCATTTACATAAAACCAGTTTTCCCAATTTTTATACTAGTCAGACTTTCGCAGTACTGTGTACTTTTTATATCTTTCAATTCTAGCTATCGTAAAGAACAGGGGGGAGTAAGTGGGTTTCAAGAATCTCGCTTAGCAGAACCTGGGAAAGCTGTTAGAGAAAATAAGAAAACTGTGTTATCTCGAGAATTACTGTAGACATATAATCGATTCTATATGAAGTCAACGTACCATTATTTATTTGCAACAAAATAGAGTATTGAAAGCCCTTTCATTGATCCATTGCGCCGCTGGGAGAAATGATAATAGATGAAGATCGACATAGACTCATGGTGAGCGAACTACAACTCCAGAGTAGTTACAGCAACAACACTAGGCGATACTTCTTGGTGGTATTACCTCAAGTTGTTTAGCCATGTAATCAAAGAACTACCGTCTCGTTATAGTTTATGTTGAATTGGGATTATTCTTTACAAGAGGAACCTCTATTGCGATTAGAGAATAAGTGATAGCGCCACGATAAACTTACCTTCATAAGTATGCTTTCAATATAGAACTGATTATAGTGTTGCGTACGGTCCCAACTACGATAGGTCTTTTAAAAAACAGGTCGTCCCGGTTCTGCTTAATTTTCGAGGTCCGAATTTGCGAATAATGTGGAAGCTGGCACCCATGGGCCTTAATCCTCACACTGTATACACCAATGTGGCTGTAGATTGCCCAGATAAGGATTAGTTAGAGGACTTTAGGATTCGTCTCAGAGGTCGTAATGGACTTTTTTATGCTGGAAGTTTAGAGTTTTGGATGGCATATGCTTGCGACAGAGGATTCGGGAGAAATGTTGTAGAAAGTGGAAGGACTTGAATGGACATTTGTTTAATATTGGGTATTAGCAAGACATGATTCTGAGAGACCCTTCTCATTGAGAGTAACTGATGAATCAACGCAAGTACTTGATGGTGGTTAACTTTTGACCCTTTTCCTCGCAGGACTTGGGAACAAAAGAAAATGGAGAGGCCGTGAGGGCCGGCAACCGATCGGTCCGAAGCGATTCAGGTAGCAGGATCACGTTACACGTACCCGATCCACTTCGACGGAAAGACCCACTATTATGGTGATGCTCTGTGTCGATTCATGTTTCATGCAACAAACAACACCAGCAAGCATCAACCTTCCTACGTCTCGAGATGGCCAAAAGCAACAACATGCTTCTTTGATAAGAATATTTCGCTATCATTCCACGTGAGAATATCGCGATACATACACCATCGCAGTCTTGCGGGAATACAGTGATCCCGGCATTATCCGGTCTTGGTCGAGTCTTGGGGAGCATTTTGGCTTCATCCAACGCGATGAAACAGAGTTTGACGACGCTTTTCGGATTGAAAAATTTACCGCTGCTGGCTGTGCATTCTGGGGGCATTATTGGATGAGAAGATCCAATATACTGGGCCCAGGAATAAAGCCGATGAAGTTCTCTGGTCCACAAGAACAATGATACTACTCGGACGAATACCAAGGTCCACAGTGCGGGTATGTTGGATGAAAACTCATATTATTCAGATCAAGTAGGGTAGAGATACTTCAGTTTATCTATATATGCTAATGATTGTACAACAGACATAGCCCCATCATTCACCACGCGCATTTCTCTGCTACGTCGTGGCCATCCAGATTCTGGCCCGTCGTATGAAGGATCGTATGCAAGCAGGACCACCGGCGGCAATCTTACCCCCAAGACTTCGGCCCAGACGTGAGGAACCGCTAAACCACTTAGCATCTGCGTGCCAACCCTTAAGGATTTACTGACGGGCTAAACCCTATTCTATCTCGAAACATAATTGGTCAAAGGTCTGGTCGTGAGTGAGGATCGGCTTTGACCGAAGCCTTTTGCCCCATCTCTCGGGTACTTTGCGGTCTTAAATCTCGGTATCTACATCATCACTCGCATCGCTGGTCTCGCCTGCACGAATCTGAAATTTCATTCTGGGCTTCTAGAAGCAGAAGCAGGGTAACCCAGCACTACTGGCTTAACAGTAGTGCTGCGGGGTGGACTAAAAACTCAATTTGAAAACCACCCTTAAAGAGAAGATGTCGCTTTCAAAATGGAGGGATGTGTTCTCCCTACTCTCTCAAAGAGGCCGTCATAACTATACCAAAATGTCAACACTCGATAACAACAATCAGATAGGCTCTCGAATATCTCTTGACGGGGACGAAAATCCCACAAGTCCTATCAGAGTCGACAATCATTCTACAAATCAAAATCTTCAACCAGACATCCTCTTCCCGACCCAAACAATCACGTTACATGATGGAGTGCTGCACCGTCTGCGACTTATGTGTACTCGATTTCCCATACGCGATACTTCGTTTTTGACTGGTTTCGTCTTCACCTGGGGTTCAGCCATGTTCATCATCAACGGGTTCATGCTCGTCATACCAACCGTCAACCCGAAACTCGCCTTTCCTACGATAACATCCCATGCAGCGCCAGCCACAGCAATCGTCGGAGGTGTGATTTTCATACTAGGTGGATGGGTGGGATATTTAGAAGGTCTAAATTTCAAGAGAGATGGAGAATTCGTGATGACGGTTGGTATGCGTCCTGATGATGTTGAAGCAGCGAGCATCGCAGACAGTTTCAAGCGTGAAAATACCAAGAGCGACAACCCCTTGCGCAGCATGACCTTGCAACAATTATCACAGTCTTCGAGTCCGCCATTAACACCGGATCTTCCCAAAGCAGCAACACAAGCACCACCATCGCGACTTGCCTTGATCGGGAGTCCTCTCTTCATCTGGTATCCATCGCTACGGGAGTTCACCTCCTTCTATTGGTCTGATTTGTGCTTCATGAGTCCTACAGTCACATTTATCGGTACTTTTATCTTTATGCTCGCTATCATCACTGCTGTGCCTGGCGTCCTCGACCTCACCGACCGACCGACATTCTTCCTAGGCAACTTATTTCCCGGCACCCTGGGCGGCGTGCTGTTCACAACCGCTTCCGTCATGCAGGCCATCGACGCACAGGAGAAATGGTATCTCCCGAAACACAAGTCACTGGATTGGCACGTCGGACTCTGGAATACCATTGGAAGTATCGGCTTCACGCTTGCATCGGCGCTTTACTTTTTGGAAACTGCGGACGGCGCGTTGCAGGCTGGCTTGGCTAGTCTGTGGGGTAGTTGGGCGTTTTTAGTTGCGAGTTTGTTGCAGTGGTACGGTGCTATGGCGAAGTATACTTGATATGATTATGGGTTGTCTGATTATTGTGTTTGTATTTTAGATTTATACCGTTCGATACCCGACCGTTTGGAACGGTCATACGGCGTTTTAGAGGATCAGTGATGGAGATTAGATTTCAATACCATCTGGGGCAGCCCAATTACACTCCAAATCTGTTGACCTTATTTGTTTTTCCACAAATCAACCATCAATACTAAAAGAAGTGGAAAGCAATTGACCAAGTGTGGGTTCGTGAGGCATCGCATTTACCGCAACGAAGCGTCGCAGTTATGGTAACTTCTACATTCACTTATTGGATTTCATTGATTTAAATTACTACAAATACGCACTTCAAACCCTTCTCAGGTCTTTGGACCCGATCGAAGCTCTCATTATGTGCAGTTTTGGAACTACGACTTTTTCCTATGTAAGCCTTTAAAGTTTTTATTAAGATATTACTCTTTCAATATATATCATCTCTAGCTTTTTCCTAAGTCTCTAGATTGTTAAAGGCCATCAAGATACTCCAAAACACGCGTTGCTCTTCTCTGGAACTTCTCGTCTACCCTCCCGCCAAGAGAAGACCTCAACAACTCCGCTGGTGTCATTCCATCTGCTTTTGCCTTTGGATCTGCTCCCTTCTCTATCAATCGTATTACCTTCTTGTGATATCCTATATAAGCCGCCAGATGCAATTTTGACAATTCAAAGAACATATCATTTTTCTCCATATACTTCAACAAAATCTTCATTGTCTTGTACGCCAGGTCAAGCCAGCGGGCCTCAATTGAAGATCTTGATCCTCGAACACTCTCAGGAGGTGAGTGTCGGCCTCTTTCCATCACGATATCCAATGCTCGCGCACTATTGCCCGGTGTTTCGAGAAGTGGATCTGCGCTAGCTTCAAGTAAGATACGGGCTGTGGAATAGCCAACATTGTATGCTGCAAGATGCAAAGCTGTCCATCCAAACTTTGTTCGTGTGTCGAGTAGTACTTTAATGTAAGGATATTCGCTCAGCACTTTCTGTAGAAGCCATTGCCCTTGGACGCCTTCTAAATTGAGTAGCGAGGCGCGAACGCTGAGATAATGAAGAAATGTCCATCGCTCTTGTTCTCTACTGAACGCAATGTAGTTGTTGGGTTCACTGATTTGGAGAAGTTTTCCCAAGATTGACATATTCGGCTCTGTACGTTGGTCGCTCAAATAGAACCCCAGAACTGTGAGGCTGGACTTCTTCGATTCTGCAGCAGGATCTGCGCCGCAATCAAGAAGAAGATCTATGAGTTCAGGAGTGCCGCTACTTGTCGCTAAATGAAGAGGTGAATCTCCGAACTCATCGTTGGTCGGGACGTGGACTAGATCTGGTTCTCGTTGGAGGATGTGCCGGCAGACCGAAACATTGCCTTGATTGATCGCCCAATGAAGAGAGTTCCAGCCTGGCTTAAACCTAGTATCGGTATATTGAGAAGCACTACTTTCGGTCCTAGACGAACAGCCAGCATCAAGCATCAGATGCACAATTTTGGCATGAGATGACAGATGTGCGTCTCGCAAACCAATGATCCCAAATTGCAAGGCGCTGAAAATCCTTGGGCGAGTTTCTGGATTGCCTTTTTTCAGAAGATATGCTGCGATTTCAACATCAACTTCGCTTTTATTATGCGAAGAGATCTGAGTCAGAGGAGTGAAGCCCATTTCAGGTTCTAGAAGCTCATTAATATCCCAGTGTTGAGCCAGAACATCAATCGTGTGGGAAATTGCTTCTTTCCAGCTTTTGCCGTGGATTACTGTTCGCCAGACGGGATCGCTTGTATCTAGACAGAACAAGGGAGATTCCATGTGTTTCACTAAATTGACAGAGAACCCGTTCTCTTTATCGAGCAGAAGTTCCAAAACATCGTGGTAATGTAGCGAGGCAGCCAAATGAATGGGGGAGTTTCCAGTCTCCCACGTCAATATATCCGCTCCATGGTTCAGCAGAGCTCGGATCATTGAAATGTTGTGAGAGGCAACCGCCCAATGGATTGGTGCTCCTACAATCTCCATCCACCCCTCGGGAAAAACCAGTGGTTCAGATGTAAATGCGTTAATATCGACATTCGCTATTGAACTCATAATGAGCTGGACTGCTTCTTCAACATCAGATTCCGGAAGCATGACAAGAAAGTGCAGAGGTGTATAGCCATCACTATCCGCAATACTCGCATCACTACCATGAGACAACAGGGCCTTGATAGCATTCAAATGGCCTCCCCAGCAGGCCATATAAATTGCTGTGCGCCCTTCTTCATCTTCGTAATCTTTGGTACCACTTTCGAGCTGAACAGCCAATTCATCGACCATACCAAGATATGCGAGATGATGGATTCCTAGAGCAGGTTGCGAGGCCATGCCAGTTAATACGCGTCTTTGAGAGACCATGTCAATGGCGTGCCAGGGTGTCGTATAACTTTCTGCTTTCATAGATTTAATAACAATGGATATTTGCTCCTGATCATCTGCATCACCAAGAGCGTCTAGAGCAATGATGGCTCGCTTCTCGTGCTCAACAGCGTCCAGTGCTTCTGTCACGATGGATGCTTGCTCTTTCCAGTAGGAATCTTGTATCGCTTCGAAATCGAGACTGTAGGGACGAGAAAAGCTTGCATGAAGTCTTTCAACAACGCTGCATGCGCACATCACGCCAGCTTCAGCTGCCATTCTCATGCAATGTAACATTTGATCAATATCGCGTTCTACCCCAAAGCCGAGAAAGTAACACACAGCTAGATGGAGAGCACTCTTGCCTACTATTTTCGAAGATTTGTAGGTGACTTGCTGCATCAACCCAGACGCAATGGCCTTTTGCAAATCCCACGGTGGAAGTCTCAGCTTCTCACTACTGCCATTATTGTCAAGAATCTCCCCAGTTTGAAGCAAGTCCAAAATCTTGCTAAGGTTTAGCACAATGCTCAAGCAAAAATCGAATTTGATAGATAATTTACCTCTATGGGGGAGTCATCCAAGTCAAGCCCGCTCGGGAGCGCTTTAAATGGTTGGAGAGGTGAGAAAACGATCGTCTGTCCTGGGGTACTTTTTAAGTAGATCAGCAAATGTTCCGAAAGGCTTTGAGCAGTTCTCACCTCTCATTCTCCAACTTTCTGATGTTCTTCAAGATCGACAACGTATTCCACCGATAGTCTGTATCAACTTGTAAAATATTTTCGATCAATTTGTTGAAAATTGTCACTTCAACCCGTCCGGCCACAGTGGAATAACAATCTTTTAACGCGAGTTCGCGCACAACGTCGTAATCTCTCCTCTTAATCGCTAAGTGTACACCAGGTCTATGAAAGAATCTCGCTCCATCAAGCAGAATCTCCCATATCAGTAAGCCGTACGCATACACATCTAGCGAATACGCTCTATCAAGCGCGCTGCTTCTTGCCTCGTCGCCCTTCAAAGTCGTGGAGACACGGAGCTCTGGAGCATGGTACTCTGCGGTACCGTAGTACTCTATCTTACTAGACTTTGCTGCCCCTATTATTGAAGAACCGAAGTCGGCGATTTTAGCACAAATCGTTCCTGGCTCATGCTCACAGACCAGAACATTCTCCATCTTGACATCTCCATGAACGATCTCACAGTGATGTAGCGCGTAAAGTCCCTGAGCAATATCTTCGGTCAGGTCCTGTTTTTGAGCAACGTCTTGGCGCGTAGTCAGGCGTAAGAAGTCACGTAAGGTTCCGTGGCAAGCATACCCTACAACCAAGAATGGCGACATATATGCTTGTTCAGCGTATTCCCAGCCATACCCTAAAAGATCCAAGATATATTTGGACTTTAAGAGAGGTGGATGAGCCATGATACGTATCTCGGTCTGCACTTTCCGAAAACGGCGGATGATTGGTGATTCGACTTCTTCGCGGCTTTCTGTCGCTGGCAGCATCAGTTTGACATGCTTCACTATGACAAGCTCTTTTTTCGTAGCATCTTCACAGAGATCAACTTTGTAATCGAGGCCCTCGCCGAGGCGAGATATGCGAAGGCCCTCGAGAAACAGGCCTTGGTTATATTGCCGCAAACCACAAGATGCGACTGTAGTAAGAAGGGAAGTAAATGATGGCCAGTTTTGAATCTTATCGTGGTCATTCTGTTCGCTGTCAATAGAGGCGTCATCGGCGGTTGGAGATTCGAGCTGTAGACCATAAAGGCCTGAGAGTAGAGTGACGGCTGAAGTGGCTGAAGCCATGTTTACTCATATAAGTGAGCGGGCGACAGTATACCAAGTTGTGTATGTGTAGAGTGCAAGATAGCGAAACGTCAATATTCTTCGATAGCCTTGCAGGAAAATGGCTTTGCTGCAGCCAGCCAGATTAGGAGTGCACATGATAGTATCGCCTTTGGTTGCGCTTTCCCGATCGAAAACACGACCAATAACCACGCAGGCCTGGGTAATCGCATGACGCTACTCGAAAATTCATGGTCCCATATCTTCATTTCAATAAAAACAAAAACGTCTATTGTATTCTGCAGCGACCTTCAATTTGACAATAGAGTATGGCTTTAGCTGCCGGCCTCGCTCTGGCGACGATCTCACTTATTGACCCAACCATCAAGCTGCTTGACTTCGCCATTACCTTCGTTCACGATGCTCGGCACTCCAGCAAGGCTGCCAGCGAGAATGGTTTGAAGCTGTCGGAGCTCAAGAATAGATATGATTCTCTTCAAAAGGTCCTTTTCCAGGAAGAAAAGTTCTCGTTCGTCAAAGGCAGACTCTTCGACGCACTTCCGGTGAAGACACAGCGCCTAGGTTTACATATGTTCCGCGAATTTCCTCAGCTACTTTTTGAATACAACGCAGTTGAAGCTTCGTATCAATCGAGCCAGACATCGTCAGAACTGTCTGGTTCTAGCACAGGTGACATTTTGAGTTTGGATGAGCTGCAAATCATTTTTGAGAAAGAGGATGCAAACCATGAATTAGTCACGACACCAGAGATCAGAGTCGGCCGCTGGAGAAGCCTGGTGTGGTCAGCTCGAGGCAAAAAGCGATCTGAAAGGCTGATTTCTCAGGTTGAAGACTGGTTGACTCGCATCAAGAGTCTTCTCGAAGACGTCTGGTGGCCACTTCCATTCCTTGAGTATAGTATCAATCTCCAGGCTCTAGAATCAGACAGCGATGTGCAGGCTGTAGGGTTGGCTGAAAGTGTTGGGTTGAGAAAGCTCCTAGTTGACGATGCGAAACTTCCATCTCAAATGAAGCTTGAAACTCTCCAATTGGACGTTAGACGCTTCGATGATGCGTGCCGGGGTCTATCCGACTATGAGGGCGAAACTGTGCTAGTCGAGTATGCGCCGTATACCCCGAATTCAGACGGCTTTTTACCTGGCTTATTGCGAAGACGCTTCGCCGAACTCGCTTGTCTCCTCAACCAGCAGAAAGACTCAAGGTTCCGAGCCTTACACTGCTTGGGCTATGTTGATTCCACCTTTCCTCGCCTCGAATTCCAATTACTGTTTCAGCTGCCAACAGTATCGCTCAAGCCGCCCGCTCATCTTTTGTCTTTGTACACATCAAAACAAGTCCAAAAGCCGTCACTAGGAGCTCGGTTTCAGCTATGTTTCCAGTTGGCCCAGTCGATGTCGCTATTCCATTCGGTAAACTGGATCCATAAGAGCTTCCGTAGCACAAACGTCCTTTTTTCCCCCACTAGCAGTGACACGGACCGCAGTCTGGGAATTGAATTCACATCTCCGTTCGTCGTAGGATTCGAGGCTTCACGCTTAACCAACGACTTTTCTTCTGGTCCATACGATAATTTGCTGTCGCAAAACGTCTACAGACACCCTGACCGTTGGGGCATTCCCAACAAAACGTTCACCAAGTACCACGAGATATATTGTAAGCATTACAAGTCATTCTTTGTTGACTGCTGGGTTCTCGTAGCGCTAACTTTGTACAAGCACTTGGCATTGTTCTCCTGGAAATTGGGCTTTGGGAGCCAGCTGAGACGATGGGCGGCAACAACTTTAAAGCTGTGAAGCAAATCCCTACTGCTATCAGTGGAGCTTTGCTCAAGCAAGCCGAACGACGATTAGCTCATCGATGTGGCGAAAAATTCCGTGAAGTGGTAGTGAGATGTTTAAAAGGCGATTTTGGGATTGCGGCTGATATGGACGATAGATTGGATTCCGAGCTGCAAGAAAAGTTCAGAAAATGTGTTTTAGAAAATTTGGAAGAGCTGGCTACAGTCGTATAACGATTTAGAAGGGTAACAATATTGTTGTAAAAAGCTGAAATATTCTAACATTTTAGTAGACATACTAACGAAGGCCTTCTAAATCCTTATTAAATCGTATAAAACCTTTTAGATCCTTTAATAAGAGCGATTTCTACGTCTTTTACATAGAATAGATTATCTTTTTTATTATACCATTATCTAACAATTATTCTTGACACGATTTTATATAAAAGTTGAGCAGTTCTCAAAAAGAGTTAGACTTAGTGATTATTCATAAAGTTACAAGCAACCTCCTCACTTAGATACCACATAGTTATTTTAGTATGTCCTACCTGCTAAGCTTACGAAACGATGCGATCCCCCGCTTTGAAAGAATCTCGCGCTCGCCTTTCACTAAATCTATATCACAATAATTCTAATATTAACCGCAATCCCCATCTCATCGGCCGAGAAACTACTGAGATTCCCGAAACTAATCCAGTTTCTCGTTCAAATTTGCACAACGATATATCGTTACAATGATACGCTCTTACAGTCACAGGCCAAAACAACAAGGTGATAGGTAAGCCAAAGATATTCCTGATCTCCTCTAGACTTCTATTAATTAGTTGGAAATCACCTATACCTTCTTCTCTTCCCTCCACGAATGTTTTCTCTTCATGAAAAGCAGAAGTCCAGATTTTTTCAACTGATTAACAAGAAATTTCCCTCTTCATTGTTTACTGCCTCAAAGAATTTATCTTAACAACTTGACTAAGACTTCTATAGTTTTTGCAACTGTTCTCTTCGAGCTCTTCTACAGTCAATTTATCTAATTTAGACTATCCTGTCGCATAAGTCAATCTTAAAACAAGTTTTTGCCCTTTTCACTACTTTTATTTACAGCTAAGCGACCACACCTCCATGTCAAAAATCCACGCTACCTTTTTAATCCCCCCCTAGTTAATCACACGTGCGCTAAAACCCTCATCCATTGAAACAAAGAACTCAGTCAGTGAATAATGACCTTCCATCCATTTCCGTATACACGTTTTGTTCACAAAGAACCGGGTATGTTTCGAAACATTTATAGTTTCTTTGTTTAACCCCCATCTTAAATTTCTGATACGAAGACTTTAATGTCACGAATCAAGTCGTCTTTCCTCTTGATTTCGTTTTTTCTTTAATGCGCAATTCCTGGTACACGATTTAAAATTCGAAACCCCAATACTCCGAAATGCCATCCACTAAAAAATACGAATATCTATGCTGCGTATATCTCCCATCTCTCTACCCCCCACTTTCTTCCCTCGTCCTCTCCCCAATTTCCATCCTCTTTCTCCCCTTTACATTTTAACTCTCTAACTCCCTTTCCACAGCAATGCAACCACTATAACCCTGTCATCAAAGGCGATTGGAAAGACGTTCCTCGCTCGACCAATTACATTGGTACCTATCCACAGACGTATCCGCAGGTGTGTCCGAGGAAAGACTGTAATGGGCATAAAAGGTGTGATGAGGGGTGTTCGGATGATATGGCGAGGGGGTGAGTAGGGGAGGAGGCGGGTGAGGGGTGAGAGGGTGAATGGGATGGGAGGTGAAGTTGAGTTGGGTTTCGGTGATGAGATTTGTCTGAAAAGGGAGAATTAGTCATTTAACGAAGAGATGTCCTAGCAATACCACGAAAGTTCGTGAATTGTCGACAAAATTTCTCTATGACAGTAATTTCGTCGTCATCGTAAATCAAGTAATACGTAGAGATACCTAGACTTATCACCTCTACCATGAAAATCCTCTAGTAAGGAAATAGGCATGATTTCTGTTCTCGTGAGTCGGGTTTAGAGGCTAAAAGTAGGCATATTGTGTTCTGTTACGTTAGTTAGGAAATTGATTGTATTGGATGAAATATGTATATTGTTGTAGTAGAGAATCAGTCAGCAGTTGTCTGTGTTTTGGTAACAGAGAGTCGGGATAGGCTTTTCGATATTTAGAATAAGAGGAGAGTTTGTTGTTAGGGTCTATAATAAGGTCCGGAGGTCTGTCAAGTGGTTATATTGAGATTAAACATTTGGAAGGATGGGATTATAGGGGGGAATAGATTTCTCGCTTAACTTGTCAGGGCTGGAGATGCAGTTTTGAAGTTAGAACTTTACTTTCTGAAGAAGAATAATTACTGGGAATAACAAGACTACGAAATCAGCCTGATATTTAGTTTCTGCAACCGACTCATAGTACTGTGATACTTAAGACACCCACGAAATGCGCCGCCGACTTGTGCTTAGAAAGGACTTGACTCTAGTCAGTTCCGCGTCTTGTGTGTAATATTTGATTTCCAGGTCTGTAAGATGCCTGAGAATTAAGAAGAGCAATTGCAAAGATTACTGTAGGTGGGAGAAACTTGCTGCAAGAAGAATTGCTAAACTGATCAGAGTGCACTCTCATATCTCACAACTTAGCCCGCGGAACACTACCCATAATCACAATCTTCCCACACCCAACCCTCTCCGCCTCCCGATTCAACGCATCAATCTCAGCCTTAACATACGGAATTCCATTCTTCTCCCTCTCCCTCCTAGTCACCTGTTCAATCTCTCCAGGAAACCAAATCCTCTCAACCCCCTTCATCCTCTTACTCCCCACCACCTTCTCATACAGAACACCCATCCTCTCCCTAAACGTCTCCAAATCCATAAACAAATCCGGCTTGATCGCAACCAAGAAATGCCCAACATCAGCCGCTTTACTCGCATCATACGGATTCGTAACACCACCCGCAAACGCACTCCCACTCAACACCCCAGAAAACACATCCATCATAACCGCCAACGCGCTCCCCTTCGGGCCTCCCATAGGTAACATCACACCTTTCAACGCCTCCGCCGGATCCTCCGTCTCATTCCCCTCCTCATCCAACGCCCAACCCAGCGGGATCTTCTCCCCTCTTCTAAGTGCTTTATACACCTTCCCTCTCGCCGCCACACTCGGCGCCATATCAAGCACAAACGGCTCCCGTCCCTCACCCCCAGGCGCACCGCACGCTAGCGGACTCACGCCCATGAGTTTCTCTCTCCCGCCCCATACCGGGAGCGCCGGAGAGGAATTCGTGAACACGAGACTCATCATGTCCGCATCGACGGCCTGTTGCACGATCCACGCCGCCATGCCGAAATGATTGGAGTGTTTCACGGCGCACATCCCGATCCCATACTCCTTAGCCATGGCGATGCACGATTCCATTCCCAAGTGGGCGGAAACAAAGCCAAAGGCATTGTGGCCGTCGATGTGAGATACGACGGGGGTGATCTGGTTTAATTCTGGGGAAGCGAGGGGGTCGAGGACGCCGGACCGGATGCGATTGATGTAGGAGGGGAGACGGTTGAGGCCGTGGGTGTCAATGCCGCGGAGGTCGGCGGCGACGAGGGCGTGTGCTATGGTTTGAGCGTGGGCTGGGGAGACGCCGTGGGCTGTCAAGAGGGAGACGGTGAAGTGTTTCGCGGATTGATGGGAGACATAGATCTTTGAGGAAGCGTCAGGTGATGAGGACATCTTTGTTGCGATAGAAGTTTGCAGTTGGGAATTGGGAATTGGATATGGGTAAAATATAAAGGATCGAGTATAAAATACTTAAGAAATGAAAGAAAATCTCATAAAAACATACTCCATCCCTCAAACCTCAAGACTTCCTCTTAAATCCTACCTCCCTCTCACACCGTCTTCGCCTTGAAACTCAAAATCCCAAATGCGAGTTCGGAATCCGATCACGTGAATACACCTCCCCACTTTTGCCGTGTTCGGCACCTACGTACTGACATGCGAGTTGCTTACTTAAGAAACTCATGGCAAAGATCAGTAAACATTCGTAGTAAAGGATATTTCCTGCGGTTTGTAAGACTTATGAAACTTGTCAACAAAAATTAACGAGCGCGAATTTTGAGGATGGGACTTATTTCAGTCACATTTAAGTTGCAACAATAGAAGACATAGAGGTGTTTCAAAAAAAAAGGGGGACAGATCTGATAAGAATCACAACTTCAAAGACGCCTAAGGAGGAATCTGATAATTTGGGGTAAGTGTTTTTAGACAAGTGGTAATTTCCAGAAACTGGTTTAATTTATGGGATATACTAATGGAGGGATAGGCTTTTAAGTTCAGGATATCTTCGATCACCCAATGACCAAGGTATTCTACACTTTCTCGAAAATGGCTGTTGACACTAGTCGCTAAAGTTCTGATAACTGTTATGAGAATGTTTCTACTACTATAATGATGCTAACAACGATGATTTAGGACTTTAACCTCAAAACCTTCCACCTCCTGACAAACAAGTCTTTTGACGAAATCTCTTAAACGGATTCCCTAAAGCCAGAATCTGGAGTACTAGTAATTTCTACGAGAGCCTTCTGTTGATTTCATGCTAACAACCACGAACTAGGACTTTCATCTCGAGATATACCTGAACGTAAAATCCTCGACACAATATCTTAAACAAATCTTTCGATACCAACCCACCATCCCGCCACTCTAACACTCTCGCCAACACACAAAAACCTCCCAACCCTCACCAACAATGACCACCCCCCTCCCAATAACCCGCATCCACACCCTCCCAACCTCCCCCTCCGACCCCCTAACCCCCTTCCTGCTCGGGAAATATGTCTCCCTCCGTCTCAACGCCCTCCTCACCTCTCCGAGCTCCTTCGCCTCAACCCACGCCCTCGAATCGATGCACCCATACAGCTACTGTACGCAACTTCCCCCCCTTTTCTTCCCCCTAAGCTCGTATTCTAGGTGTTCGTGGGAATAATGCAATCCTTAGACAAGGCTCTATCCTCCTCTTTCCTCTCCCCCTCAAAACATACACCTAACAATCCAAATCCTAACATCCCAGGGTCGACGCGACTCTCCTCCCCCACAACCACAATCCTAGTCGCCGTATCCTACCCCCCCTACACCCCACCATACCTCCAAACTCTCGACAGAGGGGACTTCATAGGCATGACCACGCTCCTCGGTCCCACCCCCTCATCCACCTACTCAATCCCCCTTTCCGGTTTCCTCCCTCTCCCCGACTCTCAAGAAACGAAATGGCACATGTGCGCCGTCTATCTCGACCCTTTGTACCGAGGGCAGGGGATTGGGAAGTTGCTCGTTAACTTTGCGGTGCAGTTTGCGGTCGCGAGATCGCAAGGGGAAGGGAGTAGGAAAGGAGATGGGAGTAAAGAAGGGACGCGGGTGCGCGCGATCGTGCATCCTGATAACAGGGGGGTGATGGGATTGTATAGTAGCCTGGGGTTTGGCGAGAGGGGACTGTGTACGTTGGAGGAGGCGTATGTGGGGAGTGGGGATGGAGAGTTGGTTCCTGTTGGGGAGGAGAGGGATGAAGGGAAGTGGGGGGATAGGAGGGGGATTGTGATGGAGTGGGTTGGAGAGGGCTCTTAGGGGATGAGAGGGGAGAAGTTGGCTAGAGAAGGATTTTTGCGTTTGTTCTTATTCTGAAATGCGAGTTGACCGAGGGGTGAAGGGGTTGATAGAATATGACTTGTATTCTGATGATTTCGATTGTACTGATGAACCATGTGTTTTAACGTACCAAAGCAATGAAGCTCCTGCTGTTATTTCGGACTCCCTCTTAGAGATTTACAAGCGCTGGAGCTTCTAACAAATCATCAAACCTCACATCAACCCACCCAGGCAGCCCCCTCAGTTCTTCCGGGTCCAACAATCCCTTTCTTCTCTCGCCCTTCTCTTCTCCCTCTCCATTTTCTACGAGCTCCTCTAAAACATGTTTTGCCTTTCCTTTGCGTGTTTTCACTATAAACCTGTCTGTTTGCTGACTGTTTGACTCAGAGGTAGGTTGGAAGGGGTGTGATTCTTCGATGTTAGGAGCTGGTTTTTGTGATAGAGGATTTTGGTTTTCGTAATTTGGTTCATAACTGGTGTTGGGTGATGGTGTTATGTTATTAACGTCCTCCTCAGATGGAAAAGTACCGTTTCCATCAGGGAATAATGCATCCTGGAAATTTCCGCAGACCTCTGACCACTGCAGCCACTGTAACCCCGTCAGCACATAGCTCAAATTTATAGTCGAACAGAACAAGATTGTTGTTTCATTTCTCCAAACATCTTCAATAAGAAAAATAGGACAAACTCACCTTCCCATCACCTGTCCAAGCCCCAAATCGTCCCCCAATCCACTTCCTCTCTGAGTCTCTCAACTCAATCATACCTTCACCTACATCCTTGTCTGCTGAATTCTTTGAATAGTCCCTCATCAAACCTCTCGCGTATTCATAAAACCACATCTTCCCCCACATCTCACCACCTAGTGCTTCACCATGAACATTCAATACGGCAGGACTACTGCCACCAGGCATGACTAGATTTGGTGCAAGAGCGACATCAAGCCAGGTAAGCTGATCCGAAGGCAGGCCATCGGAGGCTGGAATAGGTATCTTGGAAGCGGAAGAAGAAGATTGGTGTTTCGGAATTGGTGGAAGTGTTGATATGAGATCTTGTGACAAAGTCACTGGTACATAGCTGGCATGGTCCGAGAATTCAGTGGAGGATGAGTTGGTGAAGTTCTTGAACGTAACAAAGCGAACATCTTCAATAGAATGATCCATCATCTGGAAAATGGAATTTCCGTAGTCGAGAGTAATTCCCAAGTCATACTCAGGCGCAAGATTTAGATTCTGCTCACGCGAAGCAGACCAAAAGCCTTCGAGCTTCGACAAGAAATAGCTCTTCCAGCCCGAACCACAAATTTTCCTACTACACAGAGTCCGCTGTTTCTCCTGCTCGCCGAAAATTTGTGAGAGAATTTTCTGGCTGTCGTGGTTTTGGTGGGGGTGGTGTAAAAGATCAGTGGCATACTTGTATATTGGGCGGAGATCCGAGACTTGGCCTATTGCCATAGTACTACTTAGAAACCGTGGGCGGTTGTACTTAAGATTCGGGTGGTGATCCGTGTAAGATCCGTATAGATCTGATGGAAGGGTCGATTCCGGTACTGCTGAGCATGCGGGATCTCTAGGTGAGTTTGAGCAATCTTTCGATGCTGCGAACAGGACGGCTTGTGTCAAAATCGGCGCGCCGAATGAGGACTGTGTTACAAGAGATTCTTTTGGAATCTTCACGTCCCTTGCCATCAACCTTCGATTAGCGTCATGCAAGCTACGGAAGAAGCGATGGATGGTGATTTCTGGAGGAAGTTGAAGCCAGCTATCTGATTCAGAACCATAAGTATTTCACATGACAGAATAGGTATTGCGAACCTTCATCTATAGCTAAGACCAAATCCTTTGCAGCTACTTTCCTTCCCGCCAGAAACTCATAGATCCGCTGGACTGCATCAGCTCCTGGTTTCAGACCTCGTTCATCGGTTCCATAATTTATCAAGATGGGCGCCGGATATTTGAGGACGGCGGCTGAAGCTATAGTTCGGCATATATTTACGCTTGGAGTCTGATTGAGTGTTGTGATAAGAAGGTGTAATCTAGGTCTCGTCGTTTTTAGACTTTTGAGGTCTTTCAGCTCGACATTTGCGTTCCACCTTTTGGCATCAGCTCCATCAAATTGATACGTTGATTTTACCTCTGCAATACTGAGAGGCAATTTGAAAGCATATGTAGTTGTAATCTGCTGTGTCTATTTTGGTAGTGTCAGTGACTTCCAATATATGTGACATGTGAAAATGCAAACAGCATGCACTCGTTCGTTGTGCTACACATACATGTTTAAGCGTTAAGGAAATAAAGCCAAATACAGCTAACGACATGACAAGCAACCGTCGTACAGCGCGCCTTGGTCTAGAGAGTCTATTCAAACGACGTGACTCTTCAGTGTTACCAGGGCTGCATGACTGTTTCCCTGAACACATGGCGTGGAATGAACAACATGTGGGTAACTGGGTGCCTAAGAATGCAATCAGGACAAGTAAAATTAGTGTAAAAGCAAGTAGTCCATAAAAAGAATCAAAAGCTTGATAGATAACAGTGCAACTGACAAACGGGACGCGTATCGACGTGGAGGCGGTCGTGATATGGTGAACCGTAACACTCAAGTCAGCGTAGTATGGGGAAGGAACATTGGTCATGACCTCGGCAGGTACCTTAGGTAGGTATGTCTCGATCGGTTACCGCGCTTGATCTCGAACCAGAAAAGAAATTGGGTCCAGAAACTCCATACCTAGTAGATGCTGGGATACTATTTTTACCAGATAATCGTCTGGGTATTCAAACATCTTTTATTATGATGCTCCTCGGAGCTTCTGCAGTTGACTGAGGAACCCATAGCCACCCTGAGGCTTATTCTCCCCAGTCGGTGATGCCGCCTCTTCATCACGAAGTTTTTCTACTCGATGACTTAGACGGGATCCTTGCTCGGCATCTCTTAATAAATCTCTATGCCTATCTTCAACCAATTTTGCCAGACTTTCCACGAACTTGACACGAGCCTTTTCTTCAGCGGTGCCTCTCCAAACGTTTGCTAGATCTTTTAATTCCTCGACTCGTTTCGCCGCTGCCTCGATACCATCCACGGGGTCGCCTCCCACCAAAAGGTCCGCAATTTCATCTCGTAGTTGTTTAGACACTTGCTGGCCCTTCTCCTCCGTACTGTGCATATCAGACCCGGGCTCGGGTGCTGAGACGGAGAGGAATGAAGAAGTGACAGAAACCTCAGATGGTGGAAAGGTCCATGCCATCGCGTCGCCAAATGTTTTTATCACGGTATCCAGCCGGGAACGCACCAGAGTAAGTGTCCGTAACTGAGTGATGTATAGAGGATCAGAAACGGGAGCGTCTTCTCGAATGGGGGTCTTGGGCGCTGCTACCGACATCCTCCTTGAGTGTGAATTGAGATCCGTTGTCTTGGAAGTCTTTGTCGCAAGCTCGTGTTCCAATCCTCCTGGGACAAACTTAGCCACGTCTTCTTGCAACCCTTCCGTCAGCGCTTCAGACAACCCAAGCGTTTCCCCCCGCAATACCTCGACCTCATATGCCAACCGACTTCCGCTTCGGAGTATCTCATCTGTCAATTGAGTCAGAGTCGTCGTTAGCCTAGTTGTATTTGCGCTAAGCTGCGAGAGCAATGTCTGTGTTTGCGTGGATAGTTCGGCCAGAGACACGCTGTTTGCTGCCGGCTGGGAGACGTTGGAGGTGTGTAGAGGTAGAAGTGTAGAGTTGAGATAGTCTGCCGGATCGAACGACGGATTGAGGAACGGTTGAAGCAACGGGTCTGCAACATGCGTAGACTTAGGCTCGATGGTGACCGTGGTGTTGTTTTTTGATGCTGGAGGCCTCGTCGCGTGGCTGAGGGGCTGCTAACACGCCGTCGAGAAGATTGTGAATCCCACGCCATGTCGAAGAACTGCCGTGGCGAAGAGAACGTAGAAGATAACGTCGAAGATAACGTCGAAGATACCTATTGTGAGCACGTTGAGGGGTGAACTACCTCTGTTCGCGGTACTGAATGGAAGAGAGTTTCGATCGAGGCCCTTAGCGGGGGTTGTATGGTGACATTACTCGGAGCACAGAAGTGCAGGGATCATGGTAAGCTATTGCAGGGCTGCAGGTCCCACTTACTCCTCTGTTCATTTCGCAACCTCAAGGGAGGGTCTCTGATCTTTGTTCAGCAAACATGCCACTATTCACACTTTGCCATATATGGCGACCTCCTCCTGAACTCAGATGAACCAATTCACCGCTACTACCGCTACCGTGGTGGTCATACGAGGCCGGTTTCCAGGCACCCAGCCGGGGTGGGCGGAGAGATGATTTGATTGGCTCCTGGTCGCTAGCACAAGGCAGGCAGCGAGGCTGGACATTTCACCAACGAACGATCGAGGGATGAACATGATTATGACGCTTTTCCTCCCAGCTCACCAATGCAATTTTTCAACTCATACAGTATATTAGTTCCCAACTCCTAACCGCCGTCGAAGCGATCTCTTGCGACCAACTCACAGCCGCGTCTTTTATGTCAGTCACGCTTCGGGATGGTCTCGTCCCCTCCCAACTTTTGAGAAGAGAATCTGTATAGAAGCCCACGTTCACTCCCCCAAGTCGATCTTTTCCAAAAGAACATTCACCCACTTCACCTACGCCCTCGGAACGCTACAAAACCTCGACTTCTGCTCCAGGATAGAATCTTGCCACCTCTGGCCCAGACAACTTGTTTCACAAGCATAATTCAAGCTTATTACCACTGCCACTTCCCGTGACGCCGCAACCGCCTCCTCGATCTCCTCGAAGAAGACTTCCCGTCGTATTCCACAACACACGCCTCCATCAGGCGCATATAGAACTACTCACCAATCGCCAGAATGGGCCGAAAAGCGTATATTGCCGATGTGGCTGCAGCAGCCGCCCTGTCTATACCTGGTATCACTTCGGTTGTGAAGGGTTCGGAGGATGGCGATGTACATGTCTGTTACACTCCTGCAACTGGGTTACCTATTGAAATTTCTCTGCTCTCTCTAGGTAAGCCTTTCGGCTACTTTTCTACCGCTCTCACCGTTCAATTTCGCCAACTATGCTCTGTCACTTACCTGATAATTGAGCATGACTACTAACCGTGCGTAGAGGTCGGTGGTTATCCGCAAGAAAATTTCTATATGATCACTACAGAGTCCATGGACTTGCCTGCAGGGGTAAACTCGATTCTGGCCGAGATTCAAGAATCGTCAGCTGGGAAGTCAATTCAAGATCTAATTAGTACGATTTCAAAGAAATTGGGAAAGCACCTGGCAATGGGTTCAAAGGATGATGTCGAGATGGAGGATAATGATGCAGATTTTGAGGATGATGAAGAGGATCCTGAAGACTCCCAATCTTCCAGTGACGAAGACCCTTTCGATATGGACGGAGATGACGAGTACTTTGGCCAACGCGAGGGTATCAGGGGCGCACGCCTTGCGGCCAAAGTCAACATGACTCCCGAGATTGCAAAACAGCTCAACCGACGCATCAGATCCGACCTTCGTGCTGCTAGACAAGCTGGGTTCAAAATTGGCATCGTGTCCGGAGCTAAGGCAGAATCGATGTCTAGTATCATCAGCATTTCGGTCAAGGTTGACAACCTTGGACTTTCAGAAGAAGCTGTTCAAGCGTGGGACCTGGAACCACAGCAATATATCGTCTTTTTGATTAGATATGCGGACGGGTATCGAAATTTCGAACAAATCATGGACGCACCTGCTAAGTCTCTAGACATAGATTTTAGAGTAGGCGTCAGCAACAAGTATAAACCAGGTATTGTACCTGCGCTGGCTGCCTTTACAGACTCGAACAAAGACCGCACCAAGTCCACAGAAAATACCGCCAATACCGCAAACACAGCAGAGTTGCCAATGGATGGGCACTTTTCAAATATGTTCATCAGCAGCTCCCTCAACGATTTTATCAATACATCACTCATTAGTTTGCTGAAAATTCGCGACATGGCTAACCTCAGCTGGCGTGGTGCAAAACTTTGGTTCAACGAGAAACAGTCCCGACATGATGTTAACAATTCGGATGTTCCTTCATCGTACTATGATGAAAGTGTGCTGCCAACAGAGAAGCACCTGCCAGAGCTGCTTGTAAAGGATCACTTGCTCGAGGCTAAGTCCAAGAAAAAGACAATATCTTTCCCTCTCCTAGCAGCACAGTTTGCGGTACACTACTTGGCTCGATGCACCGAGTATTGTCTTGTCTGTCACGATGAGATTGAGCAAAAGTTTGAAGCTTTGAAACCTTATGTTTGTAGTAAGCCACTGTGTCTCTACCAGTACATGTCTCTCGGCTTCGGACCTTCAATTGAACATGAGATATTGACACAACCTTACGTCGTGGATCTGCTCGTTAGTTTTTGCTACGCCGCTGCATGGGTACAGCCTTTTCCCCTTTTATGATTGTACTGCAATGCTAACGCGAAGCAGAATAAGAAGCTCCGCGAGTACCCCACAGGTATGAGTCTCGCAGTACCGCTACTACCCAATGGCATGTATGCAACTGCGGGTGGTGCATACATCCCTCCAACATACGCCCCCACCGAGCCAACCCAAAGTGCGGCTACCCCGACACCGCCCCTCGAGAAGGTCAAGTTTAATCCTGGTGCTGATGAAATTGTCTTTGAAACTCTGGGCAAATGCCCTGTACGGACGGGTGATTGGATTGTGCTTATGTGTAATAGCACTGGTGGGTTCAGGATCTCTTGTTGGTAATTAATGATATTGTGCTAACAACTCCTCAGATCGCACAATGACACATTATCGAATACAAGACACCTCCCGATTTCCCAATGTGACTTTGTCAACTCTCGGTGTGGTTCGAAAGTCCAGTCTTACTTATGAAATCGAAGTTCAAAGCCGAGCAGCTCTAGCAACTCCAGCAACCCCACCTACAACCGGGCCAATAGTGGATGCGGAGGTTGCAGTCTATAGTCATAACTTTGACGACATGATAGATCTTGCAAAAGCTGAGCAGATCGTAATGCTTCTCGAGACATTGCCATCTATTCGGGAAATGAGAGCTTACCTCGTACAACAAGCACGCGTCGCAGAACCGAACCTTCGTGCTTGGAATGATCGTATATCTCCAGCAGCTCTCGGTCTACTTCGTTGGATTGTGGCTTCCAACCGATCTTGCATTGTTCAAGTAGATGAATGCCCGAGTCAAATTGAACTTGAAGTTGCTTCCGAGAAGATTAGGCTTGACCAAAGAATATCAAATATAGAGCATACTTACGTGCAATTCAGATTTTCACAAGGAGCCCCCGACAAAGAACAGAGATTCTTGAGTGCGCTCAATGAGAACCGCAACAAGCTCAATCCAAAATACCCGACAGTTTTTGCGTGGCATGGAAGCGCTCTCTTTAATTGGCATAGCATTATTCGAAGTGGTCTAGATTTTAAGGAGATATCGAATGGACGAGCGCATGGTAATGGTGTGTACCATGCCTTAGAACAACTGACATCTGTGAGCTATGCTGGGGCTGGGAGGGGAGCAGTAAGTTCTAACAATCAATGAAATTGGTAGTGACTAAAGCTGACTAACCATCCAAAATAGGGAGTATGGCACGGATCTGAGCTCAAAATAAACATGGCGATGAGCTTGAACGAAATCGTCAATGCACCTAGCCTATTTACAAGCTGCAATCCATTTCTAGTAGTGCAGTACATCGACTGGATCCAGTGTAGATATCTGCTCGTACAGACTGGTAATGGGCCATCAAGACTAGATCCGCCCAAAAATCCACCTCAATCCCTGAGAGTTTCAAGGTACGCAGTCAAGCGTCTCATCCGTGCTTCTCTTATTTAGGCAACTAATTCTTCAACAGCGATGGTCACCTTGACAGCATTGAACAAGACCCAGCTTTCACCGCAAAATCAGTAAATGGTAAACCAATCGGGATTCCATTGTGTGCTATCACAACATCCCGAGGCTTCCGTGCCGATAGCAGTATATCAACACCACGTAATAAGAAACGGAGACATGCTAGGTCTTTTGACGAGCTCGGCTTCGTAGCTGCTAGTGATAATGATGAGTTGGAGGATATCCAATTCCTCCTTTCTGATGATGAGAATGAAGGTCGCTCGGACGGCAAATCGTCAGGTCCAATGCTGGCCATGTAAGTTCAAATGAAGTAGCGTCGCTACGATGATATGCGTCAAGCTAACGCCATTCTAGGAACTCAACTTCACTCACAGATTTCGTCCCTGGGTCGTTAAATCGCTCAAGTCTTCCCATGCTCGACCCACCATCGTATGCTACTCCAATGGCAACCAAAACGTTGCAGCGAAATTTGAAAGAAGTCCTCGACATCCAGTCTAAGACTCCCATCCATGAACTAGGCTGGTTCATTGACGCGGAATTGATCGATAACTTCTATCAATGGATTGTTGAATTACACTCGTTTGACCCAGAAACACCCCTCGCTAAGGATATGAAGGCCGCTGGTGTGACTAGCGTCGTCCTCGAAATTCGATTTGGAAAAGACTATCCTCACAGTCCACCCTTTGTGCGAGTGATCCGACCACGATTCCTGCCTTTCACACAGGGTGGTGGAGGTCATGTCACGGCTGGAGGTGCAATGTGCATGGAACTTCTCACAAACTCTGGTTGGAGCGCAGTTTCTTCTATTGAAAGCGTTCTTCTTCAGGTTCGTATGGCCATGATGAACCCCGAGCCAAAACCTGCCCGTCTGGAGTCGCAGCAAAAGTCCATTCAACGTGACTATGGCATTTGGGAGGCAATCGACGCATATAAACGTGCTTGTGCGCAGCATGGATGGCAGGTTCCTCCAGACTTCGGAGACTTTGCCAATAATGGTGGTGATTCCAGAATTCTTATGTAATGGCAGATGGGTTCTTTCTGACGACTGGGGTGCTTTGTATTGATTCGATGGCCAGACCTAAAGCGGGAAGTTGGGTATCCTCGGCGTCGTTTAGCTCAGGCTCTGAACACATATTTTACGACGAAATGAGAGACGAAACTGGGTCAAAGGATATGGATTGCTAGGAAACCACTGGTTGCTATTTTTCATCATGTGGCGTTTATGGGGCAAAAGTATGCGAAGAGGAATATACACACCTCTATTGTTACAGGTGTACAGCGTCAGACGTTAGTTAGCGAATAATATAATAAATAAGAATTACAAATGTTGTAAAATCGGATTTTAAAATTATCACTTGATGTTTCGTTTAGATTGTTTGCAGAAAACGCAATGTTTTTTTCAGGAGCAGGGCTGTTCTCAGTGTCGTCTAATAATTTTAACGGGAGCCTGAAGGATGAAATCAGGCATTAACTTTTGGTAGGTTCGGCCGCCGCAATCAACTTCATCATCGCGTACTTCGCGCTCGTATCAACATTAGATTTACACGCGACGCATTGTCGATTTCGATGCGCACCCACCCCGCGACAACAAAATATATCCAGAAAAGCAAATGCATCAATGAACACAACCAGATTGCCCCTCATGGATATTTCAAATAACGATGCGGCAAGCTCCCCAGTCGCGGCCAGCGGCCGGCGCAAGTCTGGACGCGCTGTAAAAGCGCCAGAGAAATTCCAACCTACACAGCTCGAATCCGCCAGCGCGAAACGAAAACGGGGAGGAGACGATGTAGAGAATGACGCGTCGGATATTGATGAGGAGGTGGATGCCAGTGATACCGCGCAAGAAAGTGCTGAGGAAGAGGAGTCCAGACCATCGCGTAGAAAGACGAAGACTACGAGGAAACCTGCGGCGAAGAAACCAAAGGTCAATGGCACATCTTCGCATGGTACTGCACCGGCTGTGCGACTTCCAGCACGTCCCAAAAAGGCGAAGAGAGTGGTCATTGAGGATGAAAATGCGGAGGGGCTTTATGGTAGGCGTATAGTTGTTTGTCGAAGTAAATATACTAACTGGACTGATAGCTGCGGTTTTCGTTAATGCAGAGCCGATTAAAGAAGCTGCGCAGGAGTGGCTCGAGAGATATGTACAGGACAATGCAGCTGCTATGACGGAATTGGTAAACTTCATGCTGAAGGCTGCTGGTTGTGATGTGCAAGTTACGATAGATGATATCAACGATTTCGATAACGCAGCTGGTCGTCTCAGAGATGTACAAGACGAATATCAATCTGTGAGTATTTTTGCACTATGGGAAACGATATGACGCAGACTAACGGTTTTCAGGAAGTAGTATCAGATTACCCTCTAATATCTAAAGCCAAAACACACCAAGGATTTAAAGAATCTTTAACTGAGACATTTCGCTACATTGTCGAAGCAGCACACGATTCTGGAGCTATGTTCGAAACAGGTCTTATGTCGTCAATTCATGTATGGGCGGTTCCTATGACTTCTTCGGGCTCGCGTCCATTTCGACATACGGCTACACTCATCACAAATACTGTGTCAACTGCGTTATGTTCTGTGGCGGCTACAGAGGCGCAAGCTCATGCGAATACCTTACGCCAAGCAGAAGGCGAGAAGAAGAATAAGAGGGGAAATAAAGCACGACTTGCTGATCTAGAAAAGAAGGCAGCTAAGATCGAGGGCAGGCTCGAGTTTGTAATGAGTGAGATCAAAGACTTCTTCGATTCAGTATATGTTCACAGATATCGCGACATAGATGCGAGGATCCGGACGGAGTGTATAGAAGGGATGGGAACTTGGATCATGACTCTGCCCGGCGAGTTTCTTGATGGTAATTATCTTCGGTACATGGGCTGGTTGCTATCGGATGAGGTTGTCAGTGTGCGGCATGAGGTCCTGAAGCAACTTGAGAAAATACTTCGAGACTCGGCAAATATCCAGGGGATGCATACATTCATTGAACGATTTCGAGTCCGGATTGTTGAAATGGCAACTTCAGATGCGGACGCCACAGTACGAGCATCAGCGGTAAATGTGGTAGATCAGATACGGGCCCACGGATTGTTAGAGCCGGACGATATTGACGTTATTGGGAAGCTTATTTTTGACTCGGAGCCAAGAGTTCGAAAAGCGCTCGTGGGTTTCTTCTCGGCAAACCTGAAAGACGCTTTTGATGCGAAAATCGAGGAGCTTGGTGGCGAAGAAACCGTTGAGGAGTTCTTGCAACTAGAGGATGAGGAAAATTATGATGTTCCACGGACTACATGGATACGATTAAAGTGTCTAGCCGAAATTCTCCAGAGTTACGATATACAAGATCAAGACGAAATGCCTAGTCAAATCGACCCTGGAGCTTTTCTCAACGTCTCGGTTTCTGAGTCTCGATTCACACTCGCGGCCCAAGTGCTTTATGATAAAGTCGAGGACTTGAAGGATTGGGAAATTTTGGCCGGATATCTTTTGTTTGATCATACGACCGAGCCTAGCCGCGATAAATCTGAACGTGCTATCCAGGAATCGTTCAAGCCTGTCGAAGGGGAAGAGCTGATTCTGCTAGAGGTACTCAACGCGGTCGTCAAATTAAAACTCTCGCAGACAGATGAGTCGGATCACAAAAAAAAGAAGAGTGGTAAACACGAGCCAACTGAAGCACAAGAAAATACCGCACGACATTTGGCAAGTTTGATACCTCGATTACTGAGAAAATACGGATCGGACGCCAAGACTGCTACTGTGGTGCTACGGATGGAACATGCTCTTAACCTGGGAGTCTTTCAGGAATTGAGACAAGATTCTACGACTTACGCAAATCTTCTAGGCGAGATTAGCTCTCAGTTCAGCAGACATACCGACAGGACTGTCTTGACCGAAGCTGCGGCTTGTTTTATACATGCTCTCCAGTATGAAGAATTAGAAGAATTGGCGCAGTCGAGTTTACAATCGTTGTGGGAAAACACAACAAGTGCTTTACAGAAATTAAGTACGACAGGTCAAATGTCAGTTCGTGGTGGTCTTCGAGATAGGGATCTCAAAGCTCTGTCATTGGTTGTGACCAGGCTTGAACTCTTATCAAGTACTTCTAGTTGCATTGAACCATTTGAAAGTAGTTCCGACCCATCGGCTCCTCTTCCAATCCTAATCCTTCTCGACATCATCGCTCGCGGAATATACGAAGACTCTGATGATCAAGAACTCGATGACCAGGAAGATCAAGTTGTGATTTCAGCCATCAAGTCAATGATGTTCTACTTCATGTGGAAAATCAAAGACCTAGAAGGCCGTGTCGCAATCGACGACGAGATTCCCGTCGAAGAAATCGATCAGCTGAAAGAATGGCAAGACATCTTCGTCACCAACCTCGTCGCCGCCTTCTCCTCCCGCGATAGTCCAGATGCCGTCCGTCTCCTCGGCGCCGGCACAGTCCTCGACGTCTACGCCCTCTTCACAACTCTCCGTCCCCTCATGCAAGGCACAAACAAAGATGCAGAACAAACCTACACGCATCTCTCAACCCTCATCTCTGAGATCAATCCAGAGGTCAAAGCGGAACTCACATCTTTCTTCATCTCCCTCGAACGCGAACACGCCAAGAAATCGCGCAAGAAACTTGAAGCGCCCGCCGATGACGAGGATCCGGAGGATATAGACGAGGATCCTGAGGATGAGGAACAAGAACCTGAAAACGAGTATGAGCGCTTGAGCGAGGCGTTGAACGCGGAGAAACAGCTTTGCGAACTCACTGCGAAGTTGGTGCTTGCGATCCTGGCGGGCTCGATCGATGCAGCGGAGCCGGGGAAGGGGAAGTTAAAGAAGAGGTTGGTGCGGAATAAAGCGAATCTGGGACCGAATTTCAAGGGGGTGTTGGGGTTTCTGGAGGGCAAGGTGAAGGCAAAGAGTCATAAGAGTAAGGCGCAACAGGCTGCGCAGAAGGAAAAGGTGAAGAAGGGAGGGAAAGGGGAGTCGAGTGAGGCGAGGGTTGTTGAGGAAGATGAGGAGGATGCGCTGGAGGATGTGGAGGTTGAGGAGGTGGAGGAGGGGGATGTGAATGATGGGGAAGTGGAAGCGGAGGGTGAAGCCGAAGCGGAGGCGGAAGCTGAAGAAGAAGATGATGATGATATCATGGGTGATTGATGAACTGAGGACTTTGAAAACTGGTAACCTGGTGTTTGGCGTTGGGGTAGGATGGAGGGGTGTAGGAATACGTATGCTTCGTTTTTTTGTGCTGAATAGCGGCGAGGACTGTGTGGTGATGGGGATTGTGTTGCTATTCGTGGACGGGGATGAATATAATTGCATATACTGAGCCTCAACAGCGGCGTTTTCTGGTCTCTAATAGTCGAAAGTGAGGAATATGAGTACCAGTCGTCTATCTGTGTTTTCAGCTTCCCGCTTCTAGGAACGTATAATCGGTAAGGCAGTAGATCAGTACCTTGACGGAATAAGGTGAATAAAACATATTGACTAAGAGTTATCCTTCCCTTAGTATGTCAAAAACCCCACATCCGCCCCTACAAACACACATTTCGTCACTCAATCACTCGTTACCCATCTACCCAACGCTCAAAAGAGTCTGGCAAGAGTAACTCTCAATACATGTAGTTTTCACATTTTTCCAACTCCATGGTTCTTTGGGCGTGGGAGGTTTTGGGGGCTGTGCTTGGGATATGCTTAAAAGATTGGGAAATAGTTCAAATAGAGCCTTTGAAAACGAGGTGTGGAGCGTTGAGATTAGGTTCGATCTGAGTGGAGATTTTACTTGATCTTGGTGACTATTCCGTCATTATGAATTTGTTCCTGTCCAAATTCCAATAGAAACAGGTTTCCAATTGAACACTCTACACATGGTTGACAGTAACAACCTCCAACCCCCCCCCAGCCCAATTTCCCTATCATGATTCTTGAGATACACATCTTTTTTATATCGAAACCGTAACCATTGAATTCCTATATCTCAAATTTCGATAGAAGCTTCATAGTTGAAGCAGTTCATCGAGGGGGTCTTGGGTGTGGTCATTTTCTGCCGACTGTGAAGAAAAACCTACTTATATCATGAGTTGGAAGAAGGAATGGAAGAGGATGTGAACCGGGAGTTGAGTGTTTTGTTGTCCATGCGAATCATAATTCCTGTGACATAGTTGAATCAAGTATATACCCTTTCCCAATCATCTGTTGCAATTGTCAAACGCTGCTCTATTCAATTATATCCTCAGCGCTCTCTGACTAAATCGAACGGATTTAGTATAATAGTAATACTAAACGACTAACCGGCTAAGCAGTTTGGAATGTGGTCCTAAACTCTTAAAAGTCCTAGTCGTGTAAGTGGCACGTGCCACGCAATTGGCACTAACGTATAGGGTATTGGAAATTGAGGTATTAGGAAACGTAACTCTGATTTGTGAGTTAGTTTTTCATTGTCGTTTAGAATTTAAGAGGCTTCATCAGAGAATCGGAATATACGTTATGGGTAGCGTATCGTTGCAAGGTTTTTGGTCGAAACTCGCATGATCAAGTTGAAATATTCAGCTTAAAGGACGAGCACTCTGTCAAAGCACGCGACACAGGTTTTGGAGCTTCTGGAAGCACTAGTTCTTGGTGTGTAAGGTACTTACTGAGATATCGCGAAGAATGAACTTGATTGTAGACCGTGCTTTTTCATTATCATTTGAGTATTACGAGGCTTAGTCAAAATCCGCGTTGAGAGTAGCGTATTGGTTTTAGTTGGAGCTGACATGATCAGGTTGATATTCAGCCCTTGTTGTGTGTTTTGATGTTTTAATGTTCTTGTTATGTATTGTCGCCGATGCTCTTGAAATGTATGGCGGCCTTTTGGTATATCTGACTTCTATAGAAAACTGGTCGATCTCGAGTTTTGGAGCCTTTTCTAGCGAAAAATAAAAAGCTAGAAACTACTAGTAACTGTTTTACATATTAGCTACGAGTTTGGCAATATGCTGTAACAGGGTATTGTATACGTGGGGTGGATTAGAGTAGTAAATACTACTTATAATCTACCCAAGAACATTATTGACTTTATCCTACTCACATCAATTGCGATTAATTAGGTAGTGCTACAAACGTAGTATGTAGCTAATAGAAGAGCCAAGGTTACAGTCATTAGAGGCTCTCATTATTTGAAAGATAGTATGTAATTTGTTGTCTTTCAGAATTAATATCCATTACTCTGAGATCATAGAGCTAGAAGGTAGAAACCGTCTAGAGAAAACGAGATGTAGGAAAAAGAAAACTAGTATTATCGACTTTACCTTTGTTTCTTACGCTATATATTACGTACTCATCTTAGTAGGTATACACAAGTTGCTCTATTCTACTGAAAAGGGTCTACTCTCTCCTCTTATGTAATCTACTGTGAGCAGTCCTTCCATTGAGACACTCTATGCTTCTCAACTATATGCCACGTATGTTAAATTTGAAACTCATCTCTCCTCGCAAAACATCATCCACACCCTACACCAAATCGACCCTCCTCCTCGCTTCCTCTCCCATGCCCCGAAAAGGCCCAAACCCCGACCCACTAACCCCCATCCCAATCCTCCTGAACCCCTCCATCCCCCTTACCACCAACAGAAAAAACAGCTGTTCACTCACACTCCCCGACGTCCTCATATTCGTTATCCACACCGCAAGCAAGTCCTCGCCGCCGCTAACGCCGCGTTCCAGACTTGCTGACGCGAACGAAGAGCTCGTTGCACTGTAGTTCTCGGCGTCGAAGACCTGTGCTGTATATGGCGTTTCCGCGCGGAGCAGTACGGGACGCGTGAGCGCGTATAGCGTTAGGACGCGGGAGGTACTATGGATGAAACGGGCGTTGAAGAACGCGGGGTCAGGACGCGTTTGCGCTTCGAGAAAATGTGCGTCGTATGGGGAGGGGCGAGCGTCGATGTGTGGGGCGTGCGTACTGAGCCCAACGTCGTAAAGGACTTTGCTGTTGATGGATGTCCAGGACCAAGAGGGGACGGTGGGGGTGTGTAGGTCGAGGGTGGGCTCGGTGTTTAGATCCAGATTGGAGCTTAGTGAAGAAGGATCGATTCGCCATAGGAGACCGGCTTTGAAGTCTTCTGCCCACAGTCCATGCCGGTAGTCAAAGCCCGTGACACTGGCGATGGATGCGGCAATACCTGCTATGGCGGGGAGTTTGTCGGATTGTCTGGTCAGCGAACGCCCGGAATAGCTTTGAACCACGCGATACCAGGCTGTGTGGCTTCCTTTGAAAGATTCGAGATCGTAGTGGATTGATGGGAGAACACGTTTGAAGTCTGCTCCTTCTAAGCCTTCGAAAGCCGACCCGTAGGATCCGAAATGTTCTTCGCGACATGATTCTCAGGTGGAAGATGTACAGCACTCCCAGAGGAGTTCGGTCTTGCTAAAATGAACGACTCGTGTGGATAGCAGACGTTCTTGTAATGCCCAAGCTCGCTTGTTCTTGTCTGAGTTAGCTAGTTTTATTGAAGCGAGTTTGTAATCAACTTACCAGTGGAGCATCGGAGAACAGAGTATCCCAAGGTTTCGAAGCGGGCCTTACATACAACTCCTGACTCGAATCGTTGCCGGAAAGATGGACCAGGCTGTCTCTGCTTCTAGAACAAATAAAGCCACAATGACTGTCCGACGCATCTAGTGCCGACAGAGTAAGATGAGAATTCCGGTAAATGTCCCCCATCATCGCCGATTCCCTTTGCCAATCTTCTTCCGAGTCCTGTATGATGCAGAGAGAATCAATCCACAGAAATGGAATGCCCAATTTTCGTGTAACCATGACTGCATCAGAAAAGGATTTGGGCAGCGTAGACATAGGGATCATGTCGCAATGGCTTTCGAAATTCGATTTCTTGGTGGTAATTGTCGGTTTTTGACCCCAGCAGTGACTCAAGGCAGCATACTCTATAGCGTCGGTTGAAGCGGGCGAGAGAGAGACAATGAAAGGCTCCGGAGATGTGACATTAATTAGTCTTGTTGGTAAACGTCCCGACACATTACGACACCGAGGATGTGAGGATTCGCACTCATTGATCCACCCTTTGATGAGATTAATAGAGCTGTCTCCACTAGGATCCGCGGATATATCTTGGAACCTAATAGGATCTTCTTCTTCCGATTCGTAATCTAATTGATCGTCAACGATAAATTCCCAAGCCCTCTTTCTCTCAATCGCCTACCTGCAGACCGACACAACTCAAAACTCACACTCAGATAAGGCCATAGCAGAAAAGTTGAAGAACTTCGCTCGGTCCTGATCGCCAGCGTCGGCAAATGATTACTATACCACTGCTTGACGGTAGACACATGGTTATGTTTCAAAGCATGTTCGAAAATAAAGCGACACAGCCTGCACCCTTCGGCAATCGCAATTTTCAACCCCTCAAGATTGTGATGTTCAATGTCTAATTTATCTTGGCGTGTGTTAACCAGTCTACAGATATCGCAGAGCCTCGGGGGGCACGTATCTGGCGGGATTTGAACATCCCAAGTTTCTAAGGGCGGAGTGTCAAGCCCTGTCGGGTATATATTAGGGCCGTGAGAGAATAGAGAGAATGGGACCACGAAAGGATCTGGATTGAATGTCTTTGTTACCGGATAGATATCCGGTACCCCCTTGATATCTGACGAAGATTCTTTCTTTCCGGGTGAAGAAGTTTGTAATTCGAATAGACCTTTTGGGTATGCTTCAAGTTCGAACAAACCCTCGGTGTTCGCAGGAGGAGCACCTGAAGTGGGGGTATCATTTGGATCTTCATACAAAGGGGCATGGTATCCCCAATCCGATACCTTCTGTAGAGGAGGAGGAAGAGATGGTGCTGCTAAGATAGTATTTATCGCGTGACTGGACCGGATAGGGCGTACAAGTCGTCGTAGCCATCCTGCTCTTTTCGACCGCTTTTCCATCGCATGACCACATCATCAATCATTCATGGTTATGAAGCGAGAATTCGAGATAACTATCAATAGTTAGAGTGCCAGGCTTTGTCTCTTGAAAAACTTGACGAAAGTGTAAAATGAAACCTCCAGCTGAAGAAATGATCACTTGGGCTCGAGGGCTGTGCTACAAAATGCCAGTCAGGGGGAGGTTGTTCTTTGCCAAGCCCTGACTAGTCAAAGGTCACGTGAAAGCCACCCCTTGTGAGCAGAGCTCGTTCCACTTGCCCCATTCTTAGTCGTGAAAAAACATCGTCCTCGAGGAAGGAAGTTCAACCCATGTACAAATTTACTGAATATTTATAGTCACATACCAGCAGGCTTTGGGCTTTTTATTACATCTAGCACCAATTATGAAACTGAAAGATTCGATTTGGGCGACTCCAATATACCTTCTCGAACTTTCAAGTCTGGACTTGTCATTTGCGAAGCTTTAGTGCTTCAATCAAACAGATTCGACTTTTCTAAAGCTTCATTGTAGCCACAACAACTGCTCGTTATTGAAACTTTCTTTTTTCCACTAGGACACGAATACCCGTCTGCCTGTTGAACCCTAAAGATCCGGGAACGCGAGATCAGTTCTACGTTTTACTTCTAAACTGGAGTAAAGACTTACAATAGTTATGCGTTTCCCAGTCCTTACTTGGGTCCTCTAACCGAATAGTAAACAACCTTAGAATTTGCGGGATTAACTTGTATATTTCGCTGAGAGATATCTAGGTAAGCATCGGTCAGCAGTGGTCAAATCATGATTTGCGCAAGAGAATGTCAACTGAGAGGTTTGTAAACTCACATTCTTCCCGATACACGTCCTACTACCAGCTCCAAACTGAAGGATTGTTTTTTCCATCTTGACAGCATCTCCAATAATCCAACGATCAGGGTTAAACTCATCGGCATCGGACCCGAATACCTCTTTGTCGTAGTGTACAACAGCAGGATTGATACCCACTCGATACCCAGCTGGAATGTCAGTATCGCATATAATAGTACCGCCAGCAGGTACAACTCGCGGCATCGTCAAGCCCACACTAGGATGCATACGCATGCCCTCATTGACGCAGGCTTTGAGATAGGGCAGTTTGATAGCTGCCGCATAGGAAACTGGGATATGAAGAGTGCTATTGGTGACCGCTTCATCAATCTCCGCCGTCAGTTTTTTGTAAGCTTTAGGGTTCTTCATCAAGTGATACAGGACACTGTTGATTGCTATAGCTGTTGTATCCGCGCCTGCGAAACTGTAATGGTCTATTAGACCGACCGGGTGGAAAGTTGGGTGTTGAATAACACGTACATTGAGCTGTGAGATTCCACGTATATGTGTTCATGGGTAAAATCAATCTTTTCACCCTTTTCGGTGTTGATGTCGAGCATTTTTCGGATCATATCATGCTTGTCATCCGCAGCCGTAGCAAGTCTATTAGGGTTTAGAAACATTAGCTGCTATACCGTTCCTTGAACAATCAAAGATACAGTTTAAGCGGTATTTCACTTGGTAAACTCAAGGCTACACGAAACTAAGATGCTTACTCGACTTTGCGTTTTTCAACAGCTGCCTTCGAGGCATCCTCAATTTTCTTCACAGCTCCTAGGGCTCCACGAATAGATGGCGAGATCAGAATTGTAGATAGAAGGTACATCTTTGTAAGATATGAAGGGACGGTTCCGCCGATAGTAAAAGCAGGAAGGAGAGAGTCGATAGCTTTCATGTATCCACCGATATCGGTACGTTCACTCATGAACCCAAACATTTTGCCGTAAAAGAGTTCGCCCAGAACATCAAATGTATACCTATAAACCGTTAGCTCTTGCGCTGCACTCAATTTCAACAATAAGGAACTGTTGACTCGGGAATAGTAAGGAGATAATAGCTGGCATACATGTTGATCCATAACCCCAAATCGATCGCTTTATTCTGACGGGCAAGAACGTTGAAAGTATCACAGAAAAGCTGTGTACACCAATCGATAGCTTTTTCTGACTCAAGAACACTGGACATTGAATAAACGTTATTCACAATCCGTCTCCGCTCTGAATGCTCCTTCTCGTTACGAGAGGGAAAATGTCCCACATAGCCATTATTTGGTGGTGCCCAGGCATCATAAAAGTCCGACTAATCTGGTTAGACTTTTCGTGGAGCAAAGAGCATATGTTTCGTACCTTGTTGAAAACACTCTTAGTGCTGTATATTGTCTGTAAATTCTCAGATCAGAACGGCACAGCAGATTTCGACATGCCATTTATGGAGTTATTTTGTGAGATTTACCTTGATTGCCGCTGGGTCTGAGCAAGCGATCTCGTTCGGTGCAATTCGTACGAGCTGACCTGGATTCTCTGATTAGCTCATATCAAAGAACTCAATAATGTTCCATCCTAATCCTACCATATTTCTTGTGTAATCTGCGTTGGGTGTGTTCCATCCTGCCACTCGCGGTGTTGAACACAATCCATGACCGACTAATTGAAGCCAAGAACGGCCCTGGCACGGAACGTAAAGGATGGAAATAACGACAGTATATGATCCAGCTTATCTCGAGCGCACAAAGCCCGATTAAGAAAGGCAATGTATATTCAGAGAACGCGAAGAACATTGTGGGTCACAGAGCTTGTTGCTCGGAGGAGGGAAGTGCAGTATGAAGGAAAGTTTGGGCTTCGGTCTGACTCGAACTCTCAAAGACCGAAGGAATTTAGTGAAACGCGCACCCAAAGAATTCGTGAGAAAAAAAACACCTTCGGAGCGTAATTTTGTAAACTGCGACTGGTGCTCGATATGCGGAAAGGCCAGCAAAGACTCGATCTTGAAATCAAGGCGCAGCGTGAAGGTTGCTTCTGCATACTGGACATATCCAACATCACCATTTGTTGGTGTATGCAGGATTTATCCGGATAATTTCGACAGACATATTCCCGACGTAGTACAATGAAACGGCTGCGCAGATGACAAACATTTCGATTATGAATGTTGGCTGCACGAGTAGTATGTTAAGCTGGACGATTGTACTTACCTAAAAGAGGTAATTAAGAATGGCTCAATGGGACTGGGGTACAACTGACTGTCACCGAATTACGCTTCTACCAACTATGAGGCAGACAAGGAAAGGTCATGACCACCTTTCCAACATTTTTAATTGCGATCAGAAATAGACCACTCAAAACGGCTCAGGAGTATCTTCAAGGATATATAGAAGCGTATGTCTTTGCCAGGGAAAGTGAAGGAATCAGCAGTACCGGTCAGAAAAGAAACATCGCATAGACTTACACGAAACATTCAATAACAACCTATGGATCAATCAAATTTGAAGAAACGCGCTGAGGAGATTCTTGCGACAGCCTACTCCCTCTCTGATGCACTCGCCAATCTGGGTTTACCAGAACCGTCTTTCGAGCACGGTCTTCCTGCTATACTAGATACTGACTCTGTCCAGAGCGAAGCGGGAAATGGACGACAGCGATTGCTTCAAATGCTTGATGAGTTTCGAAGCCTATTAACCGAGCCAACACTGATGTTGACACCCGAACTGGCAAGTCTTGTAGCCATATCTTTTGGAAATCCGACTGACGATTTTCTTCTCTTCAGCGCAATCCCTTGATCAGCGTACATTCAATCGTGCGCTTGGGAATCGCGGAGAGCTTCCCACCGGAAGGAGCCTCTGTCCAGGATCTCGCTAAGAAGCTCAATATCAATCACAGCTTGATACGGCGTTTGTTGGCTCATGGTGCGACCCATCACATCTATTATGAGGCAAGCCCAGATGTATTCGTGCACACAGCAGCATCGAGAGTCCTCGCAGAAAATGAGGGAATGCGTAAATGGATCTTGATTGGTGCCGAGGAGCTCATTCCTGCAACGTTGAAGGTGCGTTTCCGTCCTGTATTTCTACGGCGTGGTATTGCAATTGCTCTCAGCTTCCTGATGGATTCGAGCTGACCTTAGACCTCTAGACCGCCGAGGCATTGGTAGAATTTCCTAACAGCGAAGAACCAGAGCACAGCGTAAGCGACCCCCTTCACCAACGAGCTGTCAAGGTCGTCTCACTGATGCCGCCATGTCCGTGTAGGGATGGAACGCCCAAAATGGCACCAACCTGCCTATTTTCCGAGCACTGGCGGCAATGCCGGACAGGGCGAAGACCTTTGCCGGTGCAATGCAATGGCACGCAATGCTTCCAGGATTTGCTCCAAAGTATCTTGCGTCGTGCTTCCCATGGGGTTCTCCAGAGAATTCTGATGCAGGCCTGACCGTTGTTGATGTTGGTGGCGGACTTGGTCACGTGTCTCGCGTGCTCGCCAATCACAACCTCGCGGTGTCGTGCATCGTTCAGGACTCGCCAGACGTCGTTCTTCAGGGGCGAGACGATCTCCCGCAAGCTCTGCATGAACGCATCACTTTCCAGGCGCACGACTTCTTCCTGGAGCAACCTGTAAAGGGAGCCGATGTCTACATTCTGCGGCTTGTTCTACACGACTGGTCTGATAAATATTGCCATAAGATTATTACCGCTCTGATTCCAGCACTCAAACCTGGCGCGAAAGTGGTCATTAACGACCGCGTTGTACCTGGACGCCACGAAGCTCATTACCTGGTCGAACGCGAAGCACGGTTTGTTCCCTTGCAGACGGCAATGAATTGGGGTGACTGACAAGTGCAAATGTAGTGACTATGACATGTACATGTTGGCATTCCAAAACGCTAAAGAGCGTACGGCAAACGACTGGGTTGCCCTCTTGAAGGCCGTTGATGCAAGATTTGAATTAACAAAGGTGTTTCAGCCACCCGGTTCATACTTAGCAATTGTGGAAGCGACTTGGCAAGGCTAGTTTCTTGTCGAACCCTTGAAGGATTATTAAAGCGTGAATTGTTATAGCTAGTCAAAAAATCAGAAGGTTCGCGTAAGCCCTCCTCATGTAACGTTCTCTTTAATCCGTGCCACACAAGTCTTGAATATTTTAGAGTAGCCGAGTTGGGACGAACATCGAAATACGGACAGGTACTCGCCTCATAGTCTGTGGGAAGATATTTGAGTGAGCTGCCAAGTTTTCGTCTTCTTTCTCATTGATGCCTTTAATGTAGACAATTGCTCGGGAACATCGACCAACTCCTTTGAGGGTGCTTACACAATAATATAAGTGGAAGGTACCTGCACTGATGCGGCTCTCATTTGCTGCACTATTAGCCTAAACCAGTACATCGCAACTTGAGATCCGAGGGCTATGGCGAACGCACTGTGTGGCACATAGACAGACGTGGATACAATAATGTGATTCCGCGGTACCAACTGCATCGCAGGTTTGTACGACAATTATCATATCGTCGCTTCGTTTGAACTGCCGACAATTTGAACGGCTCGGGAAACGCCAACAACTCAAGTAAGGGTCACTCCAACAAATCCAATTATGGAAGGTGCCAGCATTGAAAAATACTACCAACTGAATTAGATAAGAAAGCCCAATACAGTTTTCATGCAGTCATCTAGAATACGAGGGTGTTGTTGGAAATTGATTGATCTAACAACGTTGAAGAAATTCCTCCTGCCTTGAAGATATCTGCCTAGCCTACATGTTTATCAATGAGTGGTATTCGTTGGTCATCGTGATCAGCCTTAATTAAGTTGTTATATTGAAAAAAACCTTTCAAATCAATGTGCGGATCGTTCTACAATGAAATATTTTATTTTCACTTTTTCAGTTAGAATAAAACCATTTGGACATCGAATCTCTTGATAATCATGATAACTTGAGTATTCCCGGGAGTTTTTGCGCTCTGATCCTGAAAATGCCAACTTCAAGCTACTTTGCAAATCCGGCCCGTCGTCTATCTTCATAAGTTCTGGATGGCTCTGTGGCGGGAGCTACTTCAATATCTATGTTATCATCTGGTATGTCAGATCGGCTCGAGGGTTTGAGCTTGGTGAATGAACTTAATTGGGTACCTCGACTGAATGAAGTCGTCGCACTTCCCAGTTTCCCGAAAAGGCCGCATGCTCGAAAGAATTGAGGTACAGATGGAAGACAGGCAGCACTTAGAACGAAGTCGTTCTCAATGCTATTCCACATACCAATCCGGATACCATGGTCTGCAAGTATATATCGTAAGTATCTTGACAAACTAGACACCGGCAGTAACTTACATAGAAGCTCGTAAATACTCGGATACCCAAATAGATATGTATTTGATGATAGTTTGACGATGGCAAAAGCACAAGAGCTGTACTGAGTAAGCTCAATGATTCCAGGAATGATAGAAATTACGTACCACAGTCCTAGCCCCATGAGAGCCGTTGTACTGATCTTTTTCCACGTAGGCATTTGTAGGCCCCACACTACAATTCCAGGATAGACTGCGAATGCAAAATCCATGAAAGCAGATATGCCTATCATTAAGAGTATCAGCATTGCCAGAAGATTGATAAATTGATGGGAAAACATACCGCTAACAGAACAAGCATATATGAGACCAACTGACCGATTCCAACATCGAGTTTCGGGATGCTTGAACGGATCCCACTGGCCTGCTACGGGGTTGCACTGAACAAATATTAAGATGAAGCCTACCACAGCTAGTATGTTGAGACACCAGCAGAGACAAAGGATCGAGACATGAAGCCACCGACGTGGAATAAAAATTCGAATAATCAGGATACCAACACCGAACTTAGGTAAAGCAATGCTCAAAAACACCCATGTGTCAGTGAAAATAACCCAAAAGGCTGCTGCTGGAATAGTTGCTGCCGGATTGGTCATGTCTACATTTTCGGTCGCGTATAGTGCCTTTTGGAAGACTCCTGCTCTGACGATATTGAGCATCTGTTAAAATAGCATGTCGTCAGTGACAAATTGTGAGAAGATAGAAAACGTGTTAGGGGCGGTTTGCTTTACCCAAGAGATGGAGAACACGGCATCTTCTAAGCCGACATCATTTCTATGCATACGAAAACGAGAGAAAGTCCTCATGAAAAAGAAAATCGTTGAAAGAGCTGTAAATGGCCATGATGCGGCAGAAGCCTCATGCGAGAGCTTCGTTAGGACCTCTTGATCAATCATCACTGCTGAGCTTGATAGGGAAACCAAATGAGATAGACCGCACTGAACCTGAAGAGAACAAAAAAACTCGAGGAGAAGAGGGAAGTGGCAGAGGGAAATTCTAGGTACACCAGAAACGGTGCCGGCCTTTAGCTGCAGGGGTTTGCTTCTGCAGGTTACATGATGAACGGCCAAGCGTGAGCAAGATCCTTCCACACAAACTAACATGCACACCAACAGATAGATAACTTCTTACGTGGTCTCGAATCAATTCGAGACCTGGAATCAGTCCCTGTCTATCGTATTCCTGCATTCACCTAAATTTTACAGCATGTTGTTTATTGAGATTTATTACTTGTCTAGGTCCTTGAATTGGTTGAGCCCACAGAATGTTAAAATATCCAATTTACCTAGTTTGATTTCAACCGCGAATTTGCTTTAGGTTCAAAGCTCATGTTAAACAGAGAACTCTAGATTGTAACACGTCGTCCTTGAACACTCACGAGTTGGGTAAATGACACGTAGAATTCGTTGAAAAGAGCAGTTTATCAAGATAAAATCCTAAAAAGTGCTACACACTCTGTTCTAGACTTTCAAGAATCATGCTGATTGATATTCTGGGATTCTTCAACCTCAAGGGTCCCCTAGTTCCTAATTTAGCCGTCAAAAAATCCAACCTTGAAGTAACCGCAGTGCAACCACAAACCAACATTGAAATACGCCCGATTCGTACTTTTTCGACAAGAGCCACCGATCGGCTTCAGCATCATAGAATGTTGGCTCCAGATTAGGAAGGTTCGTAATCCTTCGTTCTCAGTGAAGAAAGATGTGTGGTGGTACAATCTACAATTTTCCAAAAGCTATTCGAGCCGAGCAATACTTACAGATATTCAATTGTTGGACTCGGAATAACACTGCAGTTGGTACTTTACTGTTTGTCTCGAGCTTGGTAAAAGTGCCGCAGTTAGGCAGCAGAAGCACAACAAAGCGGCCGCTTTGAGATAAACAGAAGAATTCAATTGGAGTCAAATCATGTCCAGGTTGTAGAGTTGGCATGTGCTTCTACTTTCCCCTGTTGTGACGATGAAGTGATATCTATTCCAGAACCTCACTCCCAAGAAAGACGATATTCCCTTCCAGCGACTAACAACAAAGAAGTTCTCAAATAGCCAGAAAAAGACAAACAGAATCCTAAGCACGCTCGAATCTGAATACTGAAAACATGATTCCTACAAAGACCCACCTCGGTATAGCAACCTTTTTGGACGATTCCGCCGCTACCGATGCAGGGATACACATCTACCCCGATGGAGACCTTTCAACACCAGAGAGGAGGAGTTATCGAGAACTTCGGAATAGCGCCCAAAAGAAAGCTCATCTTTTGTGTGCGTCAAACACCTTCGTTGCAAGAAAGGTCGTGTTGATCCACTTCCGAAGCCACTGGGAAAACATTTTGTGGTTCTGGGCCGTGGTGCTTGCCAATGGCATTCCGGTCTTATCGACACCACTCGTCAACAACAAGGAGGGTCGCATGTCCCATTTCCAGCATCTCTATCAATTGTTGCTTGATCCTATGGTACTCACCAACGAAGCTCTTGCAGCCAGTGACTTCTTCGATAACAACGTCCTCTCGATTATCAATGTCGAGAAACTCGACGTTACGCAGGCCAAACGCAGGCTATCCAAAAATGGCGGAATTGAATCCTTCTACGAGAACGCCCATGACTTAGCTGTCAAACGTTCCAAGATTGATATACAATCTACCGTTGTGCACGAAGACTTCGTCCATTCGAGCAACTTATTTGGGGAGAGTGAAAGTCAAAATTCTACTCCTGAGCCGAACGAGAATATCTTCGATCAAGTACACCAAATCGAAACATTCAGCCCAACATGTCATATTACAGACGGCGTTGAAATTCTCATGCTCACTTCTGGAAGCAGTGGCAAAGCCAAAGCAGTCTGCTTGACTTATGAACAGTTACATGCGTCGGTCAGTGGCAAGTGTTCTGCTCTACCAGTTCTTTCGCAGACTTCACTTCTGAACTGGATTGGACTTGACCATGTAGCTAGCTTGGTCGAAATCCATCTATGTGCTATGTTTGCGCAGCTAGACCAAATTCATGTATCCGCGAAGGCGCTCGTCGCAGAACCTCTCAACTTTCTACGTTTGGTCTCAAAGCACAAGGTCTCGAGGACGTTTGCTCCTCAATTCTTTCTACAGAAGCTTGTAGATACCTTTGACACCACGCCTACTCACGATTTGAGTGGAATAAGCCTCCCCCATTTGCTTTACCTAAACTCGGGTGGCGAGGCAAATAACGTCGATACTTGTGTTCGACTCACCAAACACCTTATATGTCTAGGTGCTACAGCTAGCAATATTGTTGTTCCAGGCTTTGACATGACGGAGACTTGTGCAGGAGCAATCTTCAATAAACAGTGTCCGTATGTCGATGTTCGAGCTAGGACTGAGTTCACATCACTCGGTACTTGCATGTCTGGCATTGAAATGAGGGTCTCGCCCACAGCAGAGGTCAATGCATCCGATAAAGAAAACGAAAATGCAGTCAAGACAGGTCCACTTGAATTGCGTGGCCCTGTAGTATTTAATCGCTATTTCAATAATGAAGAAGCCACTCGTGACGCCTTCACATCAGATGGATGGTTCAAGACTGGCGATCTGGCTGCAATTGATGCGACCGGGCGGTTAAGTCTAGTCGGCAGAGCGAAAGACTTAATTATCATCAATGGGGTTAAACACATTCCCCATGAAATCGAAAGTGCCATCGAAACAGCACAGCTTCCAGGAATCAGCAAATCTTTTGTCGTTTGTTTCGCGTATCGGCGTTCTGGATCTGCTAACGAAGACATATATGTCGTTTACCAGCATGCTTACGACCCACATGATAAAATCGCTCGTCACGAGACTCTGCAGTCGATTAATCGCTTGGTACTTATGTTCGCGGGTGCAAGGCCACGTGTGTTACCATTACCATGTGGCCGGCTAGAAAAAAGCACCCTGGGAAAGTTGTCACGAGAAAAGATACGGACTGCATTGACCCGTGGCGAGTATAAAGAGCAGGAAGAATTAAACAATACGATCATTCATTCCTATCGTCAGACTACATTTTCCGCACCAAGGGATGACACTGAGACCACCTTGATGGCTGTCCTTCTTAAATTATTAGACTTTGGTGACCTAGAAATGGGCATCGACACTCCAATACTAGAAGTGGGCGTCAGCTCCGTGGATCTTATACGACTGAAGAGTGCTTGCGAGAAGGCTTTCAACATTGCTGACATCCCAATCATCGCGATCATGACCAATACAACAATCAGAACATTAGCCTCAGCAATTAAAGAGATCCAAAAAAAGCACCAGTATCAAGCAAAGTACAACCCAGTGGTGACACTTCAGCTCAACGGGTCTGATACGCCACTTTGGCTGATCCATCCTGGAATTGGCGAAATTCTTGTGTTTCTGGGTTTGGTCCAGTACTTCCAAGATCGACCCATTCACACTCTTCGGGCTCGCGGATTCAACCCGGGAGAAACACCTTTTGCTAGCTTGACAGAAATATTGCAAACATATCATGAGGCGATAAAACAAAAACAACCCAAGGGACCTTACGCTCTTGCAGGCTATTCTTACGGTAGTATGCTCGCCTTCGAGCTTTCCAAGGTCTTGGAGGCGAATGGTGACGAAGTCCGCTTCTTGGGTTCGTTCAATCTGCCACCTCATATCAAAGTGCGAATGCGAATGCTCGATTGGACCGCGGGTGTCTTGCATATCGCACATTTTTGCGGAATAATCACAGAAAAACGGTCAGAAGAGTTGGTGGATGAGCTTCGTCCGCTGCCACAAAACGAGCAGGTAGCCAAGTTGTTAACTGAGAGCGACCAAGAACGTTGCAAAGATTTGGCACTCACTCAGGAGTCGTTACTAAACTGGGTACATGTCTCATGGTCCCTTCAGAAGATTGGATGGGAATACGACCCATCTGGATCTGTCTCCCATATGGATGTTTTCTACTGTCAACCTCTTAAAGTTGTTGCCAAAACCAGAGAAGAGTACAGAAACACCAAGTTAAATCATTGGCAGGAGTTTGTGCGCGGCGATGTGGTCTTCCATGAAGTTGATGGAGAGCATTACACAATGATTGGGCCCGAGCATGCCCCCAAATTTCAAAAGGCGTTGAAAAAGGCATTGTCAGCGCGTGGGATTTAAGACAAATTCCCGGGTGTTCAATCTGTTTGATTTGGTGATTGAGCCTGGAAATGATAGAGCTACATGTTGTGATTAGTTTATTTTGTTAAATGGGTAGGTGAAAAGCAACGAATTGAGCAATCACAGTTAGAGGGTTCCATTAGACAAATGCTTGAATTCCGTTTCTTCATTTTCTTCATCAAATGTCCAACATAAATTGGCTATATATCTCAGAAGTCCAGGCATTGCTATATACACGCAATCCTTGGCATGCCTTCTGTGCCCGCGTTTTTAAATTTCGATGCGAAAGCGATCCAACTTAAGTCTTTTTGAATTGCCTGATATCCATAATACGACGATTTATCCAGTGGGCACAGTAAGGGGGAGTCCTCCTCAGCTCGCTTAGTGCCCCGCTTTTCCTCTATGAGCTTCCAGCGACACAGCAGACAAGCTACATCAACAGCAAGACTTGTTTACCTAAGTACTGCTGTTACAAGAAGAAACGAAGTTTCATCTGCTAAAGATACATATCCTTTGGAAGAAAGATAATACAACTACACCATCGCTTGCCGGTTCTATGACATCATCATTCTTGCTTTCGGTTGGAATTCAGTAATCGGCTATTGTGAGAACAGCTGATCTCAAGCCACGAACACTCTTCAACATAGCACGATGTCACAATTCAGCCTCCTCCTACGCACCAGAATCTTCCGTTTCTTCCAAGCAATAGGTCGATATCTCGACCACTATCTCTCCTTCCCACTCCCCCCATCCCCCTCATTCAAACTCAAAATCCCAGCCACAATCGGCACACCAGGGTTCATAGACCTCTATTTCTACGTTCCTGCCTCCTATTCCAAGCCATCCACTCCATCGCAAAAGAAATATCCCATCCTCCTCAACTTCCACGGCGGCGGCTACACCATCGGCCACCCAACCGACGATGCGCGTTTCTTCGCCAAAGTCCTCGAGCAGAATCCCGACACGGTAGTCGTATCTGTAGACTATCGTCTCTCACCTACATATCCCTTCCCAACTGGAATTGAAGACTGCGCATCAACACTTCTTTACATTTTCGCCCACGCCTCAGAACTCCATCTCGATGTCTCGCGAACATGTCTCTCAGGCTTCAGCGCCGGCGGCAATTTCTGCTTCGCCGCGCTTTACAGAGCACATGAAGAGCTAAACCGATTGAGATCTGAGGGCCGAATTGCCGAGTACGAAAATGGAAAGATCGTTGGCATAGCGGCGTTTTATCCAGCGCTTATAAGAACGAAGACTCGAGAGGAGCGTGCGGCTTCGAATCCAAATTTCAAACCTATCCCGATTCCAAAGTTTCTGGCTGGAGTGATGGATGAGTCGTACTTGAATCCGATACCGAGCGACATGTCTGTTCCGCTGCTGAGTCCTGGGTTAGCTAGCGATGAGTTGCTGAAAGCGGCATTACCTAGGAATTTGGTGATGATCACGTGTTGGGGAGATGCTTTGTTAGTCGAGGGTGAGGAATTCAGAGCAAGATTGAAGAAGTTAGGATTTAGGGTCGAGGGATATACGGTGCCTGGGGTTTTGCATGGTTGGGACAAATGGCCTAGTTATTGGAGAGGTGATAAGGAGAGAGATGACGCTTATGAAATTGTTGGACGGTGCTTAGGAGAGTTTTGGAACGAGAGTTGAGGACTTGATATTTGGCGAACAATCTATTCGTTTTGAGGTTTGATGCTAATTTGACTTAAAAGGTTTTGAAAGTAGTTACATTTCACCACATTAAAAACTTGGTTTCAAAAGAGATCTTTAAACTTGAGGAAGTGAGCATTGAACTAAGATTTGCGAAGGTATGTCCTAACTTAGTTTTGATGTTATTAATTAAGTAAGGGTTGCTATGGAGTTTGTGAGTCTGAAGCAAAATGAGAGATAGACACGCTGATTTTATTAGAATTCAAAATTGGCTTCAGTTCCAAATCTGAATGATTCATTGAAGCTGTCTTCCTTGCGAACTAAGCCACTAGCGCAAGCCTTCTGGACCTTATAACATGCTGGCTTTACACTTGCTTGATGACTGATAGTCATTTCAACCACTTTATTACGAAGTTTATCAGCGCGGCCGCATGAGCGAAGAAGAAGAATAAAATAATCAACACGCTATCCCTTCTCGCGGACAAAATAAGTGTCAGTCACCTACCCACGAATCTTAGACTAAACAATAAGTCGGCTTCGAATAGAGTGACAGATGTCTTATTTACTTGAAAAAAAATTGACAGAAAATCCGATATTGTTCCAAATTGATCCAATTAGCATACGATATATCGTCAACTTAATCAAAGAAATACCGTGTTGCGACTGTTTGTCCACGGCGAGCCCCGACTCCAAACATGGTGGCGTAGAGTACGGTTGCCAAGCTCCATGCACCCAATAAAATTATACGCTCGAGGTGTATTCAGCCAATTAAGTCGCGTAGTTTAGTATCTTTCCCGCAGCTGAGGGGCATTGGTGCCTAAAAGCATCCCAACTCAGCTACGCCTTGAGGCTTGAATGCAAATTGAAAATTTCAATTATCTTCGTTAGAAGTTGCATTAAGCCTCAACTGTTTTTTTTTCCTAGCAAACATGAATTCTAATTTCCCAATCAAGGTGTTACCATATCCACGAAATCAACATTTCTTTGGCCGGGCTGCGGAGCTGCAGCAGTTGTCAGATTTGCTTGACCATTCTAATACGGCTTCAACAAGCCGAGAACCGCGTACAGTTCTGCTAAGGGGTATGGGAGGGGTTGGAAAGACCCAGGTGGCTTTAGAATACGCTAATATCACAACTCATTACGATGCTATCTTCTGGCTGCGTTGCGAGACAATGGTAGCACTGGAAGAGTCTTGTAGGCAAGTTGTGCAAGAACTGGGTTTAGCAACAGACCCAGAGTCAAGTGTTCAAAAGACGACTCTGCTCAAGAGATGGCTCGCAAACACAGGTTAGGGAATGATGACAATCTGTAGCCAATCTTCTGACCAGTATAGACCGGCAATGTCTCCTTATTTTGGATGACCTAGACGAACCTGAGAGAACATTCTTGGAAATATTTCCATTGAAGCTCAACAATGGATCCGTTATTGCAACATCACGTCGGAATGACGGCTTAGACTTCCAATTCGCTTCGACATTGGAAGTCTTACCTTTCGAACCAGAAGAAGGATCCAAGTTTCTTCTTCATCTTCTTAATCGCAACAACAGTCTTAGCAACGAAGCCACTAATGCTCAAGCCGACGCATCATTGAATTTATCAGAGAGACTCGGGGGTCTTCCGCTAGCTATAGCTCAAATGGGAATTATGATAAGGCAGCGTAAGATGAGCGTCACGAGTTTCCTCTCTTTTTATGAAAAGTACCATGAAAAGATTGATAGGAAGCAAGGGAGACTTACGAGTACCCAGTACTCATACAATCTAGGTTCCGTGTGGCTTCTCAGTTTCAAGACTTTGAGCCACGGTTCATATCGGTTGCTGGGGATTATAAGTCATCTTGCTCCTGACTCGATTCCAGCTGCCTTGCTCTGCGAAGACACATCAAAAGTCTTCGAGTTCGACGACGCAATTTTCGAGTTGGTGGCGGGTTCCCTCATTCGAAAGCATTCCAAACATTCCGAAATGGATATATTTTCTGTCCACCGACTTGTGCAGCAAGCATTTCGAGATTATCTTTCAGAACAAGAGAGATCAGTTGCTTTTGATGACACAACTAAATTAATTTTCAACGCCATCCAGGACAAATATTTTGGCAACGCGACTCCAAGTGAAGAAACGTTTAAAATCCTGCGACCGCATATCGACCACTTGAAAGCCCTTCCGGAGGCACAAACCTCCGTGACTTTTGATTCTCTACTGTCTTACACCAATAAACTTGAAGCGTAAGTTGAGCCCTATCGGTTAGAGATAGAGCTCTCTTTGATAACTTTGGAACAGTTACTCGCCCGATGACAATCAATCAACCTCATCTACTGACAGTATACAGGATGGAGCGTTTTCTAATCTTGATTCGATTTCTTCTCGGTCTTCCGTTCTCGCCGAAGAGAGATCATCTGCGATATCCCTGTTGGTTGAGATTTTCCGAAAGGACATTGATCTCGTTGCGTCTTGCAGTCGTTTGCTTTCCAATGCAAACGAGGATAAGTTTCATCGAGAATTCGGTGATCTTCTAACCTTATTCAGCAAAGACCTACTTGCAGATCCAGTCTGTAAGATAAAACCTCATTCTGCTAATTGGATAGAGTCACGAAGATACCTCATTTCCCAGAACTTGGTTACATACTTGAAACCACCAAGCGGTAATTCTCTGACCACTTTACCACCATGTCAAGAAAAGAGTAGTCTCGTCATAGAGCGGTACCTAGAGCAACTTGATCCGGTGGTTGAATCTGATGAACCTCCAGTTTCCTTACCTACAACGGAGAATGCAACTTTCTACCACTCAGATGACATTTGGCATGCAGGAGACGACGATGATCATGATTTCGAGGAGTGGACTGAGCATCTTAAAACTTTGGTTTCCAAATCCTCTGCCTTTGAAAAGCTGAAAACAAACCTGAGCAGAATGAGCAAGCCCTATAGATGCAACATGAGTGGTTGTGGGAAAAATGTCGGTTTTTCGACGATGAGTGAGCTGGCACACCATAAGGGTTCAAAGCACAAAACACTCTCTGGACTATCAAGAATAGGTAATATTGACGATAAGTTGCGGATCGTCATTGGTTTCGTCCACTTTTGGACTGCTTACTTGAGGTCGATTTTCCGCACAAGTCTCATGGCTACGATCCAAAGCAGGGAGGAGCCATGCCCAGCAAACATGGTGCGAGGCCAGTGGATATGCGTGAGCTGGAAATCTGTTTTCGAAAGCCCCTGAGACTATGCTGATCTGGATTTACTTAGGCTTGCGGGTACGGCATCGTCGACGACTTTTACGAGAGCGTTCCTGGGAGTGTCGCCAGTGCGATGCGTGAACTCAGCGCAAACCGAAACTCCGAATCTTATGCTACTAACGCAGTACCGAGCATAATTACTCGAGAAGCACTTTCTTCGTTGTACGACAGAATAGGCGTTCTTGCTACCTTTGTTTTGAAAATCACGACCCGGCTTAGGAGAAAGATTGGTCTGTCTGGCAGAAAGGATCGAGTAGATTCCAGTGATGCCCATGAACTAGGCGAGCTGCCTACCGCTAATTCACTAACTCCCCGCTTCCTACTTTTGTGTATTACTACGTGGAGAGGATACGACTTCACACAGATGGTACCCGTTGATCTCAATGTGGCTAGCGATGAAATTTTATTTTGTGAATTAAAGAAGGCGTATCATCGCCGAGCGGGAACATTGAAAAGGTTACTTTCCTTATTCTGTATCCAGGATATACGATTCGTTCGAGTAAGTCAAGTTCCTCGTCCCAAAATATGAAAAGTTATCATCGCTTTGATCTGATATGGTTTCCAGTTCATAATCACTCGAAATAAGCTAGTGGACATCGACCTCCATTCTCGCGTAGAAGGGCGAATCTTGGAAACAATACCGCCTGTGAACCATGGCGATTACTCTTACGATCCAAAACCGATCCGTCATGAGCCTCCAGTCGGCCACAGGACGATGATGCACCGTTACTGTTGTCCAAAGGCTTGTGATCTCAGTCACTGTCTTAAGCGTTTCCCCGGTTATTGTCAAGAGCAAGTTCGAATCCAAGACGATGCCGATGATGAAATAGCTTGGGGTATTGAGCTCGTAGAGGGGGCAGATTTGGCTTATGCTTGGGTTTTCATGCTTCTGATCATGGGTTCTAGTATTACATTTGGTATTGGGTGGGCTGTGGTCAGAAAGGATCTTTCTGGCGGTTTTGCTGTTAGTGCAGTTTTGCTGGCGACATTTACTTGCTTGTTAGGGACTATGCAAGCAACATTAAGGACTCTGTAGGTCTAGCTTAAAACATAACAGGGTTCACATCCACATACAAAATTTTTACGCCTGTAGCCAAGACACCGCAATCTCAGCACAAGAGATAATTTTTTCTTTGTCGAGAACTTATCAGGAAAAGTTCGTCTTTCTTATATCTAACCGCTTGCATCTTTACACATTAACGTCTCAGACCCCAATCCATCTTGTTTAATCGCTGAGTTAAAGCATCCAGGAATCCATCCATCCTTTTGAAAGGAAAAGAAGAAAACAACAAAACGCCATGCTAAGAAACTAAAAACGTCAACGCCCTCAATCATCATTCCTCCTCTCTTCAGTCTTGTTACCACCCCATCCCCTTCCCTCCCCTCCACATCCCACCAACTAATTTCAATCCGCCACTCATTCCTTCGCACGACGCAGGATAAGATTTGCATCTACCCCTCCTCCTCCAAGAATCCCATGATGGCCCTGATGCCCCCAGCACCCAGGCCACCACGGGGATAACACACGAAAACAGGCTCATTCCAACACCCCATCTTCTCACGAAACTCACTCTTATTAGTCAACTTGAACTGTTTATTGATCGTCTCGTACGCCCTGCGGAGCGCCTTGACCTTATGTTTGCCCAGATTGCGTCCACCCTCCAGACTCGGCATCGCGCCCGTTCCAAAGGTGACCTGTCGCGTGTCCGGATCGGCTGCAGCAATGCTACGGAGAGAGTAGAGGATGAGAGACTCGATGGTGCCAGACGGGGCGCCGGGGAATTCGAGGGAAAATTTAACTTGGTATCCGTTTTGCGGTGAGAGTTGGTGGAGGACGACGATGGCTTTGATTTCGTTATCGGAGCCGAGGGCGTAGAAGTAGCGGCGATGGGCTTCATCCACCCATGGTCTGATCTCAGTGAGATGGACTTGTGTTCCTTTGCGACCCTTTTGCCAGTTTTGGACGCCGAGATCGACGCGGGATTTGATGTCTTCCGGGACGGGTTCATTGGATGGGATTTCGATGTTTTTGACACCTTCTGCTTCGGCGTGACGAACTTTACGAGCCAGATCCTTGTCTTTGAGGGCGGGGTTGTCTTTGGGATTGGCGCGCTCTTCGGCGATACAAGCTAGAGTTCTCCATTGGAATTTCTCGCCCACATATTCTTCGACTTCTTTTCCGGCAATCATCCAGATTGGTTTGAGTTCTCCTTTGATGCCGAGGTGTTTATGGTGGTCTTTCTCTTTGATGAATTGGATGAAAGCGGAAATGACTTGTGGGTATTGGGATTTGGCGCAGAGTGGATCGCCGACTGCAATGGCAAAGTTGTTGTGTACAATATAACCTTGAGCAGCACCGGTCGAAGGATGACGATAAATTTGATAACGTTTGTCTAACCAAGAAGTATTGGCTGCATCACCGTAGTTTGCAATGAGCTTTTCGACGGGTTGAAGGCGAGTGTCGTGAGCTGGACTTGCAGTTCCGTCATCGGTATCGAATTGCTCCCATGGTGGGTTGACGGTGCTAGCATCGTCATGGCGAAGAGCCATAACTGGAGGTTTGGCAGGTAATGACTTTGGATCACGGGGGAAGAGTGAAGCTAATCTGATGTTTCCGAGATTGAGGAAGAGGTAGGTAAGACGTTCCAACCCAATACCACAACCGGCATGTGGTGGTGCTCCCCATCTGAAACCTTCCAGATATTCAGACATTGTATCTGGTTTGATGCCTGCCTTCTTAATCTTCTTTTCGAGGAATTTTGCGTCGTGGATACGTTGACCACCACTCAAAATCTCTTGCCCTCGCATGAAAATATCGAAGGAATTGGTGTAGCGGTCATCTGATGGATCTGGCATGGTATAGAAAGGTCGAGCCGAAGCAGGGAACTTATCGAGAATATAGTAATCAGTGTCGTACTTCTCTCTCACTAGAGCACCTAATCTGATTTCTGCTCGGGTTGACATATCTTCGAGCACAGATGGACGGCTACCATCTTCCTCAACCCATCCACTGTCCAGGAGCATCTGAATACCATCCTTGAATGCGATTCTTGGAGTAACATCCAGCCACTTGACCTTGTCGTGGGCATAGAAATGTGAAATGAGCTCAATTTCGCTCGAGTATCGGTCGTAAATTCCTTGCCACAAGTTCTTGAACATTCCGTCGATGATATCGAGAGCCTCGTGATAATGTTCTTCCAAAGCCATCTCGAGATCGAGACCGGTATATTCAGTCAAATGACGTGGTGTGTTGCTGTCCTCAGCACGGAAAACAGGACCAATTTCGTAAACTCGTTCGAAATCAGCGGCGATGGCCATTTGTTTGGCCAATTGTGGCGATTGTGCCAGGAAGGCTGGTCGTCCGAAATAATTTAATTCAAAAACAGTTGCTCCGGATTCAGTCGCACCACCCTGCAATTTTGGGGTGTGGATTTCGATGAATCCTTGGGTATCAAGATAAGAACGGAAAAGATTGCAAATGCCAGATTGAATACGGAAAATAGATTGTGCTGGTCCTGTACGAAGATCAACAATACGATTGTTTAATCGAACTCTTTGTGGAAGTGATCGGTTTTGTCTGAAAACGTCCATAGTGCCTATGAATTGTTAGCCATGTCTTTGCAATCTCGAAATCTACTTACTGCGACTACTAGCATTATTGAGCTTGTCTGACAATTTATCTACAGATCTACGCACGCCATCAATTGATCTTCGCGCGACATCCGTAGAATCGCGCTCATGTGGTGATGCGCTTCGAGGAGTTTGATCCTCGCCTGCATCGTCCTCTACATCATCGTCTGCGTCCTCCTTGTCTCGATTGATGTTTTCCGCATCGTAAACGGTAAAAGGAACGTGTTCTGACAAATCTCCAACTTTGTGTACCTCGAGGACGTCGAGCTCATAATCGTGAATGGTGGCGTTTTTAACTCGCTTCATGGCTTTTCGGAGCTTTCCATGTACAATGACTATCGTCTCGCTTGGGTAGTGCTCAATACTTCGGACCATGTTTTCAGAAATCGCTCCGTTGCCTTCAGCTGCAGAGAATTAGTGAAGATTAGACACTTGTTAATTGACTCAACATACCTTCAAGTTCATCCACAGGTCTAAAACTCTGCAAAACTCCCTGAATTGTCATGGTTTGCTGGCGGAACACTATAAACACAAGCTTGGCACTCATTCTGCGAAGCGTATGGATACGCGCTCTGAACGAGATAACCTTCCCTTCTGCTTCTACAAATTGTTAGCATGTGTATGAAATCCAGAGGCAGCGAGAAGAAATGTTCTTACGTGCGAAGTTCATCTCCTTGAATAAAACCCGATTTTCGTGGTTCCATCTTTTGCTCATATTCATGCTATATGGTCGGTATAGCTTTGTTAACTCTGGAGGCCCCTCCTCCAAGAACTTCTCGTCATCTATCCGTGCCATCGACTCCCGCTTTTTGTTTTCGGCCTTTACTCGCGCTCGATCCAAACTTTTCCTCTGCTTATCTGCGCGAACCACCTCTGAACTTGGGTGTCCTGAAACGGAATTCCCATTCAGAGGGGCCACCACATTGCCGTTGCCATTTGCGAGGCCATTTTCTAGGCCGGATTGAGGGGTCGAAGTACCACTCGTACCCTCTGCTTTTCCTGGAACCGAATCTTCATCCGTATCTTTGCTGGTCAGATCTTTAATCTTGCGAAACGGCTTCTTGAGGAACGACATTTTGAACATTCAATTTGCAAAATTTACACCGGAAGCAATTTCGAGGGGGCGCGAAGCTAATAAGGCTGGTGGTTGTTGAGGGTAAGCTCCTGGTTGGTACCTTATGATGCGGTTTGCTGATTAACGGATTTTGGATGGAGTCCGAGGGCGACCGCCTTTCGCCGAGTTTAAACGATTGGCGTGGGACCAAGAAGAAATGGCTGGCCGAGTGCAGTTTGAGCTTGATGGTTGGTGAGAAAAGTGATTATTGTGCAGCGGATCCGTCGGATCTAATCAACGCTTATGTTATCAGTTGACTCGAGCTTGTTCATGTGGCTGGTTGACAGGCGGAAAGGGAAACGATGGATTGCAAGAATTGCAGAATTGCAATATCTGATCTGGAGATGAGAAAGGTGAATGAAAAAGGAGAAGACGAAGGGGAGAAAGGGGATGAGGAGGACGAGGATAAATTCCCACGTCGTCAAGATGAAAGTAAACAATTCTGCGTTACACGCATCCCGGAGATGGATTCCAAGGAGCGACCTTGGGAAGCTTTTGATGGTGGGGCAGTCCGCATTGAATGCCGGTAGGGACACCACCCCATGATGTCACGCCCAGCGCAATTGTGATCTTGTTGGTAAAAAGCTCTGTGAAAAGCTCCTTGGGTATGGCCAGAATGCGTGGTGAGTGTGCTAGAGAATTCTCCGCTCTCATCTCGCAAAGCTCCCGTTGCCTGTCAAGCGGTTGAGGTCGGACCAAAAATCTTGACCACATCCAGATATTTCTCAATTCTGCCCTGAATACTTTCAATCGTGTCTCACAAAAATGAGTACGTGGTCGTGCACAGGCTTATCATGACCTTCAACAACGTCATAACCGACAAGCAGCTGAAACCAGTCATCTTCCCAGTCTGTGGTATTCTCATCTGGGGAATGAGGTTGGACAATCGAAATGGTCGGGATACCCACGGAGATTTGCCTCCGGTCCAATATAATCCCATGACTAAGCGGGCGTTACTCACCTCCAGCTGCAGGAGCCAAATTTAGAAGAGACTGGCAGCTCTGAAATAACAGGTACTGTAAGAAAGGGACAAAGAGGAAATATCTTCGCTCGATATCCCATCCCTATCTGATTAATGCCATATGGCTTTCAGACTCGCTGATATCATTTGAAGCCCCAAGACGCCCCAAGAAGAGATATTGGTAAAGCAGGACGAGATGAGAAGATAGCCCAGCGGTACTGCAGTTCCAGGTCCATGACAAGAAGCTTGAAATGGCACTGTATCTCCTTCTGAATTGCATGCGAGTAATTACCAGCCGGTCGGATGCCACAGTAACTACTTGATTGAAGCGTTTCAGCTCCATCAAAGTTCCTCCAATAACGTGTTGGAGACCAACTTCCGTTGCAATATACTTCGCTGATATAATGCCTACCAGTCATCAACCTGCAAATCAGACTTGCTGGGCGGTCGATGTCCTGACGCTGCCGATTACTGGTCGAGTCAGCTTTGGTAACGTGTGGTAATCTTTCCCTGTATGGCAGGTCGTCTCCCGAGCCAGGAGCTGGTGGGTGCCCAGGTACTTGGTGGTTACCACTGTCTCAACTGACGTCTTACTATTTCACGATACCAAAAGAATCCTATTTTGTGATTCCAAAATCATAAGGAAAAAGAACATGTCGTTGGATTCAGAGAAAGGAGATAGCCTTTTAGCATAGCAAGATCTATATCACGTGATAATGAAATAGCAAGCTTTGGCCGGCATCACGTTTTGCCGTCTCCGGATAGTGACGTATCTACGGAAGCACCCAGCCCAATGTTCAACGACATGTCACTTACCAAGATGGGATATGGGGCTGAATTTCACGAGTGCACGCACGTGTTGTAATTCTCTGAATTATGCGACTCTAGCTTGTCCCTAGTTGTTCGTGATAATGACAGATATCACAGACTTCAAAAGGAGTGAAATCACCAAATAACCCTGAATCGTTGGTGCGACCCGGCCAGAAGCACGCGGTTGAACTGCACGAAGATTATTGAGCTACCCGCCTATCGACCTAGTCTCGATTTCCACGATTCCAACTGGTATTTTCCCGCGATAGATGGACTAGTCGCAGTACCTGACTGGCCATACTTATCTCCGATCAAAGTATATAGGTGCTTCACAGCCCCTTTGGTACGCGCATCAACCCCACATCGTCACACCAAGCCTCTGCGTTGCAGCGACATCCCACTTAGTTATACACCAGTGGTTCCCAGGAGATACGCGTGTACATATCTGAATGCGCTCTGCCCTCAGATCAAGTATTTCACAACTCTTCACAATCGATGCACTGGTTTGACAATCGCTGGTTCCTAATGGTTAAAGCTTCAATATGGCGGGGCCTCATGGCCGTGGGAATGAAGATCCACAGATTCGCAGAACCCAAACCACCAGCACCCAATTTCAAGATCACGATACCCTCGAGACTGTCGCCGAAAGGAGGAACGTTCAAATTGGTGTTCTATGTGCCAGACTCATACTGGACTGCGCCGGAAGGATATCGTTATCCTGTTGTGGTCAATTTCCACGGAGGAGGCTTTACGCTGGGGACAGGCACGGATGATGCAAGATGGGCAACAACAGTATGCACAACGGTTGACGCCATCTTAGTCTCCGTAGAGTACAGACTTGCGCCAGAATATCCATTCAGTGTCGGGGTGGAGGACGGTTCGGACGCTGTATTATATTTAGCATCGCATGCCGACGAACTACAAATCGACCCCCATCGAATGGCATTGTCCGGTTTCTCTGCGGGAGGGAATTTCGCATTCACGGTCCCTCTGATGCTACACGATCTAGGAAACGACGCGGGAAAACGAGTTCTTGCAGAAAATAATCCAATCCACAAAAGGAATAAGAAGAGCAACGACTCTCTTTACCCACCATCATCACGACACGGCGGTGAGCCCCTATCTGCGACCTCTTCTGCGGCATCCTCAACACCCTCGCTCAACAGTCGTCCGAGTTTTGTGTCAGAGGCATCAAGTGGATCAATTCTAAAGTTGTCAGATCTAGAGCCTACCGCTTTGGAGATAAATCAAGAGATTCCCGATTACACGATACGAGCAATAGTTTCCTTTTACCCGCCGACAGACTTTCGAACGACGAGAGAAGAGAAGCGAAAGACTAATCCACAACCTGCGAAGAATCTCCCACCAATGCTCACGAACCTGTTTGACGATTCCTATCTTTTCCCAACCGCCGACATCGATTTTAGTGATCCCTACCTCTCCCCTGCCGCCGCGTCCGACGACTTCCTTAGAGCTGCATACCCAGAGGACATTGTTTTGTATACTTGCGAATATGATATGTTAAACGCGGAAGGTGTGGCTTTTGGAGAACGATTGACGCATCCCTCGATGAATAAAAAGGTCCATGGGGGACTCGTGAAGGAATCAGTCCATGCTTTCGACAAAAAGCCTAATCCGATCAAGTTTCCTGAGTCTGCGGATAGGATATACAGTGAAGCATGTGCGGAATTGACACGGATATTTGGAGGAAGAAGCAGTTTCGAGGACAGGAGACAGCTAGACAAGGTGAAATCGGTTGATCGGTTTGAAGAGCGTGATGAACCTTACAAGAAGGGAGATGATGAGGAGGCATTAATTGATGGAATTCAAACTCTAAAAGGAGCCGGATCAAGTAGCCACTCATAAATGGGGCTAGCAGACGGACCGGCTTTTGGGATGATCTGATTTGAGCTTGCTTGTACTGGGCTGTAAAAGTTTCTGGCGTTGGAGAGGATGGGGTATACGCATTTCGTGATGGAATCACGACCACGCATGAACAAACAGGCTGCGTCTAGAATAGACGTGTCTACGAAACTAATATATTCTTCCAACTATCAGCAATATTTGCTCAAACCGCCAAGGTTCCATCCGATTTCAGGTGTCAAACCTAGACAGAATTTGAGATACGGCCAATTTATTAATATACCTCTAACTCCATATTTTGTGTTTCGATTTATGGTATTTCGATAATCTCCATTTGAAAGACCTCAGCCACATTGCATCATTTAGCGCTGACTTCCATTCTTGTATAACCGATGCAACTGACCGAGAACCAACACGTGACGCAGCCCAACCCATTTCCTGGCCTCGACTTCAACGGCTCGTGACTGTGTGTTTGCAAACATTCACGACATTCTTCGTCTTCAAGACTCACATTCGCATACTCTCATATGGATTCATTTGACTCTCCGTATATTCGCGGGGATGCTCCCTACAATATTTCTCGTCTTCAAAACGTCTTGTCCGTTTGACGTCTGACGGTCTGACACTACCACTATTGTTTTATCTCATGAGCGCCAAATATACAACAATATCGATATCGAAACAAAAGCACCTCTTGCGAAAATCTTGTCCATCTCCATGAATCTGTCATCGGCCTTAAGTCCGAAAATTAAGTCAATCTCCTCATCCATCTACAACATCCTGGTCCCCGAAGGCCAAGAAACGGCGGAAGCAGAGCGAGGTGAACAAGATGCACTGGTAGCAGGTCTTGCCATTCGCCAAAAACCCATCGACGAACCATATCAACATGATCCCATAAGCATAGATCAAATTCGTCTTTTGGTCCTATTTCCATTACTACAAGAAGAGCCATACGTATCATGTAACGTTATCACGACTAACAATGGACGTGAGGGACCGCCGCCGCCGGAGTACCATGCGTTATCTTACACATGGAAGTATGACGGATTTGACGCTCGAGAAAAGCCAATCCAGATTAATGGGAAGTGGATGACGGTGGGAAGCAATTTGTGGTATGCTCTCTATCAACTCAGTCCAAGTCGCGGGACACGAAAATTGTGGGTTGATGCGATTTGTATTGATCAAGAAAATGTCTTGGAGAGAAATGACCAGGTTATGCAGATGGGACATATTTATTCGACTGCAAAGAACGTGATAATTTGGCTGGGTCATGAAGATGGGCCTACGAAGCGGGCTTTTCAGACAATCGAAGAATTCGCAAATCCGAGTTGTATCGCAGTTCTGGAACCATCAGAAAATGAAGTTCAGAAAGCGACATCAGCACTAAGTCATTTCTTAGATCGGCAGTATTGGAAAAGAGTCTGGGTCATCCAAGAGATCGTCTTGGCGAAGTCCATCACCATTTACTCGGGCTATCATATGCTTCAATGGAGCGATCTGGCAAAAGCATGTAGAAACAGAGATGGTGTTGGAATTCCGCCAGAAATGGCAAAACAGGGCCTTCGGCTCCTTCAAGACAGTATCGCAGCATTTTTGGAAAGATCGAGGACGGAGCCAGAAACCGGAAGGACACTACTAAATCTACTCCACGCATGTCAAGACAGCCATGCCACAGATGTCCGGGACATGGTATACGGCCTTCTTGGTATCGCAAATGACAGTTCCTTCCTCGAAGTCGATTATAAGAAATCCGCGCTCGAGCTCTGGCAATACCTAGTCAAGCTCCAAAACAATCCACCCGAAGGCACCAACTCCTACACCTTTTCAGGAGATAAAAGCACAACCATGTACTTTGCCCAATTCCTCTGGGACGTCCTGGCCATCTCCCCCCACGAGATCAAATCCCTCCCCCCATCAAGCCCAACCCTAACACTCCAAGGCTACTGGACAGACACCATAATCCAACTCGGCCCCCTAGGCTCAGAAATCATCGCCGCCCGCCGCACAACCCAAGTGGGCAACCACCACACCTACAAAGACTGGCGGCACGAACTCAAAATCTCCGACCCAAACTGGAATCTCTCCGTCCTGCAATCCGTCCACCTCCCCACAATCTTCCACAACACCTCTCCCCTTCTCGCGGAACCAAACCCTGTAAACTCCGCAACTATATCCGTATCTGACCTCAAATTCGCAAACGCCCAACCCCGTCCCAAGGAAGCGCGGCCGTGGAATCCGAGACCCCACGCGAAATTGACGAGGAATTGCCATTTTAAACGCCATTTAGATCCCACGGATCATGAGAAGTGCTGGGATATCTATCGTTTTGTCGTTACGGAGGGGGGACAGATTGGGTGGTCTCACGATTCAGTCAGACCCGGCGATCTTGTGTGTCGCTTCAAGGAGACTGATATCGCGCTCCTCCTGCGATCTCGCGGCTCGGGTGGGGATGGGAAATTTGATGTCGTAGGCAGGATCATGTTGTTGAGAAAGGAAAATGAACAGGTGGCTGTGAGGAAGGGGAGTAAAAAGGCGTTTATGCTAAGCGTGCCGGATTTGCAGAGAGAGACGGGCGTTGAAGTGGATTTGCAGTTGGGGATCCAGACGTTGGCTTATTTGGCGTGTTTTTTTAGGCCGACGGCTGAGAAGGATTAGGGTTGGGATGGGCGGAGATTGGGTCGTAGGAGGGTAGCAGTTTGGTGTTTATGGAAGGTGAGTGATGGATGGAGGTGAGGGAAGGGGTGAAGTGTATATATGGGAGTGTAAGATTATATAGAAGATACGATCGTGGTAGGAGAAGCTGGCAAGCGTAGAACCACAGCCATAACACTTACTTACAAAACATCCAAAACACCGCCCCCCCACTACTCACGAGCTTCTCCAGCACAGATCTTCTCAAACGTCAGAATCTTGCCCTCTCCATCCACGCAGCTTCAGATCTGAAAGTCCGATCAGCATATCCCGAGCACAGTTTCGAGTTGCCAGCTCAGAGTAGTCACGCTTTCTACAATCTCTGACCACTTTTCGATCTGACATCTGGGTAGATTACTCATAGATAATGGAATCAACCAAATCCGCCTAACCAATCGGTCTTTCTGAACGCGACGTGTGATTGCGAGACTTCTGGTTTAAATATATATGTCACCGTGATTTAGTAAACAAGAAAATTGGGATAGAAGCTCTGAGGTTGTTATTTTTGGGGGGAGTGAGAATTGGGAGGTGAGATGTGAGGTTGGTGTTTAAGCAGGATAATTTGAATGAGGTATTTGTGAAGAGGGAATGAGTGGGGAGTTGGAGTTGTTTTGGTGGGGATGGAGTGATTTGGATGGTTTGGTTGAGGTGAGGTGAGGGATGGAGTGAAGAATGGATATGGCGGATTGGTTTTGTGGTTGTGATTGTGGAGGTGTGGGGATTGGGGATTAGGTGAGATGATGAGGGGGAGGTAACGACTAAGACTTGGTTTTTAGAATGGAGTTGAGAATGGAAGGGAACGTGAGAAAAGAGGATTCGTGTTAGTAGATATATTTCTAGTATATACCTAGATATTCGAAATTTCATAGCCATTTCTGAGGGTTTTCGGTATAGATTTCAGCGTACAATAAAACATAATTTTTGTCGATAGTACTAGGGGTTCTGGAAGATGGGAGTTGGGGTTGGAGATGGAGGAAAGTAGGCGATGACGAGAAATATGTGAGTAAATCTTTTGGTGGTTTGTGTTCGATGAAAAGAGTGAGTCGGTGACTAGTAGTGCGTGTTTATGCCGTATACTATCCTTCTATGCATTTTGACCAATTTGGAAGAAGCTGAAGAGGAGAGGCTTGTGTAGTTTATAATAAAAGTTAAATGACACAGCTATGGGTTTTGAGTCTACGAGTGAGGCGGTTAGTGCAAACCTCTTAATTGAATGCAGGCAGCAAGTCTGTTACTGAAGGATGAGTAGCACGTGTTCATCTTTATACTATTTTGTGCTGGATAGCACGATGGGTGGGTAGTTTTGGCTTTCATGATTGTGTGATAGTAGACTTGAGTTGCATGGTTAGGCTCTTTTTGTGTTTTTTTTCCCTCTTAGTGGCTAGTATTGACATGTGTAAGTTAAGTTTAATTGCCTAACTTGAAGGGAGCAAACCTCACTTAACACTCTAACTTCCTTGACAGGATATTCCTTTTCACATGCCGAAAATGTGCAATTAAGAATCTCCGCCAAAGATGTGCCTGCTAAAACAATTAAACCCAAATTTTGTGATATTCATCAATTATTTTATTGCGCTCACGCTCTCAACTAATCCACACATCCAACATCACAACAAGGGGCGGATGCACGAGCGGTCGTGACGATCAAATATTCTCGCTTAATCCAACACGATTCTTCCAACTGCAGAGAAAATTGGTGTTAGTACATATCCGGTTAGTTGGAATCCAACTGGGTAATATCGAGATGGACATGGGGCGGATGCGTGAGCGGTGGGATGGGGATGGAGATATGACTTGGCGTTGTGAAGTGGTAGGTGCATGAGAATTTGAGGTGGAATTTTTGGAGGTGGTGATTTTGGGGGGGGGGAGATTGGGGTGGGAATTAAGATAGGTGAGTGTAGACGATATTTTCATTCATAAGGTTCTGAAGTTCCTAACACAACACAAAGGAGACAGGCCTCGTTTGATTCCAGCAACACCAATGTTCCCCAAGAATACACTTAAAATCCAGTTCTACCACCTCAATCCCACCTCACAATAATCAACTCCAACTTCGCCCCCTCCATCCTCTTAATCTCCTCTACCTCAAACCTCTCATCCGCAACGCCAAACAACTCCACCCAATCCCCCTCATCCCTCTCCTGCGAATTCGACGTAGCCATCATCGTGATATCCGAAATCCCTATTCCAATCAGTTAAGCTCCCAACAAAAAGAATAATAAAGCGACAAGAAATGCATACCTATACCACCGCTCCTTCGAAATCGGCAGCGTACACGGCGGTTCCAAACACCTCTCACTCAACACCACCCTCGCCCCCTTCTTAAGTGCCGGAATGAGCGCTTTCAAGATCTTAACGCAATACCTATCCGACCAATCATGCAAGATCCAGCGGAAGTAATACACATCCGCGTTCTTGACCGGTTGTTCCTCGAAAAAGTCATGCGCCATAAACGTCACCCTCTCAGTTGCCTGTACATTGACTTTCGCGTCTTCAATCACAGATGGTAGATCTTGCACGATGAGTGAGAGATTTGGGAAGGTTTTAGCGAGATCGAGAGCGACGAAGCCGTGAGAGCCGCCGACGTCGACGACGGTTGCGGGGCCGAGAGTGGACCAGGGGAAGTTGGATAGGATGTAGGAGGTCTCTAACCCGGGGAAGGTTTGTAGGAATTGCATGGCGGATTTGAAGCGTGTCATGCGGGGGGGATGTTGGGAGAAAAACTCGAACATAGGGAGGGGAGTGGAGTTTGCTAGGGAGAAACCCTGGGAATTGGTTAGTTGGATTTGATGAGGTGGGTGATGAGAACGTACGCAGTGTTCAGGTTCTTCCGAGTCTGGCCATTTAGAAAGGGCATCGACCACCTATATCTCATTAACAACGCCTTACTTTGGTGGAGCGGAGATCTTACATTCATCTTAGCAGGCCCAACCTCATACATCCCCATCTCGGCCCACGTGCCCAGAATCGGCATGAGCACCAACGCTTTCGTCGCGATCGTATGCTTGACCCTACCGGGCACAGGCTCTCTGAAGAAGTGATCCGTCATCCCGTGTCTTAACAGCCGCGTCAATTTCTTAACTGGCAAGTTTGTTTTCTGGGCTAGCTCAGCGAATGTCGTGCCTGTTTCAAAGGGCACGAGGTTGTGGATGTTGTACTTGAGGATTGTTTTGAGACCGATTGAGCCGGCGAACTGGGGGTTTTAGTTGGTTAGGATGGGGAGAGGGAGGGGTAGGGAGAAGACTTACGGAGTTGGAGACGATGGTTTGGATAGGTCCTTTGTTGAGAGAGGAGAGCTCGTCGAGGGCTGCTGAGAGAGATTCTTGTGCGGCTGCTATTTCAGGAGGGAACTGATACATTAAGGGAGTATCTTCTTCGAAAGAAGGGGGTGCGAGGTCGTTTTGGGTGAAGAAGTCATCAAGTGCTTTTGTGTTTGCTAAGATCTCGTTTGCTAGAGTGAGAATGCGTGAAGGTGCCATTTTGAAGATTCTTTTGGGGTGGGGTTTAACTTGAGATTTGTGAAAGTAATTTGAGTGAAGATCAAGGCTCAGGGAATGTGGACGATGATAGTCATATTTGTAGAATTCACTTCATATCTAGCTAGTGAGATACCATATATTCTATCGGTTGGTAACTGCTTGTTGGAGGCGGGGTAGGTTGGTGTTGGTTCCTGCATCGGTAGGAACTTGAATCCCTGAAAACCAACACGTAAACGACATGCCTCTTCCAGGTAGTATTTTAAGACACTGGGTATGTGACCGACGCGGTGTTGATTGAGGTGGTTGACGTGCGTCAACTTCAAGGGGTGTATGCAGCCAACCGCAGCCAACTGCTAATGCAGCTCTTGACAGTAACAGCCCTCGTTTTCGTGCTCAATTATTGTTACCTGATTTCTTGCTCAGATCTGATAAACTAGGCATGTGTTGAATTTCCTACATTCGTACAGCCACAAGTAGAACAGTATAGCGGACATACCTATTTCACTTGCTTATTCATTATTGTTCTATACATTCTGACCCTATGCCCAGTTATGTTTATACCAGCAGTGGTGTTTCAAAATTATATGATTGGTTTATTATTTTCTTTTTAGTTTTAGTTTTTATTTTCACAAACATTGATCTTTTCAATCCATACCTCAAGTCTCCTTTCACATCACGATTACACGCTTTCCAGATCCACCGTAAACCTCATCTTCCCCATTCGCCCCCTACAATTCATCCATCCATTCACTCCCCCAAGTCACTACACTTTCTCTCAAACTCCATCCTCTCCCTTCTTTTCCGGCGCAGGAAAAAGACTAAACCCTTTCTTCCTCTCTCCATCGAGCGGCGGCAACGGACTAATCGGCACCGGCATCCCCATCTCTTTCTCCTCACCAGTTCCATAACTCCTCTTCAATCCTTCATTATCATGTTGAAATCCCAAGCCTCCATATCCCTTCTCATCCGCATACCCACCGCCTGTATTAACACTATTCAAACTTCTCATCGTGCTACTCGCCCCATGACCCCTATTCCAGAACGGGTCTTTACTAGCACCACTTCTCTGAGACATTGAATGCGCGAATCCGGGTGGTAATGGTGAGTTTAGAGAAGTCAAAAGGGGAGATGGAGGGGGTGAGTGTGCGCCGTGGTGGTGGTGTGGGAGGGAGAGACGACGACGCCGGAAGAAAATGCGGATGCTGAAGAAGATTAGGGTGCCAAAGGCTATTATACCGACTATTTCACACATTAGCCAGCCATTTCTCAAAAATACCGGGTAATGAAGATGAGGCACTTACTAACACTCCCCAAAACCACCCCCGTAATCGCAGCAGGTGTCTTCAGCGGACTCGAAATCACATTCACGGATCCAGAGGCGAGCCCACCTGTTTTGCCGCCGAAATTGGGATCAGAGGATGGGTCGTTGGAACTGCTGATCACGCCCGCGTTGAGACCGGTGCCTTCGGCTGCTTGGGCGGTTGCGCGGAGGGTGGCGAGGGTTGTTGGACGGGTGGTTGAGAGCGTGGAGATGGTTTGAGAGGTGAGTTTGGAGGAGGTGGAAGGGATGAGGGATGAGAGGAGAGTCTCTAAGGTTGATGGGTTGGCGAGGTCGGCAGATTGGGCTATCTGTGTTGAGTTTCTGGACCCGGTGACTTTTGAAGGGCTGCTCGAGGCTTTTGCTTCGTTGGCTGTTGATGATGCGTCTGCAGCCGTGGGCTTTGTTGCGTCCGTGGTGGCTTTGGATTTGTTTCCTGCATTTTCACTTGAGGTTGTTGCTTTTGCGGATTCGTCGGTGGTTGAAGAAGTCGCAGTGTTATCTTGCGAAGAACTGCCTGTGTTGGTAGCTTTATTGGCCTCGGCTGAGGTTTTGGAAGCTGCTGCCTCTGAATCACTCGAAGTCGTTGATGTTGCTGATCCTGCATCACTTGAAGTAGTCGATGCTGCTGCTTCTGCCTCATTAGTGCTTGTGGAATCCGCAGTTGTCGTTTCTGATATTGTTGTATTCTCTACGGCTGCGACGTCTGTGGTAGAAGCAAGGTCTGCAGTTGATGTCGAATCTGCTACCGATGTTGTCGTTAGGACATCTGTGAACGCGATAGAAGATGTGGCTGCGATATCGGTTTCGATTGTTGAAGCTACTTCGGTAGTAGAAGCTGCAGCAATCGCTTCCGTCGAAGATGTCGCGGTTGTTACTAATTCAGTGAGACTAGCAGTAGAACTTAGGATATCTGCAGTTGAGGTTGCTTCCAGAATCGAAGTCTCTGATGATACTGAGGTGTCGATTGCAGAAGAAGTCTCTACTGGAATGGAAGTTGTTTCAGTAGGCACCGCGGTATCTGTGATGGAAGAAGTCTCTGTTGGCGCCGTAATCTCGGCTAATGTTGATGTTTCTGCTGTTGTAGAACTTTCAGCAGAGGTTGTTGATTCAACTAGTACTGGTGTCTCTGTTGGGATCTCAGTGCTGGAAGTTTCTGACGGAAGAGGAGTCTCCGAGGTAGCAGCTACAACTTCACTTGCCACAGGAGTAGGCTTAATCTCAGCAATCGTAGACTCGGGAACGATAACTTCTGAAGTAGGGGTAACAGCATCCGAAGTTGGAGTGGCCACAGGTGGTTCTGAGGCTGGAGTTGGATCCGTGGCTGGAGTAGGGATCACATCTTCTGAGGTTGGAACAATAACGGGCGATTCTGAAGCTGCAGTTGGATTTGCGACTGGAGTTGGTGTAGGCGTGGTCGATGTTGCCTCTGGCACTGTTACGGGCTCTACAGTGGGTGTCGATTTTACAGTTGGAGTTGCTTCCGCGACAGGATTTGGTTCATTCTTGGCCGTCTCTGTAGTTGTTTCTTTCGGTTTGGGCGACTCAATTGCGGGCTGTTGGATTTTAGAATCGTGCATTTCAATTCATCTAAGGGCACTTACCTCTGGGGAAGGCGTAGGCTTGGCCGCCTCTGACTTGACTTCCTCTGGCTTTGCTTCCTCTGGCTTTGTTTCTTCGTTCGCCTTTGCGGAATTGTCATCTCCATTTCCCTGTGGGACCTCAACTGCTGGTGTCGCTTTTGCATCCGGAGCATCTTCCTGTTTAGTTGGCTTCGCACCCTCAGCTGGTGGTGTCTCTTTTGCTTCAGGAGCATCTTCCTGTTTAGTTGGCTTCGCACCCTCAACAGCCGTCGGCTCCTCCTGTCTCCTCCCCATAGTCATAATCTTCACATCTTTCGTAAACACCTGCACATTACCCCCCACGATCATTACCCCATCTCTCGCCTCAACCTGACTTCGTCGAAAAAGTCTGCCCAATCTCATACTTAAAGAATGTACAAAGAATATAAAAAGAGGGAAGTGAGAACCAGCTCAAGAAAAGAATGTAGGGCCCGCCGTTGAAATCGCGATAAATCGAAGAAAAGAATGACTTCGTTGAAAATAGGAAAAGAGAAAAGAAAGCTGGAAGCGCAAAAGACAACAACTCAAACCGCAGAGTCCCACAACGTACCCGCATGACAACCATCCGATGCGTTCCGTGCTCGTAAATGCACGGGCGTGAAGCCGTCGGGACGAACTTTCTGGTTGCTCCTCAAGCGCATGGCATCATGGACGATTGAAGCTTAAAAGTCGTGAAACGATCTCTTGGGTTTCGAAGGAGCTGAATTGAGATGGCATGTGGAGATGTTTCGGAGATTGGTCAATGAGGTTGTCTCGCTTAAATTCTGCGACGAGACAGGGGGCGAGTCGTGCGTCTGATCGACGTCGGGTTAGAAATGCGATGGGAGCATGATATCTGTGCTCAGAATGACAAGTCAGTATTATTGAAACTAATGGGATATTCGATAACCTCGAGGGAGTCTGCTTGTTTGTGATGAAAGATTTTTGTGTGTGTTTTTTCTTCTTCTCTTTTTCAGCTAGCTGAGAACGACGGACCTCCGCATCACAAAAGACATTGAAAGCTTGACAGTGGAACGTCTATCGTCAAGGCGGTATTCGAAGTGATTTATGTAATGTTAAAAGAAGTTTGCTTTCAAATCGAGGAACTTGAAGAGTCGAGTGAACATTCCCCCATTAGTGACATGATGGCAGCTGGCCGTGGACGGGAATTGCTCAAGTCCATCTTTTGGTATCATGAGTCTACAGCTGATTTCAAGATTCGACCATCATCTAAGTCAGTTCAATTCTCAAAGAGAATTTTTGTTCGTGTAGTCTGTCGATTACTTTGAAGTAGCCAGTCATCTGAACATCAGCCGTTATGACACGATTTCTTTCCATGGAAATCGATACATGATCGAATCAAATTTCGCTGAGTAGAATAGTACCTGCCACATTGGAAGGGTATAAGAACCAAGGCTCTTGTAAGTCATTCTATTTTGGGGTTCCAATGTTGTTACATTTTGTGTCGATCAACTTATCAAAGGTAATGGTCGCGAGAACAAATCAAAAATGTAAAGCGAATATTTTTAAATCTTATATTCTAGACTTGAGGTGCCATCCTCGTCCCATCTTTTCTTTGTTGCATCTCGCAATATTACGCCATCTTTCAGTAAGGCTCCATAATAAATGAGGGGATAAATTAAGAAGTCTCCATAATCCACTTCTCACATTTTGTCTGGGCTTTGGGATGACATCGCCAAGTGCGATTAGGCAGAGAGGTAAGGGGAAGACAAATTTCATCAGGATATCTGTTATTAGTACCTAGGCAGGAAAATGACGATGTAGAATCGCTCTCTGAGCATTGGGGTTGCGAACTGTGTTATGTTATAAGTAGAAATTTCGAAGGAGCACTTGTGGCTACAAAGGTTTGGCGAGGTATGTGCTCTGCGAAAAATCGATTCACAGTACAAGTTGATGGGTGGGAAATAGTGACTAAGAAGAATATTAAAAGATTAAATGGGATCGCGCAATCAAGACGAGTAGTTTTGTGCCGGAAGCGACAGTGATTAAAATGCTTTAAATATTTCTGAGAATTCAGCAGAAAAGGATCGAAACTACATGCAATACACATTATGAGGCTTAGAATTGACGAGGTAGGCGAGAACGTAGTCGACGAGATCAAATGTGGATTCGAGGCAAGGGCATCAGTATTGAGAATTACTTGAAAGAATACGACAGCGAGCACGAGAGACGTAGGCATGGGTGTGTTGATTCAGATGATAAACAGACTGTATTCGTTGCTCATGATGTGGGATGCGAGAATAAGGAAGGTGCATTCGGATAGTGATAGGAACAGAAAGAACAACTGGGTTTAGCCACATGTGGGCATGATGATGGCTTCAAGACCAACCCAAATCCAACTCCAAATCAAAGCAGCGAACAATCTTCTTCAAGCCCCAGCCAAAGGCCAGAAACTCAATGAAAAAAGTGTTTCTCAACGAGAAGGTATATTCCAAAAATTGCCAGGGATGATCTAGTCATCGAACGAGAACCGCTCAAGCGCAGAGATCATGTTATCCAAGTCCCTCGCAAACTTCCTGGCTTTCCAGTCGTATCCTGGCCACGGAGGGGGATCGACGATTACAAAATACAGACCGGCGAAGGACAGGGTCAGAAGGGGCGCTCCTGATTTGACCATGGCGACGGCAGGACGATGTAATAAGTTCAGTAATAATCAGGGTGCGGTGTGTTAAACTACAATTGAATATTGAGTGAACTCTGAGGAAGGTAGGGAGGGAGGAGGGAGACGTGTATATGTACTCGTGCCAAGGAGCGATTTTGGTGAGATGGTGAAATCGTGATAATGCTGAAATATTGCATGGTTCCTGAGAAAAGAGGAGGTTAAATTTAACTTTCGAGCGAACTATAGAGATCCTTACCAAAAGCTCTTGGAGTGGTTAGACCCGACGATCGTTCCTTCCGCAACAAAATACCGTCACTTACTCAGGAGCTAAGGCTGAGAATGAACTGTTCTGATTGGGTTCCAGATTAATGGTAACAATCTAATGAACCACCCTGTCACTTACGCCCGGCAAGTATCGGGGAAGAAAGTTCCCAAAAGACAAAACAGTCTAAAACACGACAGTCGACTCTGATCAGCTGGTTTACTATGGTGAGGTAGTCTAGTTCCTACGCTGCTTTCAGACGTCGTCTCAAAGATTAGCATCACCATCAGAAAACATACAAGAGTCCTAAAATCTCATCAGGTTGTCAAACTTGCACTAGCGTGGCGCTAAGTAAGCTGATTGTGAATCACCTCGCGATAATATGCCTAGCTACTGCTTAATTTTGACTTTCTAGAATTCATCATCAGTATTACTGTTTCATTTTCTGTTCCACAGTACCACTTGTCCTGTCCAAACATATTCTGCAATCTGGACAATCTAGTGATAGTCTTTCCTGGAGCATGGCAACGTGCAAAAGTAGATCATGAACATTTTTGAGTAACTCCGTGGAGCACAAGGAAGATAGAAAACTAGAAAATAGATTAGTAGAAATAAGCGGCTGTAGATCGTGTAGGAGCCAAGCTTTTTATCCCTCCATATAACCCCCGTCCGATTCCACATACAATAATCTTCACCTTCATACCCCTCACTAACCAATGTAACCATCCATCAATCCAAGACTACACCAGAACCCACATTACCATTACCTCCCTCCACCTCTTATCCTCTCTCCCCCTCCCCCCTCAATATCCCTAAACCTCCAAGCCTCCAAAAAATTGGTTCAATGCCAGCGCCAGCATCCAATACCTACGACCTCTACCATTCTCACGACGCCGCTAGAAAATACCAAATCACCGGATATTCTTATCATACTAGGGCCTCATTAGGTTCCATCTATACTTTCATTATCCAAAATTCCCTGTAGCACTTAAGACCCACCTACCCACTCAATCAAAACCAGATCCTGTGATTTGGACAAACACAAAACAAATTCCATGAATTGAGAACTATTCTTGGTTCTTAGCACGACAATTGATCACCAAATGTATTCCGCGAACCCCAAATCCACCTATCAACTTCACTTTTAGCCAAGTTGTATTCTGCCAAGCGTTGATGTATTTACCAACGCTCATTAAGCTTGTACAAGTTTCTTAACCTCCTTAGTTAACGAGAACCACAGACGCCAAGAATGATTCAGTAACGACGAGACGCACTAGCGATCGTCATTCCTTCATAGAGACAAAAGAGGAGAAATCTAACTTTCACGGGATTTTTTGGCATATGATTGCAAAAGACTCTTTTGTCAAAATGGGCTAGTACTTGGCAAATTTGAGTGACTGAAAGCAACGTTACACTCCATTCTGGATTCCAAGCCTCTAATTACTTTGATCCATCAGCACCGTAACTGGATCCAGTATTGGGACTTGTGAAAAGTTGATCATGTCAAGACGTGCCAGGTGAAAACAAAGATTCTCAATCGCGACTACCTATACTTGAAGTGAGTTTTCCCAGGCCATTTGGTTGACAGACGATTTGCAATCAAGAACACCAACCAGCGTGTTCTCCAAGTTTACTTTCGCATACTGCGACCCAAACCGGTACTCGCGAGACAATAAATGTGAACTCTTTCTACAAAATAATGCCTGCATATCAACTTCTTGGTTTTGAATGAAAGATATCAAATATAATGAAACAATAGCCAAAGTCTCTTGTCTCTAGTAAAACATTTCACACCCCCATATTCAATCGGTGTTTGCCCAGGAAAAGGTGAAATAACTTGACCGTCATTTGTCAACTACGTATAGATTCTTGGAATTCTCACTCGTTGAATTGAAGCACTTCTATCTGTTGAAATTGTGTTAAAACAAATCCAGGTGGCTTACTCGCAATAATGAACCATTCACCTTTAATTCGTCTGGATTTCCCATAGTCAATTTGATACCTGTCAAATATCTGCATTCAGGTTCGTTGATTCCCAAGGGACTAAATGGTGGTGGCTCAGAATCCACCGAATAATCCCTATCAAGCCTTAAAATACAATCAACGGACTACAGAAACTTACTATATTGCTGGTTGTACCATTGCAACCAGATTACTTATCTTCGAAAGCGATTTAGAGATCACGCCCACGATCTGCTGCAATCAAATAACCGGGAGGCAACCCAACGAAGCAAAGCTATTTATCCGTACCGCCACTCGAGAGAAATTCTCGGATCAATTGTCCATTTCTCCCAATCATACATGTGGCACCTAAATGCCGCATTCCGGGCAGTAAGCTTTATTGGACGCGAGCTGTTGAAAGGCTGTTGTTGATTCGACAATGCATCTCAACTTCCGATCAAAATCCCAAAGTCTCCCACCACACTTCGGAGTGCCGTGTCAAGTACATGGTAGCAGATTCCAACATCTTGTTCAGCATTTTGGAAACCAACCAAAAATCACGGCTCGGCCCGTGAGGGTTGCTGGCAATTAGAAATATCTTATAATGGTCCGGATGCGTTGCTGGCACATTTTATGACCTACAACAAGTACGAGGCAATGCCTGGGTCGGAGTTGTTTCCAATGGATAACTGCCGAGATCCGCAATTCGACAGCTACAGTAGCACTTGCAGTTTACCATCTACAATCTAGAAGTGTGCATTTTTCGCATGGAACCTCCTCGCTTGCATCGACATATGGGACATGTCCTGGCACAAAAGCAAAGAGACGGTTCTCCTCATTGGTCGCCGCGTAAGCACTACAGTGCCTATGAAATGGCTGAACGGAAAAACTGATGCTTACTCACTCATTCAAACCTTTGACCAGTACTGATTCGGAAGTGGTTGCAGTAATAAAGGTATTGAATCTGGAAGATTGCCAAGTGCTATAGGTTGAGCCGCAAGTCCTTGTTGAATTGGGTGATTTGTACTCGGCTGGCACGAGAACCTGCGGGGTAGTTGATATGGATGATTCCAGGTACCAGAAAATTTTGGTAATGGGCGATGTGCTCTTATAAAGACGAGCCTGGGCCCATCGCAGTGACTCTTGTACATGTAAAAGACATCCCGAACTACCAATTATTAGCCAGAACCTCCTCCAGCAGAGGAAACAGTTAAAATGAAGCAACAATTATCTCTTCCCGCAATTCTCTCGTTTTTGTTCCTCGCCACGAGCGCTCTCGAAAACCCCCAAAAGGCTGACACTTACGACTACATAGTGGTAGGCTCTGGACCAGGAGGCGGAACTCTAGCTGCCAATCTCGCAAAAGCAGGAGAGTCAGTGCTATTGCTTGAGGCAGGTGATGACCAAGGGGAAAACCTCAATGAGAAAATCTCCGGCTGGTTCTCTCTTGCTGGTAATGATCCATTGATGCGATGGGATTTCTTTGTTAAATATCACAGCGATCCGGTTCTGCAGCGCAAGTATAACCATTTGACATGGGAGGTTCCTGGAGGCGGATACTATGTAGGAACAGATCCACCAGCAGGAAGCAAAGAGTTGGGAATCTATTATCCAAGAACTGGAACTCTCGGAGGATGCGGGACACATAATGCTCAATGTGCACCACTTCCAAGCGACAGAGATTGGGACGATATTGCAAAGATGACTGGCGATGATTCCTGGAGGTAAGTGTCGTGCAAGTAGTAATTGAATTGGATTTACTGACTTCGAAAGCGCGGCGAACATGAGAGAGCAATTCATCAAGCTTGAAAATTACCACAATCCGAGCGTACCCAAAGGAACCCGTGGTCACGGTTTCGATGGATGGCTTGACATCACCACCAATGGTCCCGAGCTTCTTAGAAATTCAACGGAAGCCCAGACGGTACTCTCAGCTGCCGCAAAAGTTTTCGGACAGGATCCTGATAAATTATACGATTTGATCACACGCGATCTCAATAACAATGACACCAACAGAGATTACCAGGAAGGCCTCTTCGGATTTCCGGCGCATAGAAACCCAATGGGTCGTCGTGTCAGCTCCAGAGATGTGGTCATCGATACACTAAATGCTAAGAAGTACCCGTTGACACTGGGGTTGCATAGCTTTGTAACGAAGGTGCTGTTCGACACCAAAAGCAAGAAGCCTAGAGCGACTGGAGTTGAATACCTTGCTGGAATGAGCCACTACAAAGCAGATCCTCGTTTCAATCTTACTGCAAGTAACGCAGCAGCTGCCACGGGTACGAAGCAAGCGTATGCAAGGAAGGAAGTTATAGTATCTGGAGGAGCATTCAACAGTCCTCAGCTTCTTATGTAAGTGATATTTTGCGCCTTGGCTCTCGCAGAACAAATTCCGAGTGCTATATCAGCATCGGCACATTTCCACGAATGAATTGGTTGTTGAATTTCGAGCTCTATAGCGCCGTTGATGTGAGAAAGATTCTAACACTACACTGAACAGGCTTAGCGGTATCGGTCCAAAAGAACACCTCGAAAGTCTCAACATCACTGTTCTCGTCGATTCTCCTGGCGTCGGCTCCAATCTGCAAGATAACACGGAATACGGAGTCGCAGCTGGCGCTTCCCAACCTTTTACTTCAAAGGGCCCAGTGTGTACATATGGTTCAACTCCGGACGATCCATGTCTCGAAGCCTGGCATCGGGGCGAAGGTCCGTATACTCAAGGACCATTGAGTGCTCTGATGCTCAAGAGCTCTGCGTCGGTCAACGGTGAGCGTGACATCTATTTCTTCGGCATTGCGGGAGGAACCTTCGAGGGATATTGGCCTGGTCAAACAGTCAACCAGGTTCCAGCTCACGGACCCAACACTTTTGATTTCTCGATCGTGAAGATGAACCCTCAAGGAAAGAAGGGTACACTGCGACTAGTGTCTAATGATCCTAGAGATATGCCAGATATCAACTTCAGATTCTTCGAAGAGGGTGGCGAAGTCGACCTGCAGGCCCTTGTGGACGGCGTAGAGTTCGGGCGTAAAGTTTTTGATTCCATTGCAGCGCCCCTAGGACCATTCAAGGAAATCCTTCCATGTGCTAGCGGAAAGCGAGATTGTGATGTGAAAGAGGAGATTCGTGCTCAAACTTGGAGTCATCATGCGACAAGCACCTGTGCTATCGGTGCTGATGATGACCCGATGGCAGTACTGGATAGCAAATTCAGAGTCAGAGGAACCGAAGGACTAAGGGTGGTTGATGCCAGCGTATTCCCAAAGACTCCGGGTGCGTTTCCAGTAATTCCGACATTTATGCTGGGGACCAAGGCTGGCGATGTTATCTTGGAGGATCGAAAGAAGTGGTAATAGAGAGTTTCTTAAGCTGGTAAGATCCTGATCCCGAATAGAGAGGTATGTGAGTTTTGGTTTCTGCCTGATAGATGCTCGCACAAGCGTTAGACAATCAATGTATGTACCAAAAGGGGGAGACTTGGTCAGAGCTATTTCATCGTGACTTCGACGTGACTTCTTTCATCAAAACATAAAATTTGGCTTGCCGAATCATGAATACGTAACAGCAGCATATAAATGTGTGCTATGCCTGGATCTGTTTGTTCAGTGACCCTTGGCCCGGTTTGGCCGGAGTCTGGTTTGTGGCTTTGGGTAATAAGGCATGAATTCTTGTTCCACGGTGCGAGCTATTGATCATTGATAGCTAATTCTTCCTGGAATCATCGTAAAGCTTTTGTTTTTGGATATACTCCGAAGAACTCAGGGACATGGAATGGAAGAAAAGAAGGCAGGTATGCGGACGAGTAATGAGCCACCGAAGGGAGAGAACAGAAACAAGAAGCGATTTTTCGAGGTTCAAGATCTAGAGTGCCTTTCTTAAAAGGATTTATAGCACTTCCAATGAGTAAAGAGATTGATTGATGCGAGAGAAGCAAGTTTCACAAAATAGCATGAATGACTGGATGGATGGGTCGATCGATTAGGATTGGAAAGGAGGAACGACACTAGAATTATGTGAAGTGCACAAAACTCTTCGTAACGATGCATAAATTATGCATCTACAAAGCGGTGAAGAAAGTGGAGTCAATGCTTGGCGGCACAAAAAGTTCCCGCCTCGAAAATAAAATCTACCAAAGCTCTTTTCAAGACCGAGGAAAGCCTGCCCAATTTTGCGACAATTGAATACCCACCGCCACAATGGTTAACAAAGGAAAGCTAAAGATGGCGCTTGCCGCAGATAAGAGTACGGGTTACAAGAAATTAAATTTGAAAAAGAAGGAGAAGCTGGCGCGAAAAACGAAAAGCAAAAAAGGTGGGGACACGCCTGATGTTGGAAAGATTGTAGAGGGGGAATGGGAGGATGTTGAGGGGAGTGAGGATGAGGTTGCGGAAGATGAGGAAGAGGCTGTTGGAGCTGCGGTCGAGGAGAGTGTCAGCGATGAAGAGGAGGATGATGAAGTTGCTGGCAAGATGGAGGTAATGATTTGAACTATCAATTGTCCTAGACACTTCTAACAATTGTTGCAGATTGATTTCGCAGGTATCGACGAAAGCGACAGCGATTCCTCAGCCGGTGAAAACGATCAGAACAACTCAGATTCAGAAGAAGAGGACGATGAAGACATACCCGTATCCGATCTCGAAGACCTCTCAGACGGCGAAAAAGAAGACCTTATACCCCACCAACGTCTCACAATCAACAACACAGTCGCCTTGAACGCAGCATTAAAAAGAATATCCCTCCCAGTATCCAAAATGACATTTTCCGAACACCAAACCATCACCACCTCCGAGCCCGTCGTAATCGACGACGTCTCGGACGATCTCAAGCGCGAACTAGCATTCTACGCACAATCACTTTCCGCAGCACAACAAGGACGAAAGTTACTCAAGGAAGAGGGCGTGCCATTTACGCGACCTACAGACTACTTCGCCGAGATGGTGAAGGCGGATGAGCACATGGCGAAGATCAAAGCGAAGTTAATCGAAGAAGCGGCAGGCAAGAAGGCGTCCGCAGAGGCAAGGAAACAGAGAGATCTGAAGAAATTCGGAAAACAAGTACAAGTAGCAAAACTACAAGAACGTGATAAAGAACGCAAACAAACCCTCGATAAAATCAAAGATCTGAAACGAAGTACGTCCCCTTCCCTTTCCCCCTCCCCTCCTCTCCCTCTTCCATCCCTTCCATTCCCATTTACTAACCCCCCCTCAGAACGCCAAGGCGCCGACACCACCACAACAAACGAAGCGGACCTCTTCGACGTCGCCCTCGAAGAAGAAACATCCTCCAAACCCTCGCGCAAGAACCGCGAAGGCCCCAACAAACGCGCGAAGAAAGACGAGAAATACGGACATGGAGGCAAGAAACGGTTTAAGAAGAGTGGTGACGCGATGAGCACGGGGGATTTGAAGGGGTTCTCGAGTAAGAAGATGAAAGGGGGCGCGGCGAAACGGCCGGGGAAGGCGAGGAGGGCGGGGGGGAAGAGATAGGGAAATGGAGAGGGGGTATTTAGGGGAGGGGGGAATGGGTGTTTGGAGTATGGCGTGTACTTCTTTTGAGGGTAGGTATATATGATCTTGTGAGAATGATATATATTGTCAGCGTTCACGAATTCGATATCTTAACTTGATGATGTGCTTTGCTTATGCCCCTGGAGTGACCCTAAGTACTAGCGCTATTGTACCTGACACCAGAGTGCTAACTAAGCCTTGAGATCAAATTGTGAAGTTTCGCTACGATACCTATAAAAGCCATCGTCTTGGGTATACATCTAGTAATAACCTTTTCCGTTCTTTCATCTCATCATCCAACATGCACTTTGCAAAGGATACCCAACAACGCCTACCATCCAACCTATTCCATGATCATACGTATACTCATCACCAACCATAAAATGCACACACATCCCACTCAACCTTAACCACAACCACACCCACTAAACCCATCCGCATTCCAGATTCCCTATCCCATTCCCAACCCCCCCCTCTAAAACTCCCTCCTCACAATCCCCACACCCCCCATCCCAGCCCCGCCTTGTTTTCTGCTCTCCTCCTCCCGTTCCTTCTCCAGCAACTTCTCCATCAAAAACCCCACACTCCTCCCATTCAACTTCGCCTCCCGTTTCGCAAGCACCAACACCGGATCTTCCCTCTCATGCGCCGCGAAATGGCCGACCATGCGCTCCCGTCCCTCGCGCGCATCAGGCGCATACTCGACGAAATGGCATTGCGGACCTAGACAGCGCATGCTGCCGTTGGGACCGCGCGTCATGTTGAGGGATGAGGGTTTGAGTTTTTCTTGTTCTTCTTCGTCGGAGGTGATGGAGGAGGTTGAGGGGGAGGTTTCGCGGTTCAAAGGCGTGGGGGAGGAGGCTTCGGAGGTGGAAGGGGAGAGACGGGTGCGTTTTGGGGAGCGGGGGTCGGGGGAGGTGAAGGAAGGGCGTTTGGAGGATTTGGGTTGGAGACGGGTGAGTTTGCCGGAGGGGTGGGATTGGAGGGTGTGAGGGAGGCCTTTTTGAGAGTGAGGCGTTTTCATTTCGAGTTTGCCGACTGTTGGGCGCGGGGTGGCTTGTTGTGAGAGGGGGAGTGGTGGAGGTGGGAGTTTTCGTTGTTTGATTTCGACTCGTAGTTTCTTGTATTCGTAGGTAGTTGGGTCGGGTGAGGGGGAGCGTGACCGAGATGTGATACTCTCTTTCCATTGCTCATGGGCTTGTTTTTGAGTATTTTTTGTGACAACCTCCTTTTTCGTATTCTCGGTATTGCCAATGGTAGGATAATCGGCAGGTAGTGGGTTATAATTTGATGTTGTTGCGTGCTCGTTTTTTCTCGACTCCCATTTGCCAGAAGGTCTGACTTTACTTTTTCTATGCACTATGGTTTTGTATTCAGCAGCCTCAGCAATCCACTCGTCTTCCGAGATTTCATGAATTTGCGCGACTGTCATAGAACCTCTCGATCTTGGGGGACGAGCAGGCCGTTTGAGAGCTGCTGCCAATTCCTTTTTCCTCCGAGCTGCAGAGCAAAACGTCTGGCTGGCTTCTTCCAACGATTCGTAGAGACGTGTATGCCTCCAAGCTGGAGGTAAGCTTTCCATTATAGCAGAAGAGTATAGTCTGGCCATGTTTCGAGCCAATGGTGGCCACCAAAATGACCAATCATTGTACAACGTGTTCGATATCGTAGCAAGCGTCATCTTGCTCGTCTTTGGGTCCTGGACGGAAATGAGATCCAGCATAACCTGAAGTGGTGGAAGTCTGGCGGGTTCGCCATCTGGGCCTGGAAGGTGTAATGAAGACGCAGAAGGCGGGTTGTTTGAGGTATTGCGAATAGGAAGGGAAGAGGATAGTTGAGGTGTCGCTTCGCGAGAATCATCCGAGGAGCTACTGATTGAGATCAAAGTAGAAGGGGCATGAGTGGTAACCACAGGGTTTGCAGGGTAGGCCGGAGGTGGTGGGCGACGCACTGGCGACTGCTGTCGGGTGGGGATCTCTTGTTGTTGACCTTTCGCAATAAGTTGCTGCCTTTCAAGAAAAGCTTTGGTTTGATCAGCCACGTATTTGTGTAGCTCCTGTACCACCATTAGCTGACAGTCATCACGTTCGTGATTTTTCTTACTGGAAAGGCATATTTCAACCACTGATAAAGCCTTTTCTTCTTCATGGGGTCCAATGGATGCATATGACTCAGTATTGATATGGCGTGATGCTCAAATGTAGCTTTGAGCTGATTAAACATTAAGCCCCTACCATCAGCGACAGCATACTAGAATTCGTTATCGTTATTATGCATCCTTGAAGGCTGTATCCGACAGAGAAATGGCATACCTCGAATAAAAAGTCTTCAACCTTCAACGGCCTCTTCTCTTCCTTGATCTCGTCCTCTAGATCGATACATTGATACAGTAAACTGACACTGGTGGCCGTATCCGCCAAAATCGCAGCATACTGCTCAGATGGCTGCTGAATGTACAGCCAACCACAGACAGTGCCAACCCATATCTGTGCTTGAGGATTGGCATCAATGGCGTAGCTTGTGATCTCGGTCTCAAAATCATAAGGTCCATTACGCGCGCCTTTGCAGTCTAGTTTGTTTGTTTAGTACATTATTGTTAAAGACTCTAATTCTTTACGGTTGAGGGAACCCTGACTTACAGTATTTGTTCTGTTCCTTAGTTAGCCTCAAGCTTCCGTATATTTTGAACCCGCCTCTCAGATTTGAATCCATCAGATTCATCATCTGACTACCGTCTCGTGCCCAGATTTCGACATTGACAACGGCGAATTCCGGAAGTTCATCTTGCAAATCAGCCTTCTTTAAAATAGACAAGATAGGCTGGTAAGTGTTGGGTTTGGATGGTCGAGGGGTGCTTGATTTCGAGCCCCGTTCGCGACGGGCTCTTGGTAACATGATGAGATGTTGGGTGAGACTGGCTGAGGCGTGGTATGAGGGTTGCGAATGCAAAAGTGAATGGTTATGAGAACTTCAAACCCAGCATGAAGTGAGTTGCTCCCTTCCTCCCGTCGACGGACTACAATAACTTCCCACCATGCGAGCCGATCTTTCGTCCGTCCTGGCTCGAAGAGCGTGACCGTTTGCTGCTTTTTCAGCCTCAAGCTCCAACCGACGGATTGCCTTTGAGAGAAATGAAGAAAAGGCAATCTAACGTGTCTAAACTATAGAAAGACCCAGTAGCTAAGCGAGTCGATCGAAATATACGAAACTGAATGTTGCGTCGAATTATGGTCGTATTAAAGGTATACATGGCATATCTCTTTACGCGTCGCGAAACCGAATCGTGGTAGTGCCCGCGATTACCTGCCTTAGCAATGTGGCTGAAATTTTACTTGAAAAAGGTGGGGCTCACGTGGCCCGATCCGTACTAGCGCACTTCAAAATCAACCTCATTCTTTGACTTCATGTCGAAGGCAGTTCCATGCGTGAATGCTCCGGCACCACAAGCCATAGGAAACATGGAAATCTACATGTCCCATATGCAGAATAGACGGTCGATCTATAAGAATTGGCTCAAGTCTGGTGGACTTTTTTATTCCCTACTCGACATGTTCTTCACAAATACCCAGCAGTACAATCTGTGCTGGGAAATCATGTATAGCATTTCATTTTACTGCTCAATCGTACGATGAGAAGCAAAGATCAATGGTCCAGTGACCAAAGATCTAATTATAATGCTATTCAATTTGACGAAAGTAGCGAGCTTTGGTGAAGCTCGCTTCTTTCACTGGCTAAAGCAGGGCCGATTGTCCTCTCAAGTCAATACCATTCACAAGCAATTTGGATTCATAGAACAGTTCAGTTTCCACACCAACCTTTCCCAATCATCTTCAAAAAGATTACTGCGTTGCCATTGTCCACGTCGAGACGGCAGGATCGGAGTATTCCGATTACGCTAACTCGCAGCCTATTTCTACCAACAATTGGACCGATCACTTTCTTCTCGATACATCGATCCAAACATTCGTTCATCTTTCATCTTTGCAGCAATCACTCGTTTCTTGCTGCATCGTGCTACATCTCGCTTCCAATCATTCAACCTGCTACAGCGTTCTTTACTCCGACCTTTGATCTACATCTCGAGTATCCCTTAACTTCGACTATTCAACATTCATCGAGTTCAATATGGGCGACAATAGAGCTGAGAAAAAGCCCCAATCACCTTCACCAAAGGTGATGGCATTTCCCAATTTCGATGCTGAATTTGTTGAAGGATTAGATATCACAGCAGGGGGAAGACCGTCGCAACCCACCCGACAAGTCAGTCATTATATCCGTAATGGGAATTTCCAGCCGTCTTACAACAATTACTCATACAACCGAACCTATGAGTCTCCTCGGAATCCTCAAGTGGCAAATGAATATCAACAGGCTTACCCAGCAAACGGTTTCGCAGCCAATTATCAGTCTGCCCCCTACGGACCAAGCGCTCTGAATATGAGCCCCCCTCCACTCACTTATCGCTATTCGACTAGCTTCAACACCCCTATCACCAATATTGCCGATCCATCGGATTATTTCGGTTATCATCAGGTTGCTGGTCAGAACTTCGGAGTTTCTCCCCATGAGTATCAAAGTGAATTGCAAAAATTCAGGCAAACACCTTCATCATGGACGCCCAATCCTTCCACCCTCTCATTCGTCCCATTGTCTCCGTCAGCTGTTCTAAACTTGACTAGGCCATCATCGCTTCAAGGACTTCGTGGTGCTCCACCAACCGCTCCAAGAGCAATGCTCGTTCTTGGCTCATCGCCACGTCAACTAAATCTCGAAGACATCCATCCCCGCCCAACGGGACGAATAAGTCAAACTCGACCGGACAAGTCTCGCAAAGATATCGTTATCACCTCTGCCGGTGTCCTTCGAAATGTCATCGAGTTGAGGGAAATGAGAGCGCCAGCTGGCCAGATCTATGAGGAGGATACAGGAGCGTTTGGTGCTGACAAGTACAATTTCGCTGAGCATCTTGAAGACATGAACGAAAGTGCAAGAATGTCATTTTTTGACCAAAATTTCATTGAAATCGAGATTGACGTTGCTGCTATTGAAGCTGAAGCTGAAGCTCGGGGGGAGGTTCGGCTTTTTGATGCCGCTCAAAACGAAGAAAATGACTTTAAAGATACGGAACATACACATGGAAATCTAGCTTTGGAAGTGGAGCAGCAAAAGACTGATAAAAAGGCACATGAAACGAAAAGCTTTGGGGAGCAGGTTGAGAAAGGTTTCGCGAAGCTCAGCGTTGAAGATCAGGGAAAGAAAATGGCCGCAGGACCAAGTAGAGAGAAATATGGTAAGCAGCTTGGGGGATAGCGATCCTCATCGAAGGCTCTAGCACACTCCACTAACGAGGTAGCAACGAAAGATCTTGCAGCACAAAATACCTTCAAAAGCACTGCAGAAAATTCCGAGCAAGCCAGCAAAAATGGCGTTGTCACAAAGCAAACTGCCCTCACCAACATCACACAAGGCAAACCCGAATCAAACCATCTCAAACCATCCACCTCAACCTCACTAACCCAATCCAACAACCTCTTCATTCCCGCCACCTCCCTCTTCGACGCCATCACCATCCTCGGCCCCTCCTTCCCAAAAGAAGCAACCACCCTCTTCATAACCATCAAATACCCACCCCACCCCACGCATCCCCCCTCCCACTTCCCCGTCCTCCCCCCAACCTACACCCAACCCGACATCCCCAGCTCCCCCACCGGCGCAATCGACACGCAATCCACGCCCCTCTTCCGGCACATCTCCGCGCTCGTCGACGTCCTGCAATCCTTCACCTCCCTGAAACGCCTGGATATCACGCTCCTGAACCCAGCCAACACGCCAAAGCCCCTCACCGTAGCGCAGCTAGACCATGTCTTGCCTTTCTACGACCTCGAGAGCTTCATGAAGTGGAGACTCTGGTGGCGCGCCGAGTATATGAGTCAGCCGGATCAGGTTAATCAGTGGCCGATTGCGCATCTGAATGGGGAGTGGGGCAAGATTTGTACGTGGCGGGATAAAGTGCTGGAGGATGAGGGATATTGATATGGTGAAGGGTTCATTTTGAGATGGAGTTTTGCCTTTTGATTGAGAATGATGTTAGTGGATGCTGGAGGTGTACAATAGAGGGGAGACACATTCGCGGGGTTGGTATTTCGCATTTTTCGGGAGCGGCGTGCATTTGCATACATATAGCGGCGCATATCACGGTTTGCATTTCTGGCGGTGGATTTCCTTTGTCATTGCCAGTTTCCGGGCATTTCTGTTTTATATTAGGCGGCTTGGGAAGTATCATGGCATTCGCATACATATTTACATTTCGTATCCCTCGACATTCGCATTTCTCGGCACATCCATTCAGCATATCGCACTTCGAGCAGCATCTACACAGCATGCAGCATTCTTACAGCATTTCAAACATAGCGACCTCTTTATCTCACATTCCAGCAATATCGAACTTGGGATCCGGAAACAGACAAGGATTAACTTGTGGGCATATTTGGAATGGAAATGACTTGCGGCAGGGGTTTGGATTGTAATGCTTGAGTGATTGTTTATGCTTTAGAGTGGTAGATAGGTTGTAAGATAAGGGGTCTGTCTAGTGGATGAAGACTTTAATTGAGAATTATTGATTTAGCGTACGTGACTGCAAGACTTAATGTTGTGAAATTTGGAAGCAGAGTGATGATATGATGTAATATGGATTCTATTTTGTGATATTTTTATTTTTTACGCTCTACGGTGTGACAGCCATATTCTGAAGTCACAGCTAATCTCACCCACCTATTGCTTTTCCAAACCAACGCCCTAATCATAAAAACAAGTAAACCACCCATATCTACAACCAACACCTCCACAAAACACAATACCACTACCTAATACGCAGAATCACCCCTCTCCAACAGCGGTCTCTCCCTTCCATCAACCACACTCTCCACCTCCTCCTCACCCCCCTCCTCTAGTTCTCTATACACAAAAAACTGCACAAAAATCCCCATATCCAACACCAACGTGCCCAGACTCCCGGCTAGCCAACTCGCATTCACCGCAATATACCTCCCATACAACCGTCCCGCCTCACCAGGGGCGCATTTCCCATAGCGGCCCGCGCAATGCGGTTCATACGCGAAGATGGAGAGCACGTACGTGAGATTGCCGATGCAGGCGAAGAGGAAGAAGAGCATGGAGACGCCGCTGGTGGACTTGCGGCGGTAGTTGAGGAGGAGCTGCGGGATGCGGGAGCCGAGGTAGAGGAGCGCGCAGAAGTAGCCGAAGATTTGGCCCCAGAGGTTGAAGGATACGCCGGTGTCGTGTGGGTGTTTGCGCGGTTTGTGGGGGGATTGAGAGCGTTCGGAGAGCCACCAGCCGAAGACGCCGGCGGAGATGACCATGAGGATGGAGGCGAGGTTGAAGAGGGTTGTTTGGAGGGTGGTGTGTGGTTTTGTGGTTGGTGGTAAGGGGGTGGATTGAAGAGGGACGGCGGGCGAGAGATGAGATGGATGGACTGATGTTTCGGAGATGCCACTTGGACGTCTCTCGCGGTTCTCGGTGGTTGAGAGAAGGCCGGTTCTCTCGTTTGCCTCGCCGAGGTGGGAGGTACCATTAGAATGGTTTCCTGTTGGTTTTGGTGGTGGGATTACTTCATCATGCCACGTGAAGCCTCGATAATAGAAGCATTGGAGCAATAGAACGATATCTGCTAATGTATAGTAGATGGCCAAGATGATCTGTGGAGGTTAGCGATTGCTACTACTGAGACTGAGTGTTTGCTTACCATAGTAGGCAATACGCCTTGCAATACGGCTCCAAGGATATTGAATATATCCCCGAGGAGCCATACGATGATGAATTGTAGTGACAAGCCATCTGCAGAACCGCGACGAAACTGCTCAATGATCTGAGGAGAGAAGACGACCACCCCTAGCAGACAGTGTTAGAATCTTTTGCTGAGGGAATCCGTTTTCAAAACCGTGAATGCATCGTAGATGACTAGTATCACCTAGAAGCAACCCCTAGTTTCCCATCTAACGAACTAACACAGACAAAACCATACTTACAACAAGCAATCGAAACCGACCTAAATCATCAAATCAGCATAAACTCCAGTCTAAAACCCCATCGAAATCAAAACCATCTTCTTAACCCCTATCCCCAGAAACCCAGGGTCCTACACCCCTTCATGCACCTCTCCAAACACAAAAAAAGAGCACAACATACCCACAGATCCCACTAATAGCAGTAACATCCAAATTAAAATTCTGACTCGGTGGAAACATGATTCCCTCCTATATCCCTTTCCCTTCCCTTTCCCTTCCCTTTCCCTTCCCTTTCCCTTCCCTTTCCCTTCCCTTTCCCTTCCCTTTCCTAATCCGTCAAAGCCAATTCCAAATCCAAATCCAATGACGTCTTTCCTAAAAATTTCCACCCTGCAACAGAATTTTCCTCCGCTGAGAACCCTCAATTGGCCACAATTGAGACTTAGAATAGTACACTTTGGTACAGGATGATATGGTAAAGCAAGAAAGTGAATGATATGTAAAAGATGAAAGAGTCAGAAGTCTTTGATGAAAGGCGGGAAGAAATGTGGAGTGACAAGTTTGCCATATCACGTGACGCAGAAAGTGGATATTAGTCACGGAAACTAGGGGGTTAGCGTTGGAATTTGCCTTGTTTGGGGGAGACGAAGTCGACTGGTTTCATTTCTGACAAGTTCGATGCTCCACGAAAGTTACGGCTGTGAAATGGGTCGTTCAAAATTCATTACTTTAAGTCCCTTAATCTAAACCAATCCATTCGCCTTCACCATCCTCGTCCTCGTCCATGGCATTCTCGACATGTGCCTCGCTCGCTATGCTCTTTTGCCCATTCTGCAAACCATCTTTTGCACTAGGCTGGCTTAACAAATAATCAATGGTATATACGTTTTCATCCGCTAATCTTCTCAGCTCGTCTCTGATTTTTCCAACTGCTCTGGCGACAACCCTCAGCTCGGAATCGACTTGACCCCTGTTGTCACTCACCCATTGGCCATGAGATACCAATATTGCTTGAACCCATAATAGACAGAACTCCAAATGAGGGGATTCCTCCGTCTGCAATGCGACAAAACGGAGTAATCGAGGTATATATACTATTGGCAGCTCAGCGACTGTGAGTTCAATGCTTGTGTGTGGAACTGCCTCAAAGACTTGGCGGATGAGTGGTGCCTCATTGAGACGGAAGGCCATGACTAAAGCCTTCAAGTAGTCCTTTTCTTTCTCAAGGACGTGTATGGTAGAAGCTGGTGTGACGGCCAGATCGAGGTCGATAGGGTCAAAGAGAGGAAGGGTGTCCAGACTGTAAATGAGAAGACCTTCTGTCGATGCTGCGCAGAAAGATCTTCCAGTAGGAGCGAATGCCAACCCTGATACTCGGACTTCAGGCATACGTTTTCGAGCTGATGGATCGCCACCACGTGTGGCGCCTGGAAGGGTTCGGTCGATGCGGTCTTCGAGGTCTGAAGCTTCTCCTTGTTCATCAATAAGTCCTTCGGGACCAGCTTCTGTTAATAGTCTACTATTCAGGAACTCTTGCGTCCCGGACAATGATAGATTTATGCTGACTGTGAAGCGTTTAAGAAGGACAAGCGAGGCAACAGAGTACAAACAAATGTATTTGCTGTTTCCACCAGCAAGAACGCAGGTTCCATCAGCACTGTATCGCAGGGTATTGAAACTTTTGTTCCCGGAGGAGGTGGCTGCTGTCCGGCGATCTCCAATCTTACGGCCTCCAGAGACATCTCTTCTCCCATCGACTCCGGATTGTTGTTCGGCTTCTGACACGGACCAAAAAGTTAATTGACCATCCAGTGTAGATACAGCTAATTGGCGCGAGTCTGGCCTGAACGCTACGTCTAATACATCTGCTTGAAGCTGGAGAGGCTCGCTTGTCTGCGTGCGATCGAAGACTGACCATATTCTCACGGTATGATCCCAGCTTCCACTGACGACCACTCCACCATTAGGCGCAAATGCTAATGTAGATACTGGACCTTCGTGTCCTGCTAATCGATCCAGTAGCTGCCCAGTCTGCACAGACCAAATATGTATATCGAAAGAGTCCAAAGAGCCTGCACACACCACTTCACCGCTTGGATCCACTGCCATGCAAGAGAATGAGAGTCGCGTAGGTGCTGTAAATGTTCGAAAATTTCGATATCTGATCAAATCCCACGCCCGTATGGAACCGTCGAGACTTGAGGTGAAGAGTACGTTTCCTCGCTTTGCAAATTCACAAGCTGTAACTCCACTTGTATGCTCCGTAAAAGTGACTATACAGAACCCAGAATTGACATCCCAAACTTTTATTTTCCCATCGTCGGCTGTTGTAACAACTTTCTGACCGTCCGGAGAGTATACTAGGGCGTTCATCGAATCGAAATGTCCTTGTTGTTTCAGAATATACGATTCTGATTGCCATTCCCATACGAGGAGTTGACCCAGCTTAGAGGCACCAAAAGCCAACCATTCGCCAGTTTTGTTGATGGTAACAAAGTCTATATCGTTTTGAGAGATACTCAGCGTATGAATCATATTAAATTCCGGCATTTCGTAAAGGCCAAAGACTCCATTGGAAAATCCGGCTACCAGTAAATTCGAATCCGGATGGAAAACTGCACAGTTGACTTTGGCATTGTTTTGCAAGAAGTAATGGCGTTCTGTAATCCTCCACCTTTCCTGAACGCCGTCATCTTTCATCGCCACATCATCTGACTCAATAGCATTTGGATTTCCAATATATTCCCATTGGAAAACAGCACCATCTTTGCTCACTGTGAATATAGTTTCCTGATCTTTCGAAAAATATGCGCCTATCACTCCTTCTCTGTGGCCGGCAAGTGTTGTTGGAACGAATTCTTCCACGGGGTCTAAACTCCAAATTCGCGCAGTCAAGTCCCGGGCGGAACTTAAGAAAAACATAGAATCTCCAGACCACTCAATATTCGTTACAGTATCAAAATGTCCCGCATAGACTCTATGTCGCACGAATGGCGCAAATTCCAACTCGCCATCCACATTCTGATCTGGCGTTGAAGGTGTATGCCATACTTCAATATGTCGGCCGACTCCTACAGCAAAATGTCTTCCAGAAGGGGCAAATGATAGGGCGCTGACAGCAGATTTAAACGAAAAATGGTGTAGTACGATTCGTCGAGGAACGTTTGTTAAAATAGCACGTCCGTCTTCGTCGATAGACAGCAGTAAATTACCCCGCGGTGTAAGTCCAATCCGAGCTATATTCTTTCGATGCGCAAATGGTAGAGTATGTGACTTATTACTTGAATCGTGTCAGTAACATGTTTTGTCAGAAGTAAGACAGAACATACTTTACAAGGTCGAAAACAGTTACTCGGTTGCCCACTGGCGAAAAAAGGCAAGAGCCATCTGGACTGAATAGTAGGTTTCCCTGACTATAGACAGTGCCTAAGAGGTTGGAGAACTAAGAAAACCATTAGAAAGAATATCTCCAACAGTTGGGTGTAATTACATACCTTAAACTCCGTCTTCATTGTCACCGTTGATCTGACATTTCTGCTATGCAGTCGCGATTTCTTTATCGCGAACTTTTTTTTATCGCTATCGGAGCTTTTTCTGGGCCTTGCTTAAGCTTGCGGGTCATGTTTAATCCGCAAAGTGGCATGGGTTACTAGCGCGATACAGGGTCCTCAGGGGCAGTTGCGAATTTCCTCGACAAGTGGAAGCGAATCTCCTGAAGAAGCACCTCCACAATTCTCCAAAGCTCAGCACGGAATATTAACTTTTAGAGTCCAAGTCTTAGACCTCGTCACAAGACCGTCTCAAAGACAGTAATTTATAAATCTCTCACAATGGCTCCTCCCGCCGCGGAAAGCGCGTCCCCAATTGGTATTGCCAATTTACCAAACCAGCGACACAAGATTGTCGCAAAGAGAGGAGCTGCTTTCACTATTATGGTACGCTTTTTCTGGTCGGCGAAATCGCAAGATCAAGGAATTATTCATTCTAATAATGTCTAGGTTGCTGGCGAATCTGGACTTGGAAAAACTACCTTCATCAACACCCTCTTCTCCACCACGATCAAGAACTACGCAGATCACAAGCGCAGACATGCGAAACAAGTAGACAAAACTGTTGAGATCGAAATTACCAAAGCTGAGCTGGAGGAGAAATTCTTCAAAGGTATGTGTTTGTGCGACTGGTAGTACAAAATAATGTGGCTAATTATTGGTAGTCCGCCTCACCGTTATTGATACCCCAGGTTTTGGAGACTATGTCAACAACCGCGACTCATGGATGCCAATTATCGAGTTCTTAGACGATCAGCATGAGTCATATATGTTGCAAGAGCAGCAACCGCGCCGTGTTGACAAAATCGATCTTCGTGTTCACGCATGCCTGTACTTTATTAGACCTACCGGACACACGTTGAAGCCATTAGATATTGAGGTCATGAAGAGATTGAGCTCCAGAGTGAACTTGATTCCAGTTGTTGCAAAGGCAGATACCCTCAGTCCAGCGGACCTGGCCAGATTCAAGCAAAGAGTAGGTGGATTCCCGGAGCGGTGTGGTCGCACAATACTTACATTTTCTAGATCCGAGCTGTCATCGAGGCACAAGGTATCAAGATTTATACACCACCAGTCGAGGAAGACGATGAAGCTGCTGCACAACACGCGCGCCTTTTGACAACTGCTATGCCATTTGCTGTTATTGGCTCTGAGAAGGATGTTAAGACTAGCGATGGGCGTATCGTCAAGGGTCGTCAATACTCCTGGGGTGTAGCCGAAGTTGAAAACGAGGACCACTGCGATTTCAAGAAACTCCGATCCATCCTCATCCGAACACACATGCTCGACCTCATCCACACCACCGAAGAAGCACACTACGAGGCCTACCGCGCCCAGCAGATGGAAACCCGTAAATTCGGCGAGGCACGCCCAAGAAAACTCGACAACCCCAAATTCAAAGAAGAGGAGGAGAGTCTCCGAAAGCGCTTCACCGAGCAAGTCAAGATCGAAGAGCACCGATTCAGACAGTGGGAGCAGAAACTCATCAGCGAACGTGACCGCCTGAACAAGGATCTGGAGAGCACCCACGCGGCCATCAAATCCCTGGAGCAGGAGCTCGAAGGCATGCAGGGAAGCGCAGCAGCACGAAGCCACGGTCGTCGTTAAGCAATTTTTTGATACCTTTTGAAGCGTTGATAATGGAATCTCGTGGCGCCCCGGATCATGAAAAATGAACGGAATGGTGTTTTCATGGAAGTGGTTATACGCGGAACAGCAGCGACCACTTCTTTTTCTGTTACGGTCTACCCTTTTTTAATTCCCCCCTGATTATCCGTAGGTAGCTTTTAGGCGATTTTCCGAAGTCCTTTTGTTGTTGTTGTTTTCAGATTAGCTTTAGCCACGAAATGTAATTCTTTTTTTTACCATGTTCTGTGGTGCCGGGTGTCAGATGGAATGTGTGGTTTTATGGTCGTAAATTCGCGATTTGAATTGAAGTAATCAAAAAGGCTTACTGGGTATCTTCTACTTCCTAACTCTTCCGCCATCTCCACCCCCGCACTCCCATCTCCAACAATGCCACGAGATCCCCCACATGCGGTCCTGACTCCAGACTAGAATTTGATATAACTGCCCACCAAGATCCAGAAAACGTAAAGCCATACTCCCCTTCACATGTCCATCCTACACAGCATCCATACTAGCCCTCATAGTAAGCTGTTCATTCTTATTCCCCAACTTACTAATCTGCAAAAACGCATCAACACCATACCCCTCCAGACTATGCAACTCCAGACTCCCAGCCCAATACTCCGCATACACTCTACTCAACGGCAGACCCATGCCTAATCTTAAATTCGGATCACGAGAACTTAAAGAAGCGAGACTGGAATCGTGCATGAGGACACCGGTTTTGGTTGGCGGCGTGCCGGTGGACTTGGGGAGGGAGCTCGCGGATGGACTTGGTGGTGAGAGGGGCGAGGGGTGGTTCGGTCGTAGTTCTTGTAATGTGGCGGCCATTTTGGGGACTTGGTTTAGGTTTTGAAGGGTTGAGAGGGAGCGGGGGCCTTTGCTGAAGGACCAGATGTGGGGGAGGATGTCCTGGGGGATACCGCCGCCTTGGTCGGAAACGCGGATTATAACGTGTTGTTGGGCTTCGCAGACTGTGACTTCGATGGGTGGTGGTTGAGTTGGTGGGCCTGGGTTTGATTTTTGCTTTTCTACTAGGCCTTGGAGGGAGTTGCGGAGGAGTTCGCCGATTATGTACTCGATGTGACTCAGTATATATGGAAATGTTGCGCTTAGGTGGCCGGTGAGTCTGATCTCTGGGAGAAGAGTTGACGGCCCGTAGGCTGCTGAGGCAAGAGACGCGACTTCTTGACCGCAGCGCATTACTACCTCTTGGGCGTTGCATTTTACAAGTACTTCGCCGACGAACTCCGCTTCACGAAGAGGTGTCTCTGGGAAGTGGTGTGGACTGTGAAATGTCTCGGTAAGTGCGATATGCTGCTCTGCTATAACTCGGCGAGATATACGCTACGATTCGTCAGTCAATGGCATGCATTTCTCGTGACGAAAGTATACATACGGAGCGAAGTATCGTATTCATAAATTTATCCATATCCTCTGGTCTCATCAAATCTCGACATTCCAATACACCCATGGCCAGTTTTGGGATAACCGTCAAGTGCTCCTGCAGATTCTGCCCCACCTTCTCACAGAACCTTTGGTTGTCATCTAAAGTCTTGATTTCCGGAATCCTTCTCAGTCCCTCGAAAGCTTTGTAGTACAACTCGTAGACCTGACTGATGTGGGGGTTCGTGACAACAACGTATGGGAGGGTTTGCATGTCTCTTATCCGGTGAGCAAGTCTGGCGAATAATTAGTTGACGCAATGGCATATCCAGAAAGTAGTTGATACCTTGTGGGTAGCTCAGTTCGGACGTAGTTGGCAGAGCTAATCAAGCGGCTCTCTGTTAGGGTTCGCCCAAATACCATCAGCTGTCTCAAGCTAATAGGCCGAGCTTCTTTTGCAACCCATCTAACAATCAGTTAGCTATTATATTTTCTCATAAGAGGTTATTTGACTCACTGGTCAAGAGAGTACGCGGGTCTCCAAGGTGGAGGTTGATGAACAGTTCGAACTTGCTCACAAGAGAGAGAGATACCACGTCCGGCTCTTCTGGTCATCCCCACGGACCGTGGCCCAGTCTGCGAGCAGGAGCGCAGCATTCCCTCGATTCCATACGAGTATGTAGCGAAGGTTTTGAGTTAGAGATACTTGAAAGTATATATACCGCAGGTTTCTGGCGTGGGGAAGTCGGAGAGACCTTCACACTGGTTGCGGGGCCGATCCGCACCCTGACACTTGGGGCGGTAGATCAGGGCACAAAAAGGCAATATCGGGGATTTTGGAGCTTGAGCAATTCATTTGCCGGAAGAAGGTTACTCCCGAATGAGCATCATTGCCAAGTTAATAGAAGAGAAATATAAGATCGAGCAGAGATAGGTATATTCCACAAGAAGGAAAAGATCTCGACTGATAAACTTGACGGACTCGAGAAAGCTCAAAGAAGCTTCGGGCGCGCCCGTCACGTTCGCCTAACATAGCTATCCCCTAGCTGATCTCCGCTTTTCGGACCAATTATTGAGGGATCTGGAGTCAACGTAGCGATGATAGTGGCACGTTTCGGAATACCTTCAATTTCAATATGAAACCCAAACTTCAACAACCATTAAATCCACATATTGAAGCCAAAATGAGATCAGAACCTGTATCTGTTGCTCCTGTGGCCGTCGATCCAAAAGCAGTCGATGCAACTTCAAAAGCCGCATCTACAGACCCCACATCAAATGAGCCATCAACCGCCCCTGAATCTCTTCCTGCACCTGATGCGCCAAAATCACCTGCTGCAGATTCGGTGTCACCACCATCCAACACCCTGACCACACCCGAGAAATCTTCGAAAACAGAGACATCAACGCCTGAAAAGAAAACTGTTGATTTCGTGGAAGTTAAAGGAGCAATGGAGAATATGCTTAATGAACTTCCTTCTTTGATTAAGGATACAGAGCAGAGTGAGATGTGGGGTGTCGAACTCACTGCCGATATCAATCACGTTCCTACCACTATTGTGCTTGAGAAGTTTCTCAGAGCTAATAATAAAAATGTGGCGGAGGCTATCGTGCAGCTTAAGAAAGCTTTGAAGTGGCGGAAGGAGATGAATCCTAGGAAGCTACTCACTGATGTTGAGTTTGATACGTCAAGGTTTGGAGATCTGGGATATGTGACTGTTTATTCTCAGCCAGAAGGAAAGGTGAAGGAGATCGTCACGTGGAATATTTATGGTGCGGTTAAGGATAAGAAGGCTACCTTTGGGGATGTTGAAGAGTGAGTACTTTCTTTCGGTTGCTAAAATGGTTGGTTATATGCTAATCCTCGAATTAGATTCATCAAGTGGCGTGCTGCTCTCATGGAGCTCTCTGTTCAGGAGCTTGACCTCAAATCCGCGACAGAGAAGATCCCAGAAGATGGAGTTGACCCATATCGTGAGTCTTGTTATTCACATCAGATATACAAATCTAATCAGAACTTCAGGTATGGTTCAAGTACATGACTACCTCAATGTATCATTCCTGCGAATGGATCCTAGCGTCAAAGCAGCCTCGAAGAAAACCATTGAAACATTCAGCATGGCCTATCCAGAGTTGTTGAAAGAGAAATTCTTTGTCAATGTGCCACTTGTCATGGGATGGGTGTTTGCTGGAATGAAGCTCTTCTTAAGTGCCGAGACTGTCAAGAAATTCCATCCTTTGAGCTACGGCAGCAACCTAGCGGCAGAACTTCCTGACTTTGGCCAGGATTTGCCAGTTGCTTATGGTGGCAAGGGCAAGGACATCAAAGAGGGGTTGACTGTTAGATATGCTCCAGCGGATGCCGACGTCAAGGCTACTGAGGACTAAGAGGTTTGCGCTCACATACCTTTGTTCTAGTATATATTTGGGGGGTTCGGGTGTAAATTATGTATGCTGCCGGTTTGAAAATATTCCATTGAGATTGGTTTGCTATTAGTGTTTTCAGCTTCGCGCAAGATATCCAAAACATGATAGCAACACTGCAAAAATGCTTTATTGAATAAAGCATTCTATACCTAGATGCTTTTCCAACGTGAATGGGATGTGTGCCTATGCAAAATCCCGAAACACAAAAATTTCCTCTTTGAAGCTGTGTCTGACACTGTCTGTAGGCTGAATGGGTCGTTGCTCATTGCAAGGATAACCTTTATTCATTCAGGATAAGACCAGCTACGTCCATGAATCCTTTGCCGCGACAAATTCATATGATTCATGGTAGGAATTCAAGTTCCATGAAATTGACTTAAGTACTGCTCTTCCTTCAATACAACCTGATCGCTTCAACGAGAATCTCCTACCCTCAACTCAAAAACTACTCAAGCCATCGCCTAGTCCAAATTCAAGTTGCTAGCTTCGTCAGCCTTGTCTGATTCATTAGCTTGAGCTTACCAGAACAAGGCCGCTCCGCCACCTGACAACAGTGCAACATTTCTAACGCCACCTCGGTCGAGTCGAGACTACAAGCTTCTTACTCGTTGCTAACTGTGGAACAGCATCAAACACTGCAATTCCTATCTTCAGGAAAGCTATCTAGCTGTCCTACATTTCCATCACAAAACTTTGTCGTGCAGCACCAAGACTTTGTGCCTGCGACCTAAACAGAAGCGGGTTGCCAGAAGCCTACGTCACCAGTGATTGGCCCAAATTCAAGCGAATCTGTCGACCAAATCGCTCCCATCTGAACATCGTGCTCCGGCCAGGAAAGCTCCCGACTGCATTACTCCTTCCTTCTTCGCCTTCTTTGTTCATTTGACTTTGGGTTTTCGTTTTCTGGGAAGGCGTACCTGTACCTGTACCTGCACCTGCGACCATGAATCCGGTAAGTGAACCCCCAGCTTCCGCATCTCTCCCTCCCAAGTGTACTCCACGCAATCTCCCTTTGGGACCCCGCGCAGGATGGATGGCATGACGGATTTGGCCCTGGTGCTGCCAAAAATTGTTGGAGACGACCCCGCTGACTTTGATTCTTCGCCTGAGCAGCCGTATGCCGAGAGTATCGAGTCTCCCAATGACATGCTTGTCGATCCCGAAGATTTAATTGTCGATTCGGATTTGAACGAGAAAGACGATGTGATCAACATCAACCCAGACAGCGATGGCGAACCTGCACAGCGCGCCGACGATTGTACGTCCACCTCTCTCCCTGCGGCGCAAAGAGTGTTACTAGATTAAGAAGCTGATCCATAGCACAGATGAGGCGATGAAAAACCTGGTCCTACCACCCCTCCCCGAACAGCCAGAAACTCTTGCGGAAGGCTACCACACATGGCACATAGAACAGTGGAGGGGAGCGAAGAGGAGAGAGCATGGACCTGTTTTCGAAGTTGGTGGTTTCCCTTGGTATGTTTCTTGTGCATAGTTTTAGGAATTCCTTACTGCAGGAAGACGGACTAACTGGCTCAGGCGCGTGCTCATGTTTCCTTATGGTAATAACGTCGATCATGCTTCTTTTTATCTGGAACAGGGTTATCCGGATGGGCCTCCAGAAGATTACACATGTTGCGCGCAGTTTGGACTTGTTCTCTGGAATCCGAAATGTCCAGAACTGTATACACACCATACCGCGCACCATCGCTTCACCAAGGAGGAGGGCGACTGGGGCTTTACACGCTTTGTAGAGTTGAGGAAGCTATGGAACTCTACTTGGGAAGATAGTGGACGCTTGCTGGTTGAAGGCGATGAGGCAATGGTCACAGCCTATGTTCGAGTGGTAAAAGATGAGACCGGCGTTCTTTGGCACAATTTTTTGAATTATGACTCGAAGAAGGAGACTGGCTTTGTAGGATTGAAGAACCAAGGCGCGACATGCTACCTCAATTCGCTGATTCAGTCATTATACTTTACGAATGCGTTTCGAAAGGTGGGTTTGCACAATCTCACCGACGCTTGTGAAGCAATACTAATTCAGCTTAGGCTATCTACCAGATACCAACCGGAGACGAGGAGACTTTGTCGAATTCGGCATATACCCTTCAACGACTATTCTACCAACTTCAGACATCTGATAACGCTGTTGGAACTAATGAACTTACGAAATCTTTCGGTTGGGAAACGCGACACATATTTGAGCAGCAAGATGTACAAGAATTATCACGGAAGCTTATGGAGCGAATGGAAGAAAAAATGAAAGGCACTGAGGCCGAAAATGTCTTGCCTAGTCTGTTCTCTGGAAAGGTTAGAACCTACATTTCATGCATAAATGTCGAATACGAATCTCGCCGAGTTGAAGATTTCTGGGACGTCCAGTTGAATGTCTCTGGTAATAGAAGTATCGAAGAGGGATTCAAGGATTATGTCCAGGTCGAGACGATGGATGGTGAAAATCAGTATTTTGCGGGCGACGAATTCAAACTACAAGACGCAAAGAAAGGCGTCATCTTCGAATCTTTCCCGGAAGTTCTTCACTTACAACTTAAGCGTTTCCAGTACGATATAGAGCATGATGCCATGATGAAGGTTAACGATCGTTACGAGTTTCCAGAGACCTTTGATGCCGAGCCATATTTGTCTACAGACGCGGATCGATCAGAGCCATGGATTTACAAGCTTCATAGTGTTCTCGTACACAGTGGAGATCTGAATGCTGGACATTATTACGCTTTCATTAAACCTACGAAAGATGGCTGGTTCTACAAATACGACGATGATAAGGTCACCAAAGCAACGTTGAGAGAGGCGCTTGAGGACAATTTCGGTGGAGAATATACAGTTAACGGCACAGTCCATATGTCAAAGGCTGGAACTCCACTCATGCGCCAGAACAGCGCGTACATGTTGGTATACATCCGAGAATCGAGACAAGACAAGGTGTTGCTTCCCGTTCTACAAGAAGATACCCCTCCGCATTTACAGAGGAAGCTTGATGAGGAGGCTGCTGTTCGAGAAGCTCGAAAAAAGGAGCGTGATGAACAGCATCTTTACCTCTGGGTGAAAGTGATCACGGAGGATACCTACAATGCGCATGGCGGCACTGACCTGACCAATTTTGATGCAAATCATGATGTCGACCCTGCCGCGGCTAGACCTTATCGTATGCTGCGGAAAGCCACATTACGAGAATTAATAGATAAGGTCGCGGAGGACACCAATGCTGATCCCAACAAATTACGTCTTTGGAGTATGGTCAATCGACAAAACAAAACCACTCGACCTGACATGCCACTAAGCAATCTGGATGTAACTCTCGAGGAAGCGCACCAGAAGCTTGTTGGGAGTAAGACAGCCGAGCTACGGTTGTGGGCGGAACCTGCTCAGGAAGGTGTGGACAAGGATGGAAATGCCATTTGGCCCGTTCATCCTAGCACGCCTAATGGTGTCGCCCACAGGACGGATTTGTTCCTTCTTTTCTTAAAGTATTTCGATGTGGACAATCAACAGCTGAGTGGTGCCGGACACATCTATATCAGTAGAGACAAGAAAGTTGAAGAGTTGGCTCCTGTCATCTTGAAGAAGATGGGCTGGCCCGAGAAATTGCCTTCTGGGGAAAGGTTGGCGTTGAAACTATTCGAGGTAATATTTAATCGTGCCTTTACCATTCGATCAAGCTAACATAAGACAGGAAATCAAACCTAGCATGATAGAGCCTTTGAAAGCGAAGCAGTCATTGAAGGCGGCTGAGCTTCAAGATGGTGATATCGTTTGTTTTCAGAAATCGACCGATTCGAGAGTTTCGTCGGAGTCAGATCGGGAGTAAGTCCTGCTGTTTGTTATACTAAAGGCCAATCGCTAACTTTCACAGGAGTGTAAGTCTGAAGAGTGTCCCCATCGACGGTCGAATCGAGGATGCTCGGCAATTCTATGATTTCCTCGTCCATAGACGAGTGGTCCGCTTTCACCCACACCCAGTACGGAACGCCAATCCCGAGGAATTCGAAAATTTCAGTTTAATTCTGAGCGCCAAACACTCGTATGATCAGATGGCCGCTAAGGTTGGCGAGAGGCTAGGCTTGGATGGCACCCACCTTCGATTCTGGACCGTAAATGCAACCACCAACAATCCGAAAGCAGCGGTCAAGCGAGGTCCATCACAAACTTTACAAACGATCCTCAATCCTCCATATAGCACGTTTAGCAACAACAATCAAAGGTTTGACTCGCTATTCTTTGAGGTCCTGGAGATCAGTCTGTCGGAACTTGATACCAAGAAGCCTGTCACTGTGTATTGGCTGAGCGAAGGCGTTTCCAAAGACGTATGTATCACTATTATCTTTTGGTTACTTGTCTAACAATTTTCTAGGAGGCTGTCAACATTCTTGTTCCCAAGAATGGCAACGCACAAGATGTAGTTAATGCCTTGATCAAGAAAGCCGGGATTGACGACGAAGAGACAGGAGGCCCTATTCGACTGTATGAGTTGCACAGCCACAAGATTCATAAAGAACACACTCCTCCTCGGAATCAATCTGTAATCAGCATTACCGACTATGTTACACTCGTTGCAGAAAGGATACCGAAAGAAGATCTCGATGCGCAGCAGAATGAGATCATCCAAGCATTCCATTTCCAAGGTGAGCCAAACAAGGCTCATGGCATTCCTTTTAGATTCCGCATAATGGAAAATGAGAAGTTTGCGGATACCAAAAAGCGACTTGAGAAGAGGATGGGTGTCAAAGGCAAGAACTTTGAGAAGATCAAGTTTGCTGTTGTCAAGAGAAGCTCATACTCTAAGCCGACATATCTGAATGATGGTAAGCACATAGTATCCTTCCCCCCTTTCTCACACTAGAGACTGACAAAACACAGAGGATGTTATCTGGGAAATAGCAAGTAACGATGATGACATGCTTGGATTGGATCACATTGATCGAACACGCGTTATCCGTAACGGCGCTGGGGATCTCTTTTTGAAGTAGACTTATTAAAAGGGCGCCAACATGTGGATTCGATACTACCGAGCCGAGTTTTTGTATGTTATGAAATAGGGGATCCCGGCGCTGAAGGTGGCATGGAAACAAATTCTGGACGGTGGTGGTAAAAGCAAAGTGAAGATGCTTAGAGGTCGCCCAATGAAAGGGTCGCTCGTTAGACGGCATTATTTTGATGGATCGATTCGAATGAGTTTCTATCGAGCGTGCATGGAGTTGAAGTATTGCATGTGGCGTGTAGTCCCCGAAGTGAGGGTTGCAAACCGCAAGAGTTTGGCGTTGCAGTTAAATATATAGCTGAGGAATTGTATCGTCGTAAAAGAGTTGGTTTTTGCATAGTGAAAACAATGTTTGGTCTTTGTAATGAATGTTGTGAGTGGGTATCGTTTTGCGACTGTACTTAGAATCGCTTGGTTTATTCTCACGTCGCTCGCGTGTTCACCTCAGGGGTACACCGGACCGATCTCGCACCGACCCATCCCATCTAACCCCTGTCCCTGAAATCGCGACCTTTAGAAATTTGGCCTCAATTGCAACCTCCCCTTCTATTACCTCCCTCTTCTTTCTTCCTTCTACCACCACGCCCACACCCACGCCCACGCCCATCGATACACCCAACCATGCGCCTCTCACACCTCACGACCGGCCTGTTGGCCCTCCCCCTCACGATGGTCTCCGCGACGGCGCTCACGTATAAACTTGCGGCGAACGAGAAGGCGTGCTTTTTTACGAGCGTGGAGAAGATGGGTGCGAAGATTGCTTTTTATTTTGCTGTGAGTATGGGGGGTGTTTCTTTGGTTCTGGGTTTGATTTGGGGGAGAGGGAGTTGGCGAGGGGGAGAGGGAGAGGGGGAAAGGGAAGGGGAAGGGGAAGGGGGAGAGAGGGGAGATAGGGAAGGGAAGGGAGGGGGAATGGGGTAGTGAAGGGAGAGGGAAGGGAGAGGGAATAGAGAGGGGATGAGGGAGAGAGGGAGAGATTGGAGAGGGGGCTGTTAAACGGGGGAATGGGTCTGGTACAGCGAAACTGGGGAGCAAGGGAATAACGGAAGAAGCGAGACAGGATTTTGGGGAGGGGATGAAAGGCTGAGAAAGAGGGAGGACGTTCGTTGGATGAGTACTTGGAATTGGGCGCGATGGAGGGACAAATAACGCTGTGGACGGCGAACTAATGCCAGATTGGAAAACATATGCTGACATATTTGCCAACTTTAGGTTCAAGCCGGAGGATCTTTCGATGTCGATTACGAGGTTGTAGGGCCGAATGATAAAATCATTATGGATGGAGAGAAGGAAAGACAGGGAGATTTTGTATTCACAGCTACGGAGACGGGAGAATACCGTTTCTGCTTCAACAACCAGATGAGTACTTTTGCAGAGAAATTTGTGGATTTCGAGATCGCTGTACGTTCATTGCTTCCTGCTCCTTCAGCATTTGTTTTGGGTATTAGAGGCTAATTACTATGTCTCATCAGGTCGAGAACGAAGCCCGCGCCTCCATTCCTGCCAAACAAGGCACCTCACCCGAACAGACATCTGCTCTCGAAGAGTCAATCTTCAAGCTCTCCGGCCAACTGTCGACTATTACACGAAACCAGAAATATTTCCGTACCCGTGAGAACCGAAATTTCAGCACCGTGAGGAGTACGGAGAGAAGAATCTTCAACTTTAGCGTGATTGAAAGCTTGATGATGGTTTGCATGGCTGGGTTACAGGTGTTTATTGTTAGGTTCTTTTTCCAGGTACGTGAGATATTTTTTACAATTGGGAGATTTTGGGAGTTTCCCAGCAGAAAGGGATATGGGAATATAGAAGATGTAGGTCCAATGAGGAGAAATGCTAATTGTGACATAGGGAGCGAGAAAAGGGTACGTGTGAAGAGGCTGTTTGGTTGGAGTGGACAAGGAATAGCTTTGAGAGTACGATATGCGTGGACAACGGGGAGTCGGAACTATTTTGTATTTTTATAAGACTCGTAAAAGTGCGAGGAGTTATATATCCGTCTGGCTACAATTTGTCAACAAGAAATTGTAGCAATTAATCTGTCATCTACAAGTATAGCGCTGCGAAGTGACATATTCCTCATAAAATGTTCAGCCTTGCGACTGTTTTGGATTAGCGTGAATCTACCTCACTGATGATGACAGGGGTCTGGATCGCGACAATTTGACTTCATGAACTCTTCAAAATTTACGACCCTCCCACCTCTTCCCTACACCACATATCGAAAGATGACGAACATAGCTGCGCAATTATCGAGGTCTTTACCAAAACCAAAGTACACAGGCGAAGAAGAGGAAATTCCACAGCATGCGCAACACCGTGGTCCAAGAATCGTAGGAGCAGGTACCTTGGACGACTCGCAGATTGTTTTACGGGTAAGTCGCTATCTTGAGGAAGAATGTCGATACATACTAATAGTTGGGTCTCAGAAATCTGGACCACCACCTTACGGACAGCGCGCAGGATGGCGACCTCGAGCACCAGAAGACTTTGGGGATGGAGGCGCGTTTCCGGAAATTCCAGTCGCCCAATACCCACTTGACATGGGAAAGAAGAATGCAGCTTCAAGTACCGCGCTGGCTATTCAAGTCGATGGAGAGGGAAAGATTAAATATGATGCGATCGCGAGACAGGGCCATAATGATAAAAGGATCGTTCATGCTTCGTTCAAAGATCTGATACCTTTACGACAACGCGCTGATGCGGGGGATATCAACCTTGACCGGCCAAGCGAGGAGGAAGTTGCTGCATCGACGGAGAGGACGAAGGAAGCGCTTGCGAAATTGGTTAATGGTGCTGTGGCAGCGCAGAAACCAAAGAATGTGAATGTTGGGAATAGAAGCCAGCCGACTTTCGTACGGTACACGCCTGCGAATCAGATGGGCGATAACACGAGGAAGAATGATCGGATTATGAAGATTGTGGAGAGGCAGGTTGATCCTATGGAACCACCTAAATTTAAACATAAGAAGATCCCAAGAGGACCGCCTAGTCCGCCGCCGCCTGTTATGCATTCGCCGCCTAGGAAACTGACTGCTGAGGATCAGGAGGCTTGGAAGATACCCCCGCCAGTGTCAAATTGGAAGAATCCAAAGGGTTATACTGTTCCACTGGACAAGAGATTGGCTGCCGATGGGAGAGGGTTGCAGGATGTTACGATTAACGACAAATTTGCACAGTTTGCAGAGGCGCTGTTCACAGCTGATCGCCATGCGAGAGAGGAAGTTAAATCGAGAGCGCAAATGCAGCAGAGATTAGCGGAGAAGGAGAAGGCGCAGAAGGAAGACCATCTTCGAATGTTGGCGCAAAAGGCACGAGAAGACAGAGCAGCAGCTGGATCTGGAAGACGGAATTCAAGAACCTCGCGCTCAAGATCCGGAAGCTACAGCTACTCTGAATCCGAATCAGACAGCGGCGAAGAAGCCGAAATCCGCGAACGAGAAAAGGCGCGCAAAGAACGCCAACGTGAAGAAGAGCGCAAACTCCGACAATCACGTATGGGCGCCGAACGACGTGTCCAAATGATGGCGCGTGAACAGAACCGTGACATTTCTGAGAAGGTCGCCCTCGGTCTGGCGAAACCGACGCAATCCTCCGAAAGCATGTTTGACTCCCGGCTCTTCAACCGCACCAGCGGCTTTGATTCGGGATTCAACGAGGATCAGGCGTATGACAAACCGCTGTTCCAAGCGCATGACGCGATTAATAGTATTTACCGCCCAAGACAGAATATGGATGATGGGGATGATGAGGAGGCGGCCGAGATGGAGATGGGGAAGATTCAGAAGAGTAATCGGTTTGGGGAAGCGTTGGGGAAGGGGACTTTTAAGGGGAGTGGGGATGTTGAGGTTAGTGCTATTTCTATCTCTTTTTCGTTTTGATTTGGGTTTGGTTTTGTGAGATGAATGCTAATTGTTGTGGTTAGGCGAGAGAAGGACCTGTACAGTTTGAAAAGGACACGGGTGATGTTTTTGCGGTTGATGATTTCTTGGCTAAAGTTGGTGAGGGAAGCGGTACTGCTGCTGGTGGAAGTGGGAGTGGTGAGAAGAGGGGGTATGGGTTGCAAGATGGTGAGGAGAGGGGGAGTAAGAGGGCTAGGATTGATGAGGATTCTGATTAGGCATCTGTATTGGGATCCTGGGGATGGAATCACAGGGGGGCTCTGAGGTTGCATGGTGTAAGAATATATATATATTGTACCTTGAAGGTTGGGGCATCTGCATAGCCAGGGGATTGGATTCGGGGAATCGACACGGCTGTTCCAAACTTTCTGGTCGTTTGTTGTTTCTTCATACTTGTTTTGCCTTCAACCCCGCGTTATGAATACCGCAAGCCAAATCAAAAACCCCTTTGAATCCATAATATCATCTACACATCCCCTTCCAACATCGACCAACCAGTCAACCCCCTGACCTACCTCGCCATCCCCCTTAACCCTCAACCCTCAGCTTTGGATGATACAAAGTTACGGTCATCGTCCTTATGGAATAGGATTGAGATAGTGCTGAGTCGTCTGTTGGAGAGTAATTTGATCGTCGGGTGTTGTTGTCCTATTGATGTAGGTTTTTTTGAGGTCGAAAGTTGGGTATGGAACTAACATGAAATTCAAAGTTTTATCTTCATCTCGTCCTAGTAACCGTTGCCAGAGTTCTTCTGTCAAGAATAGTATAAACAAATGACTCCCTTTCAAGTCCTTTTCGAACGACGTGTAGAGAGTACACTAACGGGTCAAAGGCGCCTTTTCCCACAAAACTCGCTACAAACACTTCATGATATCTAGCTACCGAAGAACTTTAAATAAGAAGCTCTCGGTAGAAAAAGAGGTTCGTTTCAAATTTAAAGATCTTTCTCTTAGGTTTAAATATAGGTCGTATTTGCTTCGGTGCGAGTAGTTGAAGTAAGGTAAGGTCGGCTGTAAAACGAGACTTCTTTTAATACTCTAATTTTAAACCTATATTTTAAGACAGTACTTTTATAATTTTTTATGACTACTAGTAGCTATATAATTAAGAAGTTTAAATCAGGAATCAAAATTAAGATTATGTGCATTGTGTACAGGTTTAGGAGGTCAAAAGATAAATGTGATTCTGAATTACAACAAATGGCTGTTTTTGATGGGGTTTTGGTAATGGACTAAAACTATTGTTTTTGTATTCCGAGTCCCTTGAAATTTCATTGACATGAACCCATTATGCTCTACGACGTTGTTAGCTAGTGAGGGTACCTAACAAAGTCGCCCCTAATAAGAGTAATACTTCCCGGCAGACTCGTCGTTCCTTCCACTTGATTTTCAACTTCCGCTTCAGTGAAAACACCAGCAAAAAACACATTAGTCATTACGAACTTCAATGTTCTCTCAGTAGTTAACATTCTTGCACCTTTACTTAAACTTCAATATACAACAACACCTAATATAAACGGGACAATATATCCCACGAATCACTGACGATTAGAGAGAGGTTGAAGCTCAGATGGAGAACTGGCACTCATATTGGAAAAAGTAATACGAGAAAAGCGTTTACTGTCACAGATTAGTTCTACTGCCAACCTCTTCTTCGTCTTCGAAAGCGTGGAAAGTCAGAAATTTATTCCAAAGCTGTTCTAATTGGGTTACGCTATACAATCAATCTTGCTGTTGAGTTTCCTTGCCTTGTAAAACCATGTAGGTTGTGCTTGTTTCAAGATAGGATCTACATTGCACTAGTGATTCCAGCGATGACCATAAAGCATATTCTCCCGATATCCCGGTAGCATTCTACCAATGTAACAGGTACAGCGTTTTACCTCATGTCCAATACCATAGCAGGCAGGGCACTCCTTCCATAAATACCCTTGTCCTCCGCATTCCATGCAACAGAGTTGGGGTGGATCCTCGGCTTGTTCTCTTGGTCCTGGTCCTCCGGTAGCGTTGCAACCATATTCTTCATGGTTGCAGCGTCCAAAAATTCGTCCTGGGTTAATTGGTTCAGTTGGGTGAGTAATGCGGTGGCATGTTTCACATGGTATTTCAACTTCGCCTGTGTCGTTGCACTCGTTGCATCTTCGGGCCTGAGATTGTGACATGGTTCCAGATAGTATATTTAATATTAGTACACTTATTAGATAATCGTAAAGACCGGTCAGATTTTAATGTGTATTGAAGGTTTAGAGCGTAATGTTGAAAGACGTTTGACTTGTTAAAGCAGGTTAAGATGAAGGGTTAGATGGAACTTTAATATTCTGATTAGGAAAATCTCTTACATTTTATAGCGGAATTGAGCTCGCCCATTTCAAAGGCTTCCAACGAGAAAGGGCATGGAAACCCATCGTGGAATGAGATATATTCTCTGATCAAAGGAAAAGTCCACTCATTAAGACCGAACACACATCTTGAGAATGTAACCGGGGTCTTCGCAAAGAGATTTTCCAACAAATTGAAAGGAAAAAGAATCATGAGAATGTAGTCAAGATTTTCACAAAGACATCTTTGAACCCATGATGCTTTCAAGTGAAAGAGACAGAGTTATCCTCGTCCTTTCGGGTGTTTTAATAGGAAGTGGAAGGCACATGCATTTCTGTGAATACGATTGGAACTAAAGAATCAGCCTTAAATTGTTATATACTTGTTTTTGTCTACCATACGCAAACTATACGATCCTTTCGTCGCATGATCTAGTACTGTATTGTGAAGATAATTCGCTGGAGAAAAAGGCAGAATTGTAGAGCAGAAGTTCCACATGAGACATTCGAAACTTAAAGATCGAGTCTACCCCATGAGACTAGAAACTTTGCTGTGAAAGTTTACTGGAAGAGAATGTTGACTTCGAGAAAAAGCAGTTGAGAGCGGAGGTTCAACTTGACGGGTTCCAGATAGCTTCCGGTCGCCACTAGATAGGTTCTTATTTTCTCATAGAAAACAATAGATTTACTCAATTGCTAAAGTGCCTCAAAATTTGGAGAGTTCGTATACTTAAGGACCTTGAAAGCTATACTTGGCATTTTGATCTTGAGGCTATGTTGGATGACAAGGGTTGAAGACTACCATTTTGACTTCTCTAAGTTCTTAATACTTGTCCCCGCCAATATTCTTCCAGTCCCCACCCCCAACTAGATGGTTTTGTATCAGGCTTTCTTTTGGAATCAGGTCTTTCTAGACATAATTACGAATTCGCAAACGTAGTCTGGCATCGTTCACTTCAGGCGGACGATGGCACGCAAATAAGTCAGGGTTCGAGACTCCATCAATGGATTCAATGCTTATGCACAAAACGATTTGTAGAATGAGACAAGTGAAGTTGTATTACCATGGCCAAAAACGGCCTGTATCTTTAATGGCGTGCGTGACTAGACATAATAGATTGCTTGGACGGGGAATAATTTCGCTATCCGCCCGCTTTCAGGTCACAGGGGGGCGGCGGTTGGATTGTTGGTGGCGTGCGGCGCGAAAATACACCCAAGCCATCACCATTATGATTTAATGCAGCTGGGTGCCAGTTGGTCTATTTTGTTTTACCGAGTGTTTCGATTACCGCTGGGCTAATGCTTTCTGGCCTGATAAGCTTGTTATAAGGATCGACATTGAAAGATCTCAACTACGTTTAAAGCGTCTGTCTCTCCTCAATTGCCGTTGCGAACCAGACTTTCCAACATGGCAAACGCCGAAAATAGTAACAGTGAGCGAGACCTTCGGAGACTCACCAAACGATTCGGTATAACAATACAGTCGGCCTCAAATACGCACCATTGGCCAGCAGCTCATCAACAGACTTTCCAAAGCATTCTCAAGATCGGGGATGAGAAGTTTGATAGTTTCAGCGCCAGTATAGACATTCGGTCTACTGAAGAGCCATGGCGAGAGGCTACAAAAAGTCGAGCAGAATATCTAGCGAAGCGTGCTAGTGAACTCTTCAACCAAGAGCGAAATGAATCCGGATGGAGGTTGGCACTCGAAAGTCTCATCTTCTACAGATTCAGTGTTGAAGTTGCGTGGTATGAGATTTCAATCAGATTGAGTTCTAGTGAATGCTGACGAGTCTCAAGCCCAAAATGTCGTGCAAGACTCTGGCGTTCAGAGAATGAAGCTCGTGTCAAGGAAGGCAATAACTTTGCTGCCAACCTAAAAGACCGGCGAGAGAATCGTATGCACTGCATTTGTCCACCTAGTGAACGGCCACGAGATTAGTTTGTCAATTCTAGTCATATATCTTTTCATTTGCTAATTTTATCACAGCCATGAGGCTGGTACAAATCTCCTTTTCGAAGATCGCACCCAAGAATTAATCATCCATGACCCATTATTAAGATCCCAACTCCCTAAGCAAGAGCCAGATCGTGTTTTTGGACTACGAGAAACGACGAATTTCGAAAGACTTTTATCAACCTCAGTTCCAGACACAACTGAGAGCGATTCTAATGGCACTCTCCGAGAACTGGTGAGAAGTTGCCCTTTCAAAAGTGGAGCCGAGCCTTTGCTATTTCCATTTATGGCATTGGAAGCAAAATCGGGTAAAAGCCCAAGCGGCTTTTATGAAATTCAAATGCAAACAGCTTTTCCAATATTTGCTCTTCTCAAATTGCAAGAGGATTTGGCTGCACAAGTCTCAGATAGCAGCGCAACGGAACAGCCTCTCGTATGGTTTTTCGCGAATCGAGGTGATGCTTGGCGAGTCTACGGGTGTTGTATATCTGATAGCCAACCAACTAGATATGTGAGTGTCCTTTGTATTCTCTTCTTTCCAGCAAGTCAAGAACAGTGCACGAAATGCTGAGCGTTGAGCTCAGATCCTGAAGCTTGTTTTTCAGAAAATTGACGATCAATGTTTGTCAGTCACTGATTATCTTCAGGATATCTTTCAATTATGGGATGGCTCCATAGTGTCAAAAGACAGTTCTTTGCAGCTTCTACATATAGTCGACTACATTTTCGACTGGGCCCGAGATATATATCGACCGTCAATATTGAGTCAGCTCAAGTCAACGGTAACTGGATCAGCGTTTGACCAGGTTACCTTGTCAAATGACAGTGACATTTTTTCAATGCGAAGAAATATCTCAAATTGGGTCCTCGCTGCTCCAAGCACCATAAATGAACTTGATCTTGAACAAGAGCAACTGGAGTTCAACGATGGTCCAACTTTAAATCACCAAGATCTCTTATCTATTCCTATCCCCAACTCACAACTTGGAACAGTACGCTCCGCAGCATTAATAGAATCAAGAATAGAGGGTCTCTATGTCACAGAACAAAATGTGGTGCGACTTCTAGAATTAGGGGGAGGTGAAGAGGCAGCAAGACAGTTTACGAATTTCCTTGTCAAGTGGAATGAACTTTTAGTACTTACGGAAGACGACATTGATGATTTAGAGGGCAGATGGAAAGGCCATTCCAGCATAACAACGGAAGACACAATACCATCAGACTCTCCGGAATTTTACGTGTTAACAGAGACCAAAATATATATGAATACGTCATGGACTGTTGTCCGGGAGTTGACCTACGTGGCGGTATCAAAAGCGGCGTTTGAGATCATCTTCAATTATGCTAACTTCAAGAACCGCAACACCTTTAAACAGCAGGTCGCAAACGTTGCACGTTCATGTAGCAAGAAGATTCTCAACGAAACTTTTCGATGCCTTTCAGGCTCCCCAAGCCAATACTTCCAAGCTGCTACTACCTGCGTATGCGTCTCTTGGTACGCTTTACCAGAGAGAAAAAGATCCGACCATGCGCCACCCATTGAAGCTTTAGCATTTGGTCGATTGAGCCGCCCCAGGCTGCCAGAGTTTATTCAGAAATTCCACAAAATAGCTAGGAGGAGAGGGACCCCAAAATTTAGGATCCCACCACGTCAGCTATATCAAATCCCCCCAGATCAGCGGAACGACTGGATTGATAAGTTCCGTGCACAACGGACGCCCAAATCGACAGATCTATCCTTCATCCGCAATTCGGAAGCAGTCACACTCATTCATGAGAAGGACTATCATGAGGCAACCCATTGTGGAAGGTGTGTTCTTGCAGGTGCCTACGAGCAAGATCCACATCACTTCGCTGAATCTACTCCGGATATATTTTCTGCATATGGATTTGACCTGGCGATATGCTTGAATACCATGGGTGTTGACTCAGATAAGCATGACATTTGTCTCTTTGGACACACTGGTGTTCTTGAAGTAGCGGGCAAGGAAGCGCTGACTGTGATGTTGGAAGATCTTCTCCGGAGTGGATATGGACATCACACAATAAGACATCCGTTCACCCCCCAGATTGAGGGCAAACTGGTCTACAAACATGACACACTCTGGAATCTTCCACTTTCTTATCGGCGTCTTACCCCCAAGGAAAAGATCGATATTGGAGACTGGATCCATGAACTAAAGAATGAACCCCTTTCACAACCAACGAGATATAGGAATATTCAATTCCGCTGGGATGGACTTCAAATGCTATTGCATTATTTGAAGAAAGGCGACTCTTGGGCAAAAGCGGTCACCGAGATCCAATCAAAGGACCGTTCGAAGGGCTACGCAATCAGAGATTACGAACTATACAAACACATCGACAAGCGTAATGATCCCATACTCAAAGTGGCAGGGGAAATAGTGAACTTACGGCCTCTTCGACCTTTGGGACCTTTTCCGGAATACACACGTGGGGACGTGTACTCTACTTGAGCACCGATACTCTCTTTGTCTTGGCTTACCATCCAATATGGAGGTCAAACGATTAGTCAAAACACGGTCAAGATAAGGCTAAAGATTAGTCTGTATCAGGTGCTAAAAAGTCCATATTATCATTCAATGCCGAAACATCCATTCTTGAAATCGTGATGAGATTTTCCTTTACACAACATACTTGTGCATAACGGTCTAAATGAGAACAATACCATTTAACTAATAATCCGAGAAGAGCAACCCAAAATTAGTACTAATTTCCACTGGTCTCCTCCTCTTTATCTTCTCTGTCAATTTGACAATAACAAAAAACTCTCTCTAGTCCATTTCCATCACAATTCTTGCATAGCGTCCAATGAAATCCCTCTCCCTTGCAACTGCTACAAGTATTCTGACCTTGCAATATTTCTTCATCTCCAGGGGCTCCACTTCCATTGCAAGGAGTGCATTTATGTGTCTGAGTCCAGCCTTCTCGAAATTCTTTTCTGTTGTTTTTGTCCTTACACCCTCCACAGATTTGATACTTGTGTCCTGTATCATTACAGCTGGGGCAGACCATTTTTGATATCAGGCTGAAGATATGGTGGAAAGGTGGGTAAGTGTAAGTGAAATATGTGACGCGGTAACTGGAGCTAGGTGGGTGACAATGGCAAATATCTCCATGGTTGGGATTTTGGCCCTCCTTAATGATCGAAGCTGAATGGAAGGTGACTGATAGCTGAATCTACAACGAAGTCCATCTTGCAAATGAGAAGCAACTTATTAGACGTTTTACAAATGATTATATTTGCTTGTTGATAGTGAATGTTTGGAGACTACTAGGCTTGCAAAAAGAGTGATCAAGATCTATTACAGACAAGATCAATAGCGACACCACAAATGGTAAAGTCTGACTGTTGATTAGTGTAATCATCTCAATAAGTCATTTTGTTTGCCTGGTAACTCCCTGACTTCTACCAACACTGTTATACATTCTTTGAGGACTCCAGGTGTCATGGTTGTGACCAACTTACCTATGGCCATGAACAGATCGATTCCAGCGAGAAACTGAAAGGCGAGACATAAGCAAACATCTCTCGCTCAAACGCTTTGGAGCAAATGCGGAAATCGAAGACCTAGCCGACCTACGAGACTTACATATCCCGCCATGTTAGTGACCAAAGTCCGCAAGATCCGATTCAAGCTTGCATTCCCTAACCCCGAAATGCCACAACCACGTTATTATACCACTTTATTCATTCAGACGCATCAACAAGAGGCTTTAAACACAGGAACAACACATCATGTTACGGAGACTTGGTTGTAGGAATGATATACCAGAATCGACTGGAGCCTGGTCTTCCAGAGTGGGACGACATGTTCTTTGAGAAGCAACTTCTATGCCACATTGGTGAGGAATGTTTGGAGAAGGTTGAAGCGGCATTGAAAGGATTGAGGCCGCCTCCGAAGCAGAAGGCTTACAATCTTCGAACTGGAAAGACTGAGCAGTTTCGTCCCGAGGGAGGGCTTTATGAGGTTGGAGAGCCAAGACCACCGCTGATAAAGTGCACGGAGTGGATTGAGATGCAGGCAATTCCTGCACTTATATCAGCCGGCATACTGAAAACGAAATAGCCCATGGTGACATCGTCCCACTCATAGCTTCATTGAGCTAAACAATTCCCATGTCCCGAATTGTCGGAATTTGGCTGATTCGCTTGAGAGCGGGAGCTGCCGTCTCCACTTATTTAGACGTCGACCTGATCTATAATTAGCGCAGCAAGGAAATATAATCTTGTAAAAATGAAATGCAAATCGTTTTGACTTCAACTTCTTTTAATATCTTGATAATTTCAGCTGGAAAAGAAACTCATATATTACATAAACTGTTAGTCAGCTCGGAGAACTCCGTATTCAGATTCCAGAAGCGAGAGAATATGTGGCAAATTCAAAGCTTGGCTATGATGATATTTACCCCTGGCACGCGATATCTTACAATGATGACAGCCCGAAGTCCACCAACTGCCAATCCTGGCGCAGTTGGAACCATTCTCCTTATCGAGGGCCGAGGCATGTTTTATTCTGTGAGACGCAATACTTTCTCTTCTTCTATTTTCTTGTTTCTGTGAATCACAGTAGAATTCTCTTCATCCACTTCTCTCCTTTCTCTCTTCTCATTTTCTTTTCCTCCTCATACATCTGTTTGCATGAGATCAAAAGCCTACGCAATGACATCGTACCTCTCGCGACTTAATCCAGTTCCAGGATTTCCTGAGTACACAGGACCTTACAAAGTAGGATCAATCGATGTCGAATTACCAATCTCCGAACTCGATTCACCATCTCCATCACCGGACGAGAGCATATCCACAGTACAGTATCAGATTTTCTACCCATGTGAACCGGATGCGAAGGGAAAGGGATTGAGTTGGATACCAACACCACAGAGAGAATATGTCTCTGCGTATGCTAGATTTGTTGGCGCGGGGACGAAACTCGCAGAGTTTATCTCGTAAGTTTATGACTACGGTGTCTTCGAAGACGGGCGCTGACTACCTATCCTAAAAAGCTTCTTTCCTCGAATTCTACATTACATATCGATACCAGTCCGCAAAAATGCTGCCCTCCTGTCCCCACCCACATCGAACACGAAATGGCCCGTCATGATATTTTCGCACGGACTTGGTGGAACTAGAAACGCATATTCTCATCTTGTTGGCTCTCTTGCTTCCCATGGAATGATAGTGATAGCCCCGGAGCATAGAGATGGCAGTGGGCCTGTGTCGTTTATACGCGACGCACCATCCACTTCGCATACGGAGAAGACATCGGCAGGAACGAAGAAAAGGAAGGTAGAATATGTTAAATTATCACATAATCCTTCTCGGGAAGTGGAGGAAGGTCGGAATGCTCAACTTCGGGTTCGATTATGGGAAATGGGGATCATACACTCTAGTTTGCTGAAATTGGATACCGGCGACAAGCTTACGAATCTGGATACTTCTTCGGCACCTCTGTCTGCATTTGCGACTAAGCTGGATGTCCACCGACCCGGCAAAATCACGTTTGCCGGGCATTCGTTTGGTGCCTCAACTGTCACTCAGTTTGTAAAGTCGGTTTATTATTCGCCCAAGACAGCTTCCGCCCCGTCAGATTACACACCACTCTTCACACCATCCTCACGCTCGGAAATAGTGTCTCAAATAACACCGCAAACTCCTGTCGTCCTATTGGACGCCTGGTGTCTGCCTTTGCGTGCTGCTTCAACCCGATGGCTTTGGGATCTCCCGTTTCCATGCTACACGCCTGGTGGTCCGGGGCCATCCAACCTACTAGCCGTTGAATCTCAAGCATTTTTCAAATGGAATGTGCATTTAAAGAGCACGAAGCGTTTACTGTCATCCGATCCATCCACCGCCTCCCCAAGGCACGATAATCGCGGAGAACCGCATTTCTTTTATGCAGCTACATCTGCGCATTTGAGTCAATCGGATTTCGGTATCCTCTTTCCTTACCTGACCAAACGCTTCCTTGCAATTGAGGAGCCGGAACGAATCCTAAGACTCAATGTTCGTGCTATTACACAACTACTTAGAAACAACGACATTGAGGTTGGACCCACTAGCCGCGCTGATCTTGAAATGGAGGAGGGCAGTCCAGAGGCTACCAACGACGACAAGAAAATTTTGGCTAAGGGTGCGGTGAGAGGATGGGTTTTCATCAGCACCAATTCAGACGATGCAGGCGATGAAGTGAGCAATAAAGGCAAAGTAGAAGACACGCAAGCTGCAGCCCCTAGTGACGCTGTTCTTGGAAACGAGTTTGCTGTTGGATCTGAAGGTACCAAGACATCGGCATGATCCAGTGACTGAGCGTTTGTTTAAGACATGTTAGATTCCAAGTTATGAGGCGTTTGCGGCGATATATGACTGTTCATATGGTGACGGCGCAGATTTCTGTTGGGCTGGAGTATATCATTTCGAGAATTGGGATAGATATCTAGCAATCATGCTGACATAGAATAGACGTGTAGAAAAACCGAGCAGGATTTATCAGATAAAACCTACAATTGTTCATTAAAAGCATAGCAAATATTGACAGTAATGGTTTGTGACAGTCCTGGTTTGTTATGGAGTCGTTGGTCGCTTACTGATGTAATATCATTTTGGGTCATTATTCGCACCTCAAAGCCACTGATTGATGGATGATGTTTAGAGCAAACGCTCAAGCGAGAGCTGAGCAAAACATTGTTATAACTATTTCTTCATATTTCTTGATTTACTTGTGCTGCTCCTTTCTGCACTTTCTTTTCACATATATTCGCCTTTGTTGATTATTCTGGCGCTCCTTTCCACTCAGCTTCACTCTATTTGCATTCGTTGCCATTGATTGGATATATACGTCAGTGTTTCAATTACACTCAGTCCTCGTAGATGTTCAAGATTAAGGGCAGGGCCAAAGAAGAGAATTACAATAGTGGAGGGTCATCGCATTCTCCCAGCTCAGGTATTTGGAACCTTCACAGCACTAGAACAAGTAGACTAATCTAGAGTGGACAGCTTCAGATGAGCCCTATGGGATATTCTATGTCGCCAACAAAGTACCTACTCCAGAACAGACCATTGACGTGGTTGCTATTCACGGTCTTGGGGGACATTACGAGAACACCTGGACGCACAGTAAGACTAAAAAGAACTGGCTCCGCGATTTCCTGCCTGATCAAATGCCCGAGTTCCGAGTAATGTCATGGGGGTATAATGCAAGGGTGTTAGGAAGCAAATCTGTTGGCACCGTGAAACATTTTGCCCGAAGCCTTCTTACAGACCTAGCCAGCTGTAGAAATACAGAGGAGCTCCGGGTTAGGCCGTTGATATTCATCTGTCACAGCCTAGGGGGCATAGTGTTTAAGAAAGTGAGTCCGCACGATCTTGTCCGTCACGACTTTTCATATTAACAATATCTAGATGCTTGTTCTTGCGAACGATCAGAGCGATCTCTATGGATCTGCTGTGGAACACGTCAAAGCAGTGCTATTCCTGGGCGTCCCACACGCTGGATCAGACGCAGCCTCTATGGTCAGCTTCCTGGGCGACATAGCAAGCCTTGCTACCGGCGGTAACTCGAATACAGAGCTGCTGAATTCCCTTGAGCGAGACGGAAAGGAGCTTTACGAAATCTCCCAAGCATTTGTTGAACGCGCCAAACGTCTTTTAGTTATATACAGCTTCGTTATATACAGCTTCGTTGAGCTAGAGAGGACAAAAGGACACGTAGTGAGTTTGCCTCAGCAGCAGGAAACAGGAAACAATTCTAACAATCTGTCTAGATAGTTCCAGAACGATCTGCCGCGACTTTGCTCTACAATGAGGATCTTGTTCCCCTTGATCGGAACCACTCGACCGTGTGTAAATTTGAATCGCCCACAGACAACCAGTTCGGCCGGGTTTTGCTGAAATTACAGGCCATTTCAAAGCAAATCGCAGGACTGCAATGTAAGTCAGAATAATCTGGATAATTGTGCTGTTATATTAAATCTATTTCTTTTTCTACATGTGGAGATTTGGGAAGGAGTTCAGCGTTGTTGTTACGCTGCTCCAATGCGTTGCAACTCTGACGAGACACGTCCATGCGGTAGAATAGCTGTGCTCTGTCCAAATCTCTATAATTATTCTGTTTATTTTAGAGAGTATATAATATTTTGTATATTTCAGGGGTGAACGTACCTACTGAGGATAGAGCATCAGAAAATAGTTTTCTAAACGTCGTTATGCTTGGAGCTAGTCCCGTCAGTCCTACAATCCACTGGCGCTGCTCACCAGGGAAAAAAGGTTTTCTTCTCAGGAAATGCAATGTGTCATCCATTACCAACTCCCACCTAATTCTTAGCATCAAGATCATACTTGCTGACGCTTCCAGCCATGCCAGATAAGTCATCCGCCGCATTACAAGAAGGTGAGATCTTTCCACATATTTCTTGTTCGTATCACTAGGGCCCCATGACGGAAAAGCCAGACATCTAGTACTTTAAATAAAAGCGAACTGACACTAAGTAACAGAACTTCTCGAGAGCCTCGGAAAATATAGTCGTAATCCTCGACGATACGGCATATCTGACGAGTACCAGTCCACTTTCGAATGGATATGGCAACCAAACCTTGACGAAAGCAAAGAAACCGGCTTTGTTGAGTGGCTGGAGTCTGGTTCTGGGTCGTTCTGGATTTTTGGAAAACCAGGTTCTGGGAAGTCAACGCTAATGAAATATATTTACGAAGATCAGCGTACGACGAGCCTACTTCGGAAACAAGACAGTGACATTAAACAAGCCATGTTCTGTTTCTTCGAGATGGGTGAACCTCAGGAGAAGGAGTTCCTTGGTTTCCTTCGGTTTTTGCTTTACCAGCTCGTTGATAATTTCCCTTCACTCGCCATTCCAATTTTGAAGATCTTCCAAGAAATTAAAATACAGGCGGTAGAGAAGGATCCCAAGATGCTGGCTTGGAGTCGAAGTGATACCTGTCGGGCTTTGAAAGAAATATCTCGTCAACACACTGTCACCGGGAAGATATGCCTATTTGTTGATGCACTCGACGAGTGTGACGAGGGAGCTATCCAAAGAGATGACATCGACTATATGGTAAGCCTCCAGAGCTGGAAAGGGATAACAATCAAGCTATGCCTATCTAGCAGAACTGAGACATTCATTCACTCTCGTCTCAACAAGTTTCCTGGGTTTCCATTGCAGGCGTGGACATCAAACGACATTGCAAAGTACGTTTCACAAGAGTTAAAAAAGGCCTATGGGAGGATTGATGCAAAAGCATCAAGCGGACCCGACTCTAAGATCATAGACTCGGTGGTCAAGAAAGCCGAAGGTGTTTTTCTTTGGGTCAAGCTTGCAGTGATGGAACTTACCTACGCCATAGAAAGCTTTAGTGACGAGGAAGATATCCTCAAACTATGCGGTGACTCCTCGCCTGCTGGCATAAACAATCTTTATACTGCAATATTCACCAAAATTCCCACACACTACCTACATCATTGCATAAACTAACTTCGGGCCATGGGCGCAGCGCTAGATGAACGACAGGGCCCTCTTACATTGCAATCATTATATTTTGTTAAGGAAGGCGCTCAAAAAGCAGCAGTCCGAAAAATTGCCACCATTCCCGTTGAGGTAAAAATCACAAGATGCCACCACATGAGAGGTCACGTAGCTCACTGCGCGAGAAACTTGATTCAAGTGAACGAGTGCGATCGACAATGGTCTCTCTTTGCTGACGGCCCTGACGATGACGAAAGCTCCGTGAGCTCATATAGTTCGGACGATGGCCGTAACCCCAATTTCGATCGTCTACTCGAAGCAGACGTTTCGTTTGTGCATAGAAGTCTGTGGGAGTATATGAAAAGTGATTCTGGGTGGTCATCGGTCGTTCAACGAGCCAATGCGGGATTGCTCACGGATGGTCTGTTGTCCTTGATGCCGTGCCATCTGTCCTTTTATAAGACCGAAATGGGAGAAGTGACTACTGATGGACGCGGGGAGGGGAAGGAAATTTCTGTTTATCAAAGCATGCATTACTTGATCGCTTGTATACATGAGGCAGCCGCCAGAGGCACCTTGTACTCCGAATTTATGGATGCTATGTTCACTGGATTCGAACAGGAAGAATCTTGGCAAACCCACTGGTTTCATCGGGAAGCTTGGGGCTGTAACAGGTACTGTATATACGTCACTTGCGGGTTTCTTGAGCATTTAGAAAAAGCCTTTGAGTAGCAACAACTCCACAAAGTTGATTTGCCACATCTTCTGGCACACTGTATTGCCTCCCCATGGGGGTACCAGACTATTCCTCTCATGCGACTACTGATTTCGAACGGATGCAGTCTAGCGGATGAGTTTTTAGGACGTTCTGCCTGGCAATATCTTGTCTATGAAATTTATGAACGACTCCAGTACAGAATTACTTCCTCGCCCGGATTGGAACTACTCACGATTGCACTGCAAGCAGGTGCGAAGATGCATCAACTTATTCCTCAAACGAGTATTAATTGGTGTCTATTTCCGCGAAGTCCTTGGTGGGATTTATCACCTCCAGAAGAAGAGATTCCAGCTGAAAAGCATGCCCAGCAAGATTACATGCCATGTAATCCCCTTCAATTATTTCTTACCAGTTTTAACAGGCTTACCATTGAATTTTTGGTTGAGGTCGCGAAGAAAATGCTAGAACATGGGCTAGACCTCCAGAGTCAAAACCAGGACGGGTTAACTGTGCTTGAATGCAGTTCTCGCTGCCGACTGAGAACACACACGAATAGAAACTGGAGCCGTGACTATGGGCTACGAATTGATCACCACTTTCCGCAATCAAGAAAGTCACCGCTTGTTATTCCCCTGTCTAGAGAGGACTATGAGACAGAAACTTGGAATTTGGCGCCGATTCTTCTGCACCTCTGCGATGAGATAAAAGACTCTTCTCCTAAAACCACTGTCCTGGATTTGTACCGCCAAATAAAGAGCAGAATTGAAAAATCCAGGAAGAAAGACCGAAAATCTTTTCCCATCTTTCCTCTAGATCCGGGCCGCATACGCGAGGGTGGTGTAATACGAGCCCAAGAAGACGCTCGAGATGAAATCGAGAGGAGAAGAAACGACAATGAAGCCACCAAGGCATTGTCGGAGCTTTTATCAATACTCGAAGAAGTAGGATAAACCTACACTAGTAAATGGAAGTTGGGGAAGTAATTCTTAAAGCGGATAGTCTGCAGGGACATAATCTTGGAATTTCGAAAGAAGGTTAGTGCAATGAGGTGCACGCCGTGTTCATTAGACCCCTCATTGGCACAGATTATAGAGAAATCTTGCACAGGTTTCATGATGAACGAATTCTCTGCTAGAATTCTCGTTCTGACCGAAGGTAATAACTTTTCTTGATCAGTGAATCGGATGTGTTTCGGCGGTGTGAATCGGGGTTTCGATTATGCCGACTTCTGGTTACATTTGAGCGGTAGGGAGATATTTGAGCGTCTTTCTTTCAACAGTGAAAATGTAAAGGAACTATTTCTGTTATTTACCGGCTATCGAGCTTAGCAGGAAGAATATTTTCAGTGCAGTATCCTCTATGTTTTTGATTTTCGACTTCAAGTCAATAGAAAACAGTGCTTACTTGCAAAAGTTCGATGAAAGTTGGCCAAGCTCCTAATCTTAATCCAGAAATGAGAGCGCCGTTCAACATCTACTAACTACACAATTAACCTCTCTCTATTAACTCTATTATTTATAGCTTTTTCTCTCCAACAGTGACTCGGCTACTCCGTTTCGCCCGTGAATATAGATATATAGCTTTTCCTCGCTGCATACTTCGCTTTCAAAGCAGACTTTGAAATTGATAGGACTTCAATTGTTAAGAAGTCATGACATAAGATGGATGAAATAAGTCGTAAGCCCCTCTATTTTACATATTGTTTGAACATCAAGTAAACGTGAGTGGAATCCTGTGAGCGTCTGGAGGCTAAGTTGCGTAACCTGCGAGAATAGTCAGGGTTTGGACACTACGACAAGGTATTTCAGCGTTCAAAACTCGAGTTTCACAAGGATCGATAGAGAATCGAGAACTATACTTTAAGAAAGACCCTTGTATGGCTATATGAGTGATGGCTAGGAAGCAAGTGCTAATTTCGAACTACACACTCAGTCACCGCTAAGTTTCTGAGAGTAAAGTGGGCCTGTAAATTACTAAGGCTAGCCACCTGTATCCAAGAGCTTAAAGGAAACCTCTTTGCGCTTCCCTAGAGTTACGTTTCAGAAGAAATTTTAAATCGATTTCGTGACATATTACAAAAGAATGCTGTAACCAAAGGTTTTCAGAAATTAGAGAGCCTCGGTGCACCAAAAAATGGTACTTCCGTAAGCGAAATCACAAGGTTTGCTTTCGTTCAATCACAAAGTATATCTAAACCCCTTATTATCAAACTCCGTCGCATCATGCATCCCCAACTCAATAACCTCCTTCTCACTCAACGGCGCAAGAGCTTGTTCCCGATCCCTCTTCCTATTAAACATAATCATATGCGCATACAAAAAGAACACCATGAGAAGTTTAACACTGTACGCAGCAAGCATTGCGCGATATGCAGTATGATACCCGGCTATCACATATTAGCGGCTTGCCGAATTTAAAGGGGGGCGATTCCTTAAGCGAAGACTTACGAGCTTCTTTGGTGATGAACGTTTGGGGACCGGCAATGTTGCCGACGCAGAATCCGATGAATATGACGGCGGAAGTGAGTTGTTTTTTGGTGTATCCGGCGACGTTGCTTGAGATCATTGTTAGACTCATGCTGAATCCTAGGTTCTGGAAGTAGCAGAGCCAGAGGGCGATTAGACGTCCCCACTATTTTGACGAGTTAGTGTCTTGCAAATGCTTTCCATATTCCCACCAAAAAGGTGTAGGTAGAAGATGAAACATACCTTGTTATGCACAGGTAAACCAACCAGCAACCCGCTTCCAACGATACAAATGGTATTAGCAACACACATAACCACACATCTCATCCCAGACCAACGACTCGCAACCCATCCTCCAATCAGCATTCCAAACAACTGTACCGCCCCACCAGGAATCAACATATATTGACTGCCTAGGGTGTCGAATCCGAAACTCGAAATGTTAATGCTGGCGAAACTGGTCACCGCAGCCGTTGGGATCTGCCCACTAACAGCCATCACGAACAATATCCAAGTCTTAGGATCCGTGAGCATTTGCACCGCTTGGTAAGGTTTGAATTTGCGATTCTTGATTCCTTGTTTGTTGCCTGCAACACGGGAAGCAGCGATGCAACGTTGATGGGGTGTTAGAAAGCGGGTTGTTGAGGGAGAATCCGGGAGGAGGAGCAATGAGACGAGACCCCAGGCGGTGGTTATGGCACCGAATATTAGGAAGATGTACTTCCACCGAGCCAGACCGGTGTTGATATGACCTATTGCGTAGCCGAGGAGGCCAGAGAACATGGTTGCGATGCCGACGGTTGAGTAGTATGTTTCTAGACGGAGAGGTTGTTCTGGAGTTGTGTACCACTACATCTATTGTCAGTATATTTTTCCCATCTTATTTCCCGAAGGGAAACAATGTTACCATTGACATCAACAGCACAAATCCAGGATTCGTAGCACTCTCCAGCGCGCCCAGAAAAAATCTATTCGCAGCTATTCCAGCAAAATTCTTACATGCAGCAGTCATCATCAACACGCAACCCCATGCGACAATTGTCGATGAGATGAATTTGCCGATTGGGAAGTGCTGAAGAAGAAAGCCCATGGGAAATTGGAAGACTAGATAGCCAACGTAAAACATGCTGGCTGATTAAAGTCAGCCATCGTGATACTGAATTGAAAGCGAAATGCAAAATTCGGATTCGAAGAGACTTACTAGCCCACGAATAATCCTGTCCCTCCAATCTCAGATCTTTTTTCAATCCATATACACTAGCCACATTAATACAATTCTTATCCAGATATTGCAGTACATAAGTGACCATTAGCAACGACAGGACCCGCAAGTCAATCTTTCTCAGAACTTGTTTCGCCTCCAGAGGATCTAGCTCTATATCTCTCATGGATTTGTAAAGTTCATAGTGATCATCGAGACTAGCATGTGAGAGCGAGGGAGCAGCGGTTATTTCTTCGACGGAAGCTGTCGTGGGTGACGCTTTCTCTGACATTATGGAAAGGTAATTTTTTATTGGTCGTAAGAAGAGGTAGCGAAGTCAACGTGAAGGGGAAATAAAGCTGTCGATCAATCTCGAATGACAGCGAAAATAGCCTTAACATATACTACCACCAATATCACACACCCACCGTCACAAATCGCCAACAAACCTCTCCCAGCTGACAAGCTACCCCACCAGAAAACCGTTTGACCTGCCTGCATCGGAGGTATATCAATCATTTCCCCGCACTCGCCAATAGCACAAGCTTCAGGGCGTGCATATCCGGGTAAATCCGCATGACAAGCATTGCTTATGGTACGAGACCGCATGTAAGGTAGTAAAACACCACTTTCCAATCTTTGACCATGGGTATATCCCGATGACTTGCTTCAAAGTTATATGCGAAGATATCGTTTTCGAGCCGGCGGATGGCTAGAGAGTGCAATATCTCCGTGATGAGGGCAAGAGTGAGTTTAGGATGGAGTGAGGCTCGTATGAGGGCGAATGGGCGTCCGAAGATGTCGGTAAGGGTAGTTCGTTGTGGAGCTTGAGGATTGTTACACGACATGGAATATTTGAAATCAGAAGATGTTGTAAACTCGCACTGGAGCTTTTCCGGACACTACCACTGCGTTGAAAGAAACTTTGTCCGCAATTTAAGATGGACTTATTCTTTTTGGATTCTTGTTTTGATGTAGCAATAGCAAGATAACTGTAGGTAAAACATGGGTTCCGCAATATGGTCACGCGTATGGCGACTGGTATAACTTCTTACTTGTACATAACTTGGCGACAGGAAGCAGATATCTGCCTTGTTCGTCCCTAGATACAACGTCTTTACCTTGCTAGCTCAACTGATCGTCAATAATTTAGTAAAGGAAATCATAACTTGTCCCTTTAATCGTGCCTCTTCTTTATATAGAACGAAACTATTTAGAAAGAAACTCTCCCCGGTTAAAATAGTAGTCGAGAAACAATCCTTCTATATAGTATCTTCCACATAATGTTTACATTCCCAACGCTTCAAAGAAACTGTGAAACAGATGCAAAATCCTCGCAATTTAAGTTAGTTCATACTTGAGATGCAGAACTCAGATAACACGGCGTGTAGTATCAACTAGTTGTTTTATCATGAAACATTTCTGCGCGACCGACCTCCGCTTCTACGACATAAACATGACATTTTGAGCCCTAGCCGTAGTTTGTATTACGCACAGATGCTGTTTTTATCTAAACAAGTTAAAGTCTAAGGATAACACAGGATATTCCTTATTTTCTATTTAGGGTTTTAAAGAAACTTTACTCCAATAAATCTGAGCGGCTGGCCCACAACACAGAAGAACAACTCGGAGTTTGTATAACTCGCTCTTTATTAAAGGAAACTTGTACGACATTGTATATCCCATCTACCAGAACACTCGCTGACATCGAGATAAACCATGCCACCTGACATGCATCGACAGTTATTCAGTCCATCTCGACTCTCATTCCCCTCTCATACGCCGTGATTTCCAGCCTTCAAATCAAACTTAACCTATACAACAGCACCCCAACCCCAAGATCCCCAATCATCTCGCCCTTTCAAGCAACTATAATCCCAACAGCTAGTTATGCAACCCTGAAAGTCTCTACTTCCATGACTCGGCGACCTGAAACGAACCACTTGAAGATAAATTACGGTACTTGTATACGACGCAGTGGATTATATGCGGCTTTAACCCTACAATCTACCTTTGAGCGCTTACTCAACCTACCACGCACACACTACCTCTACCACAAGAATACATGCCCAACTCCCCAAGCTCCTCCTTACCACTCACTCTTGTAGCCACAACACCCAACCCCCAACGTAATTTCCGTCAGTAATTCGTCCACCGTACCCACACCTCTCCATTCCCGTCGTGATCCCTGAAACCGAGCCGCTGAACTCGGCCTTGCCTTGCCTCAAAGAACTAGCAGATAAAGCAGCGGATCTTTCCAGCGCGTAGGACACATGCCAGGGGGAGGGGGCTTGTAGCGGCATAAAAGATTTAGAATAGATGGTACTTGGAGGTTAATTTAGAATATATAATAATAGAAGAAAATATAGCTGCTGTTTCGAAGCTAAGATACCTATTTCGGAGCGATGTCGATTCTAGTACTATTATTTCGAAGTAACATTAACTCTTATAAATCTTTCCCTCGAACACACTCTACGTAGATAACCCCGAGTACAAGGCCCCAAGACGTTAAACAACCAGCAAAATAGCTACCTCGTCAAAGCTAGGTCTGGCCGTAGCTAGTAGTCAGGGGTACTCGCTTAGCTCTCCCCTAAATACAGCCTCCGGCCCTCCGTTCTAGAGGGTAAGAGTTCTTTTCTAGATATACTCCCACCTAGCCTTTGTAGTTCGGTGATATGCCTCTAAGCAAACAACGTTCCCCCTATTCACATCCTTAACACAACCAAACCGCTTCCCGCAAAACCCATCACCGCCTCCCCCCTCGCTTACCTCAACCACATACCCTCACGCCTACCCCATCCCCTCAAACCTCAGAACAGCCATCCCAGCCCGCGCAAAATCCCCCCATTCCACCGCATCCCCTTAAACACCCCAATCGTGTTTTAAATCCCTTCACGGTCCACCCAATCCCCGTTATCAAAAGAGAAATCTACACTCTTATCCTCCCATCCAGCCCACGCCCACACGCATCAGCGGCCGGCACGCTCGCCATCTAAACCGTGACCTAGGTAGCCACGCCACGCGCCCCTCTCGCCGAGAAACAGTATATGACAAGGTCATGAATTTCGCAGAACGGAAATTTCTCACGGTGAGTACAAGGACGGGACGATGAGAGAAGCAAAGCAAGTTTAGCGAGTAAAGTCCCATATATCAGCTATGCTATACCCCCTTTCTATCGCTACATACCGTACCCAGCAATACAAGCAAGCCCGGCCAGTATCATATCAACACAACAATAACCCCGCTACTTCCATTCATCCCGACTGACTTCCTCAGATCCCACTTCCCATCTATCCCCCTGTAACCCCATCTCCATCCCCATCCCAATTCCAACGCCATTAAAAACACCCAAACACCAAAACCCGCAAACCCCATCCCATCCCATCCCATCCCCCTACTCCACCTCGACTCTACACCTACTCCACATCACCAACAACAACCCACCGTTTATCCTTCTCCTTAACCCCCACGCGTCTTGCCACAACCTCCAACGTGCCCTTGATAGCCGCGGCCTGGCGTCCCGGGAACTGTTTCTTGAGGACCTCGATCAAGCCCACTTTACTTAGGTTACTGCCCTGAACCGCTTGGCGGAATTTCGGGATGTCGTCTGCGGGGAGGAGCTTTGGGAGTTTGGGGCGGCCGGGAGGGAGTTTGCTAGTTTGAGGAAGTGAAGATGATGGGGTTGAGGAAGCGGGAGCGAAGAAGGGTTTGGGTGGACATGGGAGGGTGGAGGCGTTGGGTTTGATGGTTGTGAGGGGGATGCGAGGGGGGTCCATTGTTGTGGTTTGGAGGGGTGGGTTAGGCGCCCAGTAGAAGGTTGAGAATGGGTCGATGGATTTGAGTTTTGGATCTGTTGATGTTAGAGGGGTTGTCGGAGCATATGATGAGAAACCTACCAATGATAATCTCCATCCGATATGGCAACATTTTGACGTTTGTATTCCGCTTATGCTTGTCTTCCCAGCATAAGCCTGTCGATACAGGTTCTAAATCATTACCAGGTATGATAGCTCGTTTTGCGTTTGCGAGATCATCATTCTCGTCATCCAGAAATCCATCCATATCTTCAGCATCCTCATCACCCTCCTCTTCATCACGATCGCTATTACAGTCCTCTGCATCATCATCCTCAACCCATTCAGCTTCACTATCGTAATCATAATTTGTATCAGGCAAATCTCTCCTCAGCGGATTTCGAGCAAGTTTCGTCATCCCATTGACAGGCCGACTGGTGTATGTTCCTCGATATGGTGGTCTGACATCTTCAGCAAACGACAACAATTTCAATGGTACTCTTCGTAGCAAGTCTCCTCTCCTCTTGATTTGTGAGTTCTGTGAATCCGTTGTCAAATCAATCGGCTTTGACGCAATTCCAAAAAACTCCGCCATAATATCTCGTACTGGCATACAATGCTTTCCACGCTGAACATCTTGACCGGAAAGATGAAATAAATCATTTGCGTCAAATGGCCGGGGCTTCGTTCGATCTGGACTTCTACTTCCATCTAAGTAACCGTCCAAGGTCTTTTCTAATGCCTCAATAGCATCTCCGTCCCGCTCAAATTTACTGCATTTTGCAAGTTTTACATCGTTGTGAACGAAGAAGTCAGGAAACGTCTTTTCGTAACATGACCGCTCTGGTTTTTTTGGCGTGACGGCGGCTGTTGTTGTAGCCACTGCAGTTGGTAGACCCAAATTCGAATTCTCAGGTGCTGGGCTTGCAGATCCACGTTCCTTGCTATCCACACTTCCACGTCTTCCCTTAGCAGCCGTTGATGGGATGCTAAAGAAGCTATTCAGTTTCTTCTGTGACCGTTCCTTCTTTTTCTTTTCTTCTTCTACTTTTTGTTTCTCCTCTTCTTTTTTCCTCCGTTTTTCTTCCTTAGCAGCCTTCTCTGCTTCTTGTGCCGCTCTCTTCTCTTCTCGTTCGACTTCTTTCTTCCTCCTATCCGCCTCTTTCTCTGCCTCCTTCTGTGCCTTCTCCGCCGCCTTCTCTGCCTCCTTCTGCACCTTGTCCGCCATCTTCTCTGCCTCCTTCTTCGCCTTATCAGCCGCCCTCTCCGCCTCCTTAATCTCCTTCAAAATCCGCTTCTCCTCTTTCTCCGCAAATGTCATTTTCACTTTCTTCGAAGGCGGAGGAGGGTTGCCATTCAATGCCGCGAAAGCAGACGGCGAGGCTGTATTCGAGGTTGTAGTGGCAACAGCTGATATCATCGGAGAGTTTGCAACATCTGAGGGGGTGAAGGGACCGACATCGCTGAGAAGCGATTCGGTTGTGCTTCTTGCGGGACTGGGTTCTCTTTGAGGTTGTGATGGCTGAATTATCTCTGAGGACGCTGATATTTTGTTTGCATCTGATTTGTCTTCTTCCTTTTTCAACTGCTCAAGGAAGTTGGTAGGATTTGGGAGTATTTGCTGAACATCGGGGCGGTCGGTAAAGGCATCGTGATCCCTCTTAAGAGAACGAGGAGTTTCGTGGACGGACATGTCGTGCAAGTTTAGTGTCTGCGATATTCCGGTGTGTCTATATATCGTAGGAATGATAACTTGACAGCCCGTCGACAAAGGGCAAAAATACACGTCCAACGCTGTATTCGACTGATGCTTTTCCTGACTCAACGCCGCTGTGGTAATGAATACCTGTACTGAATTCGAATGTTATGAATTGAGGTTGATTCGAAGGTTTCTAGCAGTCATCAATTGCCAGTTTCTTTACTGTACAAATGGAGGTTCATTGGTCGTGAATTGGGGTTGAAGTTTCCGGGGTGTAGATGGGACGTGAAGTTGGACGCGACGTTCGCGTTTCTGGACGGGAAGTGGTTTCGCGTCTAATTCGACGCTGCTTTTGCTCCGGCACTTCAACATGAGGGGTCTGAAATTGTGCGAAAGGCGGCGTCAAAACTTACTTCCCAATTGAATCTTCCAAAAACATGAATTAAGTATAAAACAGAAACTATATTATATTGCCTAGCTCAATAAAGACAATTGCCTCTGTAAAAATTATTCGTGAAATTATCTTCAAAATTCTAACTTCACTACTTTCATCTTATTATAGATTCCAAGGTTCTTGTGAAGTCAAGCATCTATAACAGATATAACCTTCTAAAGATTTCCCCCTCAGTACTTTTGCCCTGGCGATGAGAATAGACCATGAAGTTAAGCACTATTTTCTCGCCTGTTATCAGGTTTACAGCCGAATTCCAACGTAGTGTTCTCTCATTAGAAATCTTCTATGACAGAACCAAATCACTATTTCACCAATTCATAGCACTTTTCCGCAAAACTCACAAGTCGCACATCTCACAATCAAGCAAATCAAAAATAGAAACTTCAATCCCCATATTATTATCCCCAAACCCCCTCACCCTCACACATACGTACGGTCGTCTATCACTGTACAAAAAAGCCACGACCACCACCCGCTCAACATCCAAGCAACGCAAAACAACAAATTCTTTTCGAGCCATCGCCCTAACGAATAAAGCCTAAAGCCTAGCCCCAAGACCAAGCAATCCCCCGCTGCCGGGTCTCATCAGAAGTTTATACACAAAGTCTCGCCGAACCCAATTGTGCTTCGTATCCCATACGCCTAAAAGAGAGTAAAAAAAGCACGCTATATCCAAAATCTCCAAGAAGTTCAAAGACGCCGCTTTGAAAATGCCCTATGCCCATGCAAGTGTGTACGCAACGCAACAAACCCATTCAATCTTCCAACCATCAATCATCTTTGGGTATATCCATCAATCCACGCATCCAAACTACTCCATCAATCGCTATCATTGTCCGGGTTTGCAATATACAATCGGCCTGCGCTCATCGTCATGGTTCGCTCATCTACACTTCCTCTTCTACGTAACTCCTCTGGATTTCGGACGCTCTTTTCTCGGGTGACGGTGGATTTGAGAAGACTGTTGCTAGCCAATCTTGCGGCGTCTCCGAGGTCAGGCACGGCGTCAGCACGTTCACCACTACTTCCACTGCCCACGCTCCTAGTGCCATCACCTCCATTGCCGCTACCGGTAAAGTAGTCCTTTTGTCTTTGATGGGCAGCTGGAACGGGTGTTTCCGCAGTATCCGTATATCCACCAGCAGAGTCTTGCCGTTCCCGCTCACTAGGTGGTGTATTGCCAGAACTCCATTTGCCCGAACTAGCTCCAGATTGGCGGTATGTGAGACCTCTTCTACCACTTCGTCCACTCCCCACGCTACTCCTCCCACTGCCACTTCGTTGGTGATATTTTGGACCCATAGCACTATCCGCATCATCATCACTATCTTCACCTTCAACTTCACTGGCGCTTAGACGCATAGGAACTCCTCCCACACCACCGACCAGACCACCAGGACTGTATCCAACCAGCCCAGCTTTTCCGTGATGCCGGATCTTTGCCGTAACTCTGTTGCTACCTGCAATACCGCCGCTAGATCCGCTGGTGGAAATTCGTTGAGGAGCCAGACCACCGACCACTTCCTTTGTTGCCCTCATCTTCGCTTGTCTTTGTGCCGCAATCATGCGCGGATCCTCATGTTGGGCTCGATCACACCACACCGTGGCCTTTTGTTTTCGCATGAGTGCCACGTAACTGCTCGGCTGCTGATTGCCAGATCGTGACGAGGTCGATCTTCTCAGATCTTGAGAAATCTGTCGTTGGGGTACTGGCCCATTGCCGCTGCTGGCGGTGGTAGAAAAGGTATTTGTAGAAGGCGTTCTCCGAGAGGAGTACTGTATATGTGCCATGTTGTTTGGGTACAGCTGTTGAGGCTGCTGTGGCTGAAAATTGGAAGGAAAAGTATTCGAGGAAGTTGTTCGTGTTCGACTATGCCCATATATGCTGTTCTGAACCTGCGGCGTGGCCTGATACCCCGATGGCATTGGCTTCCTCCTAGGCAAGTCTGCCATCATGTTGGACGTGTAGTGGTATATGTAGTGGGATGGAGCAACGCAAGCAAGGTGACGAAAGTGAGGTATTTGCAGGTGGACCAGGCGTGGCAGGAAGCTTTTCGTAAATGTTGGTTATCGCGAGACACTAGATCCGATTTTTGGGGTGGTGTAGTGGGCGGCGTCCAGAGCTAGACGGAGTAGTTGGCCCGTTACTTGGAAAAGGGCCAATCCGCGACAGGACGAGGATGCTAGCTAATCTGGTGTCGGCGATCCCAGCGTTTCAAAGAGGGTTGGTGGAGGGTTAATCGAGATCAATTGATCGTTGGCGTGAAGCTTTTATAGTGCGCAGATCGACGAGAGCAGCAGATGGTTGCTGATGATTGTTGTCGAATGTTTGTGATTCTGGTGTCAGCAAAGCGCAGCGGGTTATGCAAGCAGCGACACGGGCCGTGAGTGGTCGAATAATCGACTTTGCCTCTTGATGAGTGGGTGCGGTTGGGTGGAGACGAGGATGACAGACTCGGTATCTGCTGGGTAACAAATGGGTCGGAGCGATGTTTACGGCCAAAGGTGGAGAAGACAAGTGAGGTTGGCGTGGAGGGGTGGGTGGTGGATGGTGGATGGTGGGATGGTGTAGTCGAAGTAGAAGTACGCGGAATGATAGCGAGTACGATCAAGGTAGGAGGAATTAGGACGAGTAGAGGTGGTTGGTGGTGAGTGGTTGCAGTCGCAGTCGCAGTCGCAGAGTCGTAGTAGGAATTAATTACGAAGACGGAATATTGTTGTAGGTGGAAGTTGGAACTCTCGAATCTGATTTGGCTGGATGCGGCGTATTATTCGGTGCAAGAGCGTCTGTCTAAGGCGTTGGTTGGATTAGCGCGGGCGCCCTCTCGCTTTCTTCCACCACTACTCAAGCGTCGGAATCAGCGTCGAGCTCAAAGCAGTGAATCGCAGTGAAAGCACTTCTCGGCGCCTTTATCTTTCAGCAACGACCCAGCTTCAGCTCGTGAGATGTGTCTGGCCAGTGGCAGCTCACAGAACCAGGGCGATAGGAAACGTGGGTAGAGATGGCGTCCTCAGCTTGCCTGCACGATGTGACTTTGAGTCCTTCGACGCCTCCAGATGCGCCGAGCCAGAGCGGACGAGGAGGGGCAACAAAGAGCCGCCGAGGATTCAGTCAAGCGGCGGCCTCATGCGGACAAGTCGTCAGAGGAGCGAAGAGAGGCGATGCTACTTGAGAAGCGATGAAGAAGACGAGATTGAGCAAAGCAGTGGATGTGAATTCAGAGGAATCAAAGCTCAAATAAACATCCACATGTTTACCTCCCGACGCGCTTCTCTCCCGTGTCTCTCCCCACGCATCTTGCCAACTAACAGCTGAGGAGAATTAGGAGAATTCCACTGGCGTGTGTTCTCGAAGTTCCAGATGCCAGAAGCGGTGGAAGCAATAAACCTGCAAGCGCACGTCTTCCAGAGAAAAGAAAAGAAGGGTCTCACCTTGTGGCTCCGTCGATACCCAAACACAAACGCCAAAGCAATGTCAATCGCACTCCAACTTTCTTCCTTTTCAAGATAATGCCCACGCTGTGTTAGATCGCTATCAACACCGTACATCCGAACGCGTACAGGAACCCGTCGAGCTTCTGCGATATCGTCGCAGACCCGCCAATGATCGCAAGAAGAGGTATCTGCTGCCGTAGTCAGCACCTGGCTGAGCTGACCTTGGAGTAATCCAAATCGATCGCGGTGATGCCTTACTCAGAGCTCCCACGACGATGCAACGTGGTGGATCGTCTATCGTGGGTCGAGGATCGCAATCAATATATGCTGTGTCTGCGATGGTGATGCGCCCAGGTCGTGTTGGAATGGTCGTGATTGGTATGCGACGCGACAAAGTATTGTGCCAAGTAAGGTTACGGATATCGCGATGTTGAGATCTTTGGTGTTGTCTCGAAGGTATTTCCACAAATTATCAAGGTATTTCCACCAAACAATGGAAGGGAGAATGCATTCAATTCGCAGAAGAAGCACGCAAGAGCGCAACCTTTACTTTTTAACACCTCTATATCACGGCGTTTATTACACTCCCATCACAGCACGTCCACCGGTCCATCCTAATATCATCCTCTCCGTCCCAAAGTTTCAACAATTCAAGTTTTCTTCTTCCCCTTCTAACCGACCCCCCTTCTCCAGGTTTCGGCATCGAAAGATGATCGCATACTCAGGAGCGATCCTTGGAAGAATCCATGTCTGGCAGTTGGTTATGCTCCGGGACATCTATATCAACCGTCTGGGCTGGAAACTTCTCCCTGGAAACTAATCATGCCATTTCGAACTTCGAAAATGCGGTCTGCAACTGCAAGTCTGGCACAATCACATCACACGGCTGTGACAGCAACTTCTGGTAGGTAGACAGCTGCATGACTCCCCGGTTGATGTAACTGTGCTCACACGGCTCAGACGTCAAGTTCGGTATTTGCCATCATACAAGCACAAGCACCAGCACAGTCGCACAACGGAATCTCTCGACTTCTCTCTGCATGCATCCTCCGTATCACAGAACTCCCATTCCCAGCCATGGAAAGCCAGTGACGTTTTCCACCCTGTACCCAGTCTCCGGAACCAAACACACCCATCTCGTCCGACTCTTTTCATCCAACCATCCGTACAGAGCTTGGTCCTGACCCCCCACTCCTGCCGGAGAAATAGCTAAGCACGCCAATGATATCTACGTATCTTCATACCAAGCTTTGCAGATATGCGAGGCATATATTAATCTACACCTAGTCGATTTGATGGGTAAGAAACTTTCCGATCAAGAACCTGGATGGATGAAAGGTAAAATTTCTCTTGAATAAAAATATACTAATCTAGTGTCCTTTCGGCCATTCCGAGTATCTTCATACGTGCATGTAGCTAGCATAGAGTTCACTGTACCTACCTATGCACGACAAGACTCACGCTCCATCTACCAGAACTTCGAATCACGCTCAAGATATGGAGAAAGCTCCGCCAGCGAATCTTTCGCACAGTAAGCGCCTTCGGCTAAGCAATCATATCCCTCATCGCCTAACCTCATTCGCTGCCTTATCGCGAACCAAATATCATGCGGAATTGGTAAGTGAGCCGGTGAGTTTCCCACGAGTGCGACGCTGCGAGGGAGGAGGAACTGGGATTGTTTCCTGGTTTTTGAAAACGTCGCGCATATTTCCTGATGTGGGATTGCCATGTCGAGTGGTTGGGACCACGAATGTGATCTTATTTTGATTGGAATATCGACACTCGATTCAACGGCTCTCCTATTGAAAAATGAAATCGCTTGGTGTACAGGCGTTATGTCATTTCTCGTATTCTTTCCACAGCGGATAGGGGAAGAGCTAAACCCCACAATATATAGCCGCAGCCGATCGAGTTTGTATTAGATACAAGTGTACTCGACAAAGATCTACTTCGTATAGGATATGAGTGTAGACGCGAGAGAGATCTACTTCGTACAGAGAAGCACCGCAAATGCCATTCAGCTGCCTCGTGTTGACTCTTAAACGCGAGAAAGATCGACCTCGTATTGAACAGCCGCAAGCGCGGTTCTGCTGTAAGGAGGGCTGGTTGATTGGTGGGTGTACGAGATTGCGTTGAGCTTGGGATTGAGGAGTTGTGGAGGGTGGTTATTGGAGGTGTGGATTGGTTATTGGAGGTATGGATTGTGCGATTTTGAGAGCTGGAGGGTTTCAACTGATTCGTATGGTGATTGTACTTGTAGTTAATCTTTTGGTTACAAGTGTGTATTTCAGAAACTCGTATGTGCTTATAAATAGTTCTTGTAAACCCTAACATCTACATTTGACTTAATTCCGTTGTCACGAACCCTTTTTCCCGGGGGGGGGGCGGGGGGAGGCGGGGGATATACCACAATTTAGAGCTAGAAACGGTCATCAGAGCGCGTAAAATGAGTTGAGTTCAATTAAGTTGAGTAGTGTGAATACTTAAACTACTTAAAGTAATCACGAGTACTACTTATTACTTAATCTAAATTAAGCTAGTCTACTATACATCTCAGGCCAACTTATAATAGCTCATTAAGCAGTTAAATTTAAATCTGTTAAGTCGTTCCTCGATAGACTAGACTATCTCAATAATCGAGGTGTTTACTAAATAAATAGCTCCAGTCAACTACAAACCTGGGAGTCTCGCATCTGGTATACTACAGTAGCTCGTATCGAAAATGAGGGCAGTTGTTGGGGCAGGATTTGTTCCACGAAATTTGTGCGCGAAGCCTTTGTTAAAGACTTTCCTTCCGCCGATGGCGTTATCTATATTTTCCGCACCAATTAAGAAGAATCTAAGTAGTAAAAGAAATCTACACTCTTGGTATTTACACTCCTTTTGAGATTTGCATACCATTACCTCGATATACTATATCCCGATTTAAGTTAACCGTGGTTTCCAAACTTCTACCACCTCTTTACGAGACGAGTATGTACTTAAAGAGTTCTTTGGAAAGGTAGAGGTGGGTAGTTAGGAATTATAGGTAATATGAAGTTCTGTTCCTGGAACCCGAGGGCGATAGTTTAGAGGTGTAGTAAGCGCAAGATTACACAAGACAAAAGGATCTCGACCGCGATTTCATAATAGCATAAATTTTGTTTTTATAATAAGGAAACACAAAGAACCTTTTACACTAGAGAGCAAAAGAAATGTACCCTTAGAGTGAGAGATGAAAGATACTCTAACACTTAGAAATTGAAAAAATGAAAGAAAGAGTAGCATTTAAGTGCTTCGTGGGATTTGTAGAGTGGCAATAATATACGTTCTTTTGTGTTTCGTGGTTTTAGTAGTAGTATCTTGCAAGTATGTAAGACCTAGGAATAGAGAAATAGAGAGGTAGTTTTATTATAGTACAGGATTTTGATTTGTGAGGAAAGGAAGCTCAGATCTGAGATGTTATTAGGTATATATAATTCAAAGATTGTAGATACACCTAAGTGACTATTTAAGTGTACTTCTAAGGGAATATACTGCTACGCCTTTGTCTATAGGCGAGTTTCCAAGCTAGGGTGCTGCTTCTTTACAGAGCCAAAAGCTGCGAACTCAAGCTTGAATTTGTGCTCCCAACATAGACTCGTTTGCAAAAAATCGCATATCCAGAAAGTCAATCCTTTCCGCTTCGTACCCAACATTCTTTCTCCAATCCCCTTCATCCCATCCCAGCTCAGTCTCAAATTATAACCCCCACCGCCTCACCCAAACCAACATCCGTCACCCCAGCTCACCGAATACCTTTAAATGTCCCTCCCCTTATGCGAGGACAACGCGACGTCCCAAATCAGGAAGTCCCAGTCTATCCCCAACAGCCCCCGCGACGCCATTAACCGTATCGACCACCCCGGTAGCCGCCGTACCAACCGCGTCAATGGCGCCATTACCGAGATCTCCTATACCGCCGAGAGCACCGCCTTGTTCTTCTTGGGGGATGGGCGATGCGGCTACGAGGGTGGAGAGGAGGAGGAGGAGGGTGGGGATTGAGAAGTACATGTTGTGTTGTAGGGGAGTATGATATTAGTCGATTTGTATGGAGGTTGAGGGTGCAGATGAGATGTTGGAGGTATGCTGTTCTACAAGCGGGGAATTGACGTGCTTTATACATGGCACCAGTGTTTCGTATCTGTGGTATTGTTAACTCATTTCCTTTGCCCCGAGATAGAACGAGCCAAGAAAATTTATCGCGAGTTTACTTGACCGCGAAAATGTCAAGATACGGTGATCTTCAAACTACTGTATAAAGTAGTGTAGATCAAGTATACTTTTCGTGTTAAAGTATCGGCACTTGGGTGGGGAAGAAGATCCCGATGTCGATCGATCGTAGGTGGCTTGCGGTAACACTTTAAAGCGCCGGGTATACCCCGCCGTGAAACTTCCAAAATACACTTGTGTAGAGCCAATTCTACGTCTGTCTCTCTTTTACTTCAAGTATTAAGTCCTATATCCAATTTGGGATCAAGAAAAAGGTAGTGGCGGGACGAACTTTTCACAGGTTGAAGAACCGGATGTTAGGCGAAATTAAGTATTTTTGTGTTACACTCCTCAACAGTACATGATATTCTAGAAAGACGCTATAATGTTTCTTTGAGTAGTACTCTTGAGTCATCCCTTAGTCAACTTCCCGTAGAAGTTAGAACTAAACTAATCGCCTCTGAATATTTCTGACATAGAACTTCAGACATATGGTAACAGGGTCCAGTCAAGACCACACTTCCAGCATAATTTCAACCTCGAACTGATCATTCCTGACGATCAAGCCTCTGTAACCCCGTATTCCCATTGACCTTCTCCTCAACAAACCCAAACCCCCTTTGAACTCGAACCCAAGCATTGACACAAAGTACCCCAACCACTCTTCCCAAACTTCAACCCTTACAGACCACCATTCAACCCTCCAAGGCTAAGCCCGCCCCCAACGCGGCCCCCAGCCCTTTTGTAGCTGCTTGTGTAGCTCCATCCGCAATCTCTACAACCTGAGCAATCTCACCGACGCCCGAGAGGACACCTCCTAATCCGGATGCTGCGCACAGTCAGTTGGTGTGTATTCGCATAGACGAAGTTACTAACCGATGTCGCTTTGGGGGATGGGTGTTGCGGCCACGAGAGTGGTAAGCAGGAGAATGAGTGTTGGGAGTTGGAAGTGCATTTTGGGGTGTGGTGTTAGTGTTGAGTGGTTGGGATGAAGACAAAGATTGAGTGGTTGAGTTGGCGGTGCTAGTTAGATACAGCTAGATGTGGGAGCGCTCACGTTGTTTATACTCAGTAGAAACGTGATGCTATGTAGACTTCCGTATTTTCAAGGCATGTTCTTTTCACTAAGACATTGCGAGTCATTGCTGTTTGCGTAACGCTAAAATGTAGAAGAGATGGAGATCTTAATACTAATTTCTACGGGTGGAGTGGAGAGTACAAGTTTATAACCGGGATGAGGGGGCCTATGTACTAGTTGTCGATCAGTTGTATGTAGCGCTCGGTAATACCAAACTCTCCCTATCTCATATGAGAGCAAACGGGGTTTGTTTGATAACCCGGAAGAGCGCAAATTTTGTCCTTGAGAAGTACTTTTGACAACAGTCTACACTTCCTACATTTTTGACCAAACGCTTCTTTAAACATGTCTGAGAGGAAACCTCGACACATGTCACATCATTCTCTCAAACGCACGCTTTTATTGAAATTCCACCCCTCTCCAATTCAACAATCCCAAGCCCCTACAAGATTACATTCATTTAAATCATGCCAAACCCCAAAATCCATACTAGCAGTCCATAACAAAAAGCTCAAAGACATTTTCAAAATCCAACCCAGTCATAAGACACCCTCCTAAAGCCCCCCCAGCATATTCTCAGCTACCTGAAGTAGCTGCTCAGCCCCGCCTACTACTTCCCCAAGTCCAGTCTCGGCCTCGTCGATCTGGCCGATCTCAGCGATACCCGCGAGAATCCCGTTGACTCGGATGCCGTCACGAGAAGGGTGAGTAAGCAGCGGGAAGGTGGGTTTAGAATCTTCTACTGCTGTGGAAGGTATTAATGACCGATAATGCTTGGGGGAATAGGTGTGGCGGCCACGAAAGTGGTGATAAGGAGGATGAGAGTTGGGAGCTGGAAATGGAAGGGTACGGACGAGTAAAGGCTTTTGTAGTTATCAACGAGGATTGCAATGCATCTTGTTGCGTTACTTCAAATTGCTTATTCCTGTTCACCAAGACATCACGAATTCACGAGTCAAGCAGGTTACAGCGTTAAAGTTGCGTGGTGTTGCAAGCGAAGCTGCATTTTATCAGCAAAGTAATAGGGATGAAGATCATAGGGCTACTGTATAGTCGTACAGTTGGTATAGGGGTGCAGCTAAAATCCATGGCATGTGAGCGGGGAACACGATTCCCGATTTGCTAGTTGCCGATCGATCTCGGGTGGTACCGTTTAGCTTAATTTTAGCGGTGACTTTTTGTCAATGTAAGCGTAGATGGGAGTCCCTTTAAGACAAAATCGCCGGGATTCTTTCAATTATTTGGCAGTCAATAACGGGTTGACTTCATCTTGCGTATTACGTGCCAGCAGCTCAGCCTTTTGGTCCTCATAGGGTCAAAGTTTACTTGCAAACTTGAATGGAATAGAATAAGCACTAGTGATATGCTTAAGCTTAAACTGAATTTAGACCGCCACCTGTAGCGTTGTCATCCCATGGCTAGGGCTTAAACTTTATGTCCTTGTTGTGGAAGCGGACGTCCGTCGCGCAGTAGAACTGTTTCACCATGGAGTAGTCAATACTGCACGATGTGCTGTATTGGTTCTGCATCTCAATTGCAAACTAACAAGAGTTGCGGTATTTGTTGATGTATTTTGCTGTTCTGCGGGTATGTTGCGTTTACTCTTGTGGGTTTGAAAAGCGAAAGTTGTGTCAAGAATGTGACTTTGAAGGATGGTTTTCTTGACCATTTCTTTTTTTGGCCTGAGTTCCACCCCGAAAAGGTTCGTTCTAACAAAAAAGAGGTAAAGTAAAAGCGGGAACTTACAAAGTCAAATCATCTAAGAGAGTCGTAGGAAAGTGGAAGTATTAGCTTAGTCACGATCAGCTACACAGGTCGTGCTGCCTCCACAAATTCAACAGCTGACCCCTCTATCATTACTTACTACTTCTACATCATCAAGCATATCATAACCTGAAAAGAGGTGCAAATGACCTGAATAGGGGCAGCAAACCCTTTGCCCGTATTTACTAATGTCTCCCGAACGGATGGATTTTACAGTGCATAAACCTCTTATTGGTACCACACACTCAATATCGGGTTATGAGGTCCTTTCTTTCTTTCTCTTTTCTTCACATGATTGTGAAAAATCAATCTCATATGGGTGTTTCCGAGATGACAAACAAGAGATTGAGAAAAAATGACTGCATGGCTGAGCTGATGCCTTGTGTCGCTTCAGAAATTTCCAAATAGGCGAGAAGTATAGTGCCGTGTAGTGAAGGTCTGGCTCAAAACTCTTATCCGAAGAATACGAAAATAGCAGTAAAGTAATATTACTCGAGATAGTACTAAAACATGATATTTACTCTTAGTAAAGATAGTATAAGATAATAGAGTAGATTTAGACCTTTTAGATTCTTTTAAAATAATTTAATAAAAGCTATTCTTCGTTAAGTAATATAAGAAAAGGATAATTTTATTAAAAAATAAAAAAGTTCTTTCGGTCTTATTTTATTTTCGCTTAAGCCGTTTTCGCTAGATTTCTAAGGCTAAAAAGTAAAAACCCCGCTATCGAATAACTTACTTAAAAATACGACTTCTACTCTCTAACTACTAGCTTTAGAGCTTTAATTAATTAGTAAAACATATAATAAAGGCGTATACTTACTCTACCTATACTCCTAAGGGCTAAAGAGCTTAAAACGTAGCTAATATATAGCCCGTAAGATAAGTTTAAAAACGTGTTTTCGCGAACTTGAGTTTTGAGCCAGACCTTCACTACACGGTACCATAGAGAGGTCACAATACTCTCGTGGGGGCTGTGTGCGGCTGAACAATCGAAAGTATTTGAGACACGACCATCCCGAGCTCTCGTTGTTTTCGCCATGAAAGATCTTCCGGATTCTCTGATTATCTCGAAAGTCACAGTCAGAAGTCAAAATGGTTCGAGAGTACGACACTTTGACGATGGGGGATGACCAATCTGTGGATGAATTCTTAAAGCAAATCACGGAACGGATGAAGACTATGACCCCTCAAACTTTTAAAGCCAGACTTCTCCCCAAAAATCCCATCATTTTGACTCTTGGGAAAGCTACAGAGTTAGAAAGCAACATTGATTTGTGGAGAGATGCATGTCCAGTTTGTCGTCCACTCGTTCGCGACCTAAAATGTTTCTGCTTCCCTGAATCGCAAACCTTTCAAGAGCAGAACAAATTCATTGCTTGGAACATTACCTTTTCGGATCTTGCATTTGCGATTACTTCGAAGGAGTATGATAGTGCGAATTCTCGCAAGATCACTGGAAATTCCAACAATGATAGCGGGAAAGAAGAAGGTGAGGATGAGCGAAATGCAAAGGAATGTCCGGGTGACGAGGAAAAGGGCGGGAAAAGCTTTTTGGAGAAAGACAAGCCCGACCATGGTAGCTTCTGCGAGTTTTGCGCCTACTTTGCCTCTTCGATGTTCGATGATCCCACGTACAGCTTCTCGTTCAAGAATCACGCGTTTGGAAAATTTTCGATAGATGATTGCTGTTGCTCAGCGGCTATGAAAGAAAGTAGAAAGATCGCGGAGGTAGCAAATAAATTGCAAGGGCTGGCTGTGAAGTATGGCACAAGTGCGGGTTTTGAATTCATAGTCCAACCGATTGATTACGATCTTGCATGGCAAGGGTTTGGGAAGTTGAGGTTCCAAGCTTACAGCCACACTCTGACAGTTCCTCCTGAAGATTTGAAGACCATTTTAGGGTTCAGACGAGAGCTAGTACTCGAGGTTTACGGTATTCCAGGTCAGACACTTTGTCGAGTTTCCACACACAGTAGTTAATTCTGACGTTTTTTTCGCAGGAATACTTTCTGGTAATATGCCAGGACTCAAGTATTGGCCGGTCTTGGTGGGTTCGAAGCCGTGGGTTAATGCAGGCAAGAGATGGATATCTCAGTGCACTTCCAACCACAAAGATTGCCGTCCTGCTGTCAAAGGACCTCTGCCCACCAGAGTTGTCGAAATTCTTGGCGATGATAACGTACGTGTGGTCCCTGGCACTGATTTGCCCCATGACTTTTATATCTCTCTAAGCTACTGTTGGGGAGGCCCACAGGAGTTTTCTTTGACGACGAACACCCTGAGCGAAATGGAAGCTGGATTCAACATAAGCTGTCTTCCAAGCACGCTGAAAGACGCGATATGGGTGTCAACCCAGCTAGGTATTAAGTATATCTGGATCGATTCCTTATGTATTATCCAGGATCACACCGAAGACAAAACCAAAGAACTACCTCGGATGAGGGAGTATTATCGGAACTCGTATTTGACTATTTGTGCAAGTACCGGTAAATGCACACTCCCTTTCCTCAAGGAAATTGAAAATTGCCAAGAGCACCAACGGATTGAAAACTCCTTAGTTCCTTTGGGAATATTGGTCAGCCCAATCTATGAAGTTGTCGCCAGCGCGGAAGGAAAGCCAGAGGATGTTGGGAAAAAGTTCTCTCGAGATGTGATTACCGACGTTCTCGTACAAAAGGAAAAACCTTACTTTGTGTCAGAAGAACCAATCTCTTCGAGAGCGTGGACTTTTCAGGAAAGGGTTCTTTCCCCTCGAATCCTTTTCTTTGGAGAACGACTGGGATGGGAATGTCATACACAACATGAATTTGCAGGAGGCGTTGATTACTCGGAAGACGACTCTCCGACCATTGACTTGCAAAAGCTTCGTCAGCTGTTTTTTAAAAGTAATGACAAGTCACATTCCAGGAATGACGAGACTATTAACCAGGGCACGGTCAAGAACGATTACGAAATTTGGTACAAGGCCGTCGAGGAGTACACACGAAGAGATCTCACAGTCAAGAGTGACAAACTCCCTGCTATCTCGGCGCTTGCACAAATATTCCAGGATTCGACAGGAGATCAGTATTTGGCAGGATTGTGGAGCGGTGACTTACTAAGGGGCTTACTTTGGTCGACGTATCCCACACTGTCTCTCACAAAACCGCCCGATTGGCGAGCTCCGTCATGGTCATGGGCTTCAAATGACAATGAAGTAAGCTATAAAGGAGTACCGCCGCTCAATGCGATACCAATAACCCAAATCCTCACCTCAAGCACGGTGCCAATATCAACTGTGGCTCCATTGGGCGAAGTTGGTAGTGGGATTTTGGAACTGAAAGGTCCTGTACTGAAATACGAAAGAGGGCTCACTACTTGGCTTATGCAGAAGGAGAATGAACTCCTAGAACTCCAAGACAATCACCAGACTAGGTATCAACAAAGCCGGCTTCTGTTTTCCAAAAATCGGACAGATCCAGGATGCAAAGACTGGCAACCTCCCGATGGTCATATCCTGCTGTGCCTCTTTGCCACTCCCTTTCAAGCGCCTGAACAGAAAGACGATCAAAATAAGGAGGAAAAAGTGGATGTGACAGGAACAGCACAAGCGACTTATAGACCAAGTGTCGGTGATAACGCAGAGATTCAGAAAGTCCCACAGAGCTCGGGATATACTATCTCAGGACTTGTACTTGGTCCCATTACGGACGAGTTGAGTCCTGGCGACGAAAAGTATGAACGCTTGGCAAGATTTACCTCGGTAGGAGTTGTCATCAAAGATTATCGGGATCTTGACAAACATGCAAGGACAGTCTCAATTGTGTAGATCGAAGAAATGAAAATGGATGTTTGGATCTCGCGTTTTACTTCTGAAGCCTGAAGGTCACAGCTGTTTGCTATTTCGAAGAAACGCCTATAAATTGACCAAGTAGACAGGCAATGATGAAGAATCTATTTACCCGCAGTTGAAAATTTGATGAGACTGTAACATTATGCATAGTATTGAGAGTGTGCACTACGAATCTGCTAAGGCCGCCAGTGGGTTGCACGTCTAATAAGACATCCCTTTATGGTAAAAGAACGTTACTTTACCCAGAAAATTATGTTTACTTAGTATTTCCATATAAGTAAATAGCATCATCTCTTTTTCTAGTAAAAGATATATATACCTGTTAGAGAAGGAGTTTCAAAAAGGAGTTTTGGAATAGGTTGATTGTATTATTTGACAGTATTGAAAGGGTGGTTAGAATTGTCTAGTTGAAATGGAATAGAAGTAAGGGTATAATGTGTCGAGGAGATAGAAGAGGGTTAAAACAATAGATTTTGTAAAATTGTTTCTATGTTATGTAAAACCAAGTTAGATGAGAATGTAAGACTCTGAGTCAGATTAGATGGGGTGAAGTTGTTGGGCTATACGGAAAATACTAGTAGAACTTACATTTTCCTAGAGATATTATTCTAGCAACCATCTTTGAGTGTAAAAGTCAATAGCAAATTTCAAAGAATCCAGAGTCCTATTTTAAGATAGGTTTATACACCGCAATTTATCAGATAGCACGATTCGCGACTTAAATAGGGTATTTCCCTTATCTCACTCAATGCCCACTTACGGGTTATCTTCCTCGCACGACGTTGCTAGGGCAAACGAGTAAGACTGGCAATCATTACTTTAGTTGCAATACTTACTTCATTATGGTAGTTATAACCAAATGAAATCGAGGGGTTGAGACGCGATGGGGGCGGCTAATATATACAACCGCCGAGCCAAGTGACGGCACTTAGTTCGTACGCATCAGGTATGTGGGATATAACTTGGTGGGTCCTACATTTGACATGTATTCTATTCTGGAAACTTAACAAGCTGTAGTGGCGTTCAAGCCATCGAAAAGAATTGACGTTTGTACAGTCTACGTATCTATTCAGAAAGAAAAAGAAAAAGACGAAAACAAGAGTGCCCTTTAACCACCACCTTGAAACCCCACAACCATGATTCTGTACTCAATAGCCAGCTGGACAGCCCTCGCAACCACAGTCCTAGCAATCCCAACTCCCTCATGCGACCGCGAATCCCTCATCAAAGCAACAGACTCCTACATCGCCGCCCAAACAGCCGGCAATCTCGTCTCACTCCAGAGCACACTCGCCAGCAACTGGACCTACACCGAAAACAACAAGCTCACAGACGTCAAGAAGGGCGTCCTGGCTAAACCCCTCAAAATCGACCACCGCCGCACAAACGCAGACACGACAGCCTGCCGCACCTACACCGAGCTCATCGTCGCCGACCCAGCAACGCCCTACGTGATAGGCACGCAGATCCAATACGACGCCTCGCTCAAAATTACCAGCATTGACACCATCGCCAGCACGACGGGCTCGTGGCTTTTCGACGCCAAAAAAACGCTGCAGTACGTGCTGGCCGAGAAATGGGATCCCATCCCCGTCAGCAAACAGGACTCCCGCGCGCTCATCCAGGCCGCAGGTGATGCCTACATGGACATGTGGAACAACGCGACGGCCTCTGAGGCCGTACCTTGGGGAACGCCGTGTACGCGTCTCGAGGGCTCGGCGTATACGGGGAAAGGGTTGCCAGATGATAGCTGCAAGCCTGGGATCCCGGCGAATCATAATCAGGCGCCGAATACGCATCGACGGTATGTGGTTGATGAGGTTATGGGGAGTGTGAGTATTTTTTGCGTGTGGGAGCATATGATGATGGCGGCTGATAGTCATGAGTTTCGGTTGGAGGGGGGGAAGTTGAGGTTTGTGCATACGATGACGGAGTGTGGGGGGAGGGTTTGTAAGTTGTAGGATGCTCTGGGTGGTTTGTTGGAGGTGGTGGCTAGAAGTCGAATTCGGAGCGACTGTGGATGGCTTTGTTGGGTTGTGATGAAAATGATTGTGACTTGGTATGTTTGGTGGTAGACGGAGAGAACGGTGAGAACTGCGAGTTATTGAAAAGCTAGGATTGCATAATTTCCCTTTTGAGGTTGGAAAGAAATAGCTAATAGCGTGTCAAAGTTTGCGGGTTTCAGCAGTGGAGCAAAATGGGGTGTTTCTATGAGAGGCACGACTACTAGAATCACACTTAGCGGAAATGATATGGAAGGACTCGGATTCCTCAGAGATGTACTGAAAAGACTATGGCCACTATCGCATAAATGCTTTAGCCCGGGTATATGTCATCAGAGTCTTGTGGGTCTAACACAATGTTGCAACATGGATGGACTTTTGTTCTTTTGAGACGCCTCCCATCAGCATAAAAGTCTCGCTTCTCTAAGCCTGAGATTTCGCTTTCCATTCCTCATGAGCCTTTTTCTGTCTCTCCCAATCCTTCTTCATCTTCTTTATCCCACTCTTAGGTACTTCCTTCCCATCGCTCGTCCTGGTAGGAATACCCTCTTCATCCCACTCGCTATATCGATCATCACGGAACATATCCAGTGGACTGACTTTCGCTTTTTCTGCTTTCTCAGCTTCGAGTTTCTCGCGAGCCAGTTTTGCCGCCTCTTTCTGAGCAAGCTTTTCTTTTTCCTTGGCGGCTTTTTCTTCGCGTTGAGCGAGCAGCTCCTCTTTTGAAACGAATTTGATCAATGCCCCCTGATCACTTCTGTCATCGAGATATACACCAAGATTGGTCAACTCTTCATCTCTAATGCGATCTGAAAGTGCAAGAATTTCTTTCTTGACCGGCGATGTTGGCGCCAGCTTTCTAATCTCATCTCGTGCCTTGGCGACAACGCGAAGATATGGCATGACCAGAGCCTCCGGGTCCCTCGTTCCACTCGATGTGAGCGTCTCAAACTCCGTGTCAACTTTCGTTGCAAGGATCGCGTCCAGGGCTGGTGAGTGAATATCTAATCGCTCAATCTCGTCTCGTACACGCTCCAACATTGTATGGAACGGTTCTGCTATCTCCAAAGGTGTAAGCTCACCAGTGAAAGCAGTGCTCGTCCATCCTAAGCCATCATAAGGTGGCGCTGCAGCGGAATCTAAACCAAAGATTCCAACCATTTTTGTGACCCATCGTGCAATTGCCTCTAGACCAGGTACGTCCACGTTCGCTTTATGGGTATTGACATGGATATTGGCCTCCTTGATCAAGCCGTACAACACTTGCATGGCTTTCGGAGTATCGAATGAGTCATTTAAAGCACTTTCCATTGCATCCCTTGCTTTCGCTAGGTTAGCATAGAGCCCCTCCTGGGTCTCACTGTCTATTGTTAAGTTCGTTAAACTCTCAGCAGTCGAGGTGACATGTGAACCTTTGTCAGCAATCAAGGATTTAACCAAGATGAAGAAGTTCTAAAGAATGTTAGCGTGTTTCGTCAAAGAGGGAGATGACCAGGATTACATTGACAGTAGTCTCCCACCCCTCCGCCATGGTCCTCATATCCGATGATATCTCGACACCATCATTCCATCGACCCATCAAAAAGACAATTCTCATGCCTCTGGGGCTATAGTCCGTTTTTAACGCATCCTTAATAGTTTGAAAGTTTTTGAGAGACTTTGACATTTTCGACCCCGCGATTGAAAGATGGCCCATGTGTAAGAAGTAATTAACCCAACTATGAGGGCCCTTTCCGTGCTCACAGAAATATGCTTCTGACTGAGCCAGTTCGTTGTCGTGATGAGGGAAAGCAAGATCAATCCCTCCTGAGTGGATGTCCATCTGTGAACCAAGCACATCAGAAGCCATGACAGAGCACTCAATGTGCCAACCAGGTCGGCCACCTCCCCAAACACTATCCCACACGGGTTCTCCTGGCTTCGACTTTTTCCATAACGCAAAATCACCGGGACCTCGCTTACCTCCAAGACTTTTTGACAACGATCCTTCGCCGTCCTCTTGTAACGCTTTATCATTTCTACTCTCGGGCCGCAGTCGTGCATACGGATTTCCAGCCGCCTCAAACGCGGCAATGTCGAAATATACCGACCCTTCTGCCTCATATGCGAAACCCTTCGCAACAAGCTGCTCTACAAATTTGGCAATTTGAGGAACATAGGCCGTAACCCGTGTAATAGTGTCTGGTCGCATAACGTTAAGAGCATCCATATCACCCATAAAATCGTCCTCCCAATATTTTGTCACATCGGTAAATATGGTATGGTCCGCTCCATCGATTGAGTCCTTATACAGCGAATCCAGATATGGCAATAAAATCTCGTCCGCTCCACCAAAGACCTTCTCTTCCTGTATCGCCGCGGCCGCCGCTGTGAGGTTGCTCAGATGCATCTTCATCTTAGCCTCCGCATCTCCTGGCTTTCCCTCCCCAGTAAGAGTCCCCCCAGCCAACACCTTTGCATATGCCGCATCTCTTCGCGCTACGTAATTGCTGGGACTTAATGGAGAATCGTCCGACGACGTAAGAAGCTCTGGTAGATTTGCTTCGGCGTATGACTGAAAAGCGGTTGCAGCCAACTTTGCCAGGTCTGATTCGGAATACTTTCTGGATTTCTCTATTTCGAGCAATCTTTGTCTACGGGCTTTCAATATAATCTAGGGCCTATTAGTATCCCGCCGTCACAAATCGCGGTCTGCTTGCCTTGTCATCCACATCCGTAATGTTCATCACAAAATTGACTTTGTAGCCAAAGTAATCCCGCATCACCCTCCGGATAATATCGGTGGACACATAATTCCTAGCATGTCCCAAATGCGAATGATCGTAAACCGTAGGACCGCAAGCATACCACGATACCTTGCCTTCTTCCTTGGGCGTAAATGGTACAGCTGGCCCTGGCTGGAGAGAGTTATGTACTTTCAATTGCGCCATGGCGAATGTTGGGGTAATCGCAGCGCTGCGAAAGGATCGCGTGGCTAGAATAGAGGTTGCTGGCGGTCGTATTCGTGTAGCGATGCGAATTGAGGCAGAGAAAAGTACCATTCAGTTCATTTATCGCTCGGGAGGTAAAATCTAAAGAAAAGAAGGCGGAAAGGAGTGTGGTTTTACGGGTTGATATTGGGGAAGACTGGAGGGGCTGACGGATTGAGTCACTTCAGGGTGCATGTGGTATTTTGTGCATCCGCATGTTGTTGCAACAGGGACCCCACATATTTTTTTCCTAGGGTCCAGATCTTCAGCCTTGCGATTTTTATTTGTATTCTTTTCAACAAACACAACGCCAATTGATATCGATCATGACCTCCCAAGCGTCGCCGTTCTTGCACCCTGGGACAGTCGCGCAAAAGGATCGTCTGGCGATAATCCATCTCAAACGCGACCTGCAGAATCCGATTCTTCTCAAGGCCACGGACGAGGACGATGAGGGGTATGCGGAGGGGAAGGTCGTGAATACGCGATTCGGATCGTTTCCTCATACGAAGTTAATTGGATTGCCATGGGGCTCACAGGTGCGCGCTGTAAAGGTAGACACTGGGTCTAGAGGGAGACGGCAGCCGAAGAAGAGGAAGTTAGAAGCGTCGTCAGAGGATCCGGGGCACCTGGAGAAGATTGCGAAAATCAGCGAACAAGAAAGCGGTCGTGGCGACGGCGTTGTGAAGATTGAAAGCCCTGCAAGCGTGGATGTGGGAACGCTACCCAAGGACGATGCTGAAGCTTCACCTGCGGCTACTGGATTCATTCATTTACTACCACCTACCCCCGAGAACTGGACGAGCTCGTTACCACATCGAACACAGGTTGTATACACGCCAGATTACAGCTACGTGTTACATAGGATTCGTGCGCGGCCTGGAACAAGTATCATTGAAGCGGGCGCTGGAAGTGGTTCATTCACACATGCCTCTGCAAGAGCAGTGTTTAGTGGCTACACCAAGGAACGGTATGAATCAACAAATGGTCAATCAGTAAGGAAACATCTTGGAAAAGTCTGGAGTTTCGAATTTCATGAACAGCGACACGAGAAGCTGCAGCAGGAGCTGAAAGATCATGGTTTGGAAGGATTAGTAGAGGTGACGCATCGAGATGTTTGCGAGGATGGATTTTTGGTGGATGGCAAGAGTCCACAAGCAGATTCAATATTTCTAGATTTGCCTGCTCCATGGCTTGCGTTGCCGCATCTCGCCAGATCCAAACCAAAACCCAACCAAATAGACTTATCAGCAGGAGAGGTGAAAAGCGAGCCGGATACGTGTGAGGCATTCGTGTCGCCATTGAATCCTCACTGTCCGGTGCACATATGTACATTTTCACCATGTATTGAACAAGTGCAGAGGACCATGTCTGCAATGAGAAGGTTAGGATGGGTGGACATTGAGATGGTAGACTTGTCTCAGAGGCGGTTTGAGGTTCGACGAGATCGTATTGGCATTGATAATGGTAATCAACATGGTGTTCTGTCAACACCAAGCAGCGTCGATGAAGCTGTAGCCCGTCTGAAAGACGTCGAGGGCAGCTTCAAGGCCTTCCATGAGACTGGTGAAAAAGCCGAGATCAGGAAGCGAGATAGAGGCAACCCGAATAGCAAAGACAAGATCCTTGAGAGCTTAGTGGGTCGTAAGATATACAAAGAAGGTAATCTTGTACACCGGGCGGAGCAAGAATTGAAGACACATACCAGCTATTTGGTATTTGCTGTTCTGCCGATTGAATGGTCAGAGGAAGATGAAGCACAGGCACGGCAGAAGTGGGAGGAGAAGATTGATCTCTCTGTAACTCAAAATCCTGCCGTCGAGGCGGCGGTATCAGGGACGATGAGCAAAAGGCAACAGAAAAAAGCAGCTAGACAAACTGAGAAGGACAAAAGAGCTGCGACGGCTGTGGACGCAGAAGCTGTTGTAGTTGAGGGTGATGTAGCGAGCGTTCCAGTCGTGGTTTCTGAAAAGGAGTCAACGCCTGGACCTAGTGATACTACCATGTCATAGAATAAATACCTGTACATCTGCTTAATATCTTGCCCGCAATGTAATTTGCTGAGTTTTTGTATCCCGTGACCTAACCTTCGACACCTCAAAGCTCGTAAGATCATCTCCCAAACCCTTTCAGGCAATGCGTGGAAATCAAAGCCCTTTACGTGAGTCTAATAACCAACCTCCCAACAACACCCCAAATTTCTCCTTACACTCAAACCTCAACCGCCCCCTCCGGAACCCCGACCCTACTCCTCAACCTCCTCGCCAAAAACCTCATAACCGGCAACATCTCCTCCCTACTCCCCGGCATCGAATCCTCACCCTTCTCCCACCGCACATACTCCACATTCCCAAACTT